TCAAGTTGTAAAACCTTCACTGAAAGTGTTTCAACTTATTACAGTCTTAGGCAACTCCATCCCGACAAGTTTTATTGTAGTTCCGTCTGCAACTCTCGAGTGGTGTGTATGAGATGACGGAGTGAGCAAATAATTCGCCATCGCCGTATGGCTTTCATCTCTCCAACTCTGGGAAGATGCAACTTGCGCTTTCCCATCTTCCATAATTGAAAGAGCTATACGAGGCATTGACAATCCCAGTGACCGCGCGGTCTTAGCCCGCTCGAACACTGGGATCGTTGAGTTCGAATCCCACTCAAGGCATGGATATCTGTTTATTCGGTTTTTTGTGTTAGGTAAAAACCTTGCGATGAGCTGATCCCCCGTCTAAAGAATCATACAGACTCTCTTAGATTAAGAAACTGAAATGAAACGAAGAGTTTCATGGAAGTCCTGTGCTTCAGAGGGAGCAACAGGAATAGAAGAAAGAGACGCGACAAAGAAGAAGACATGAGGAATAAAGCGATAACGATTAGAAATTATATTCGCGGAGTGCCCTGTTCGAGCACCAACTGGGACACCAACTATCCTGAAAGGATTTTCGTGTTTTTCCTCTATCCCTCCAGAAAACGCTGGGTTAGTACTTTAAAGGCTATGTCTCTTCCCTCCCACATCACTTCCAATTAATTATTCTTTATAGTCAAGTTAATGGCAGCGCTGCAGGGCCGGGATAGCTCAGTCAGTATAGTGAAGGGCTAAGGCTGGGGCCACACGAGCGCACAAAATGCGTCCGTTGTAGAAATAAACAAGAGAAGCGAATGTTACGCTTTCTTCTGGCTCCAGTGTAGACAAAAAACTACGCACCGCATTCTGCAACTGTGTGGTGTCCTCAGCAACGTCCGTCATAAAGTACACGTTCGTTACAACGGATGCATTTTGTGCGCTCGTGTGGTCCCAGCCTAAGGGTTCGATTCCTAGCAGAGGTAAGAGATTTTTCCACCCACCATTCTATCCAATGGGAACCTGGAGCATTTTCCATAGAGGTAAAGCGACTGAGGTCTGAAGCTTGCCACTCACCTCCACCTAATTCCGAGGTCAAGAATGGTGGAGCTATACCTCCACTCTCCGATATATTTTCAAGGCGTGATGATTAATTTATTAAGCCTAGCGACAACTTTACCCTGTCTTCACAGACAGCACTGAGAAATAAAAGTACGAAAAGGAAAAGGCTCTAAATGTTGCCCAATGTCGCAGTGTAGGCTACAGCACCCCTTCGGGTGAGGTCTCCGCTCGGCAGCTTCACATACCGGTAACGTTGTCGACTTGTGTTCCGAAAGAACTCGGTTCGAATCTGGTAGGGTTACCGGATATCCTCATTTATTATTTTTCGCGGTTCTCCTCAGTCTCTCTAATTAAACACTATGCTGTGAAGATTTATCGGGAGTGTGTGTACAGATCCACGTTTTCTTGACCTCGGCACTAGTTGGAGGTGAATGGTCTGCTTCACACCCCGTCCGCTTAAAGCCCGGGGAAAGAATCCCCGGTACCCTTTATATAGGACGTTGGGTGGCCACCGGAGCTGGTCTGGACGACGTGAAAAAGTGAAAAATTTTGCCCTCAACGAGACCCGAACTCTGACCCCTCAGTCGTCTAGCCTGTGGCCAGTAGCTATACTGACTGCGCTATCCCGGACTAGCTACGGGCTGGACGACAGAGGAGTCGGAGTTCGAGTCCTGGTAGGGTCAATAATTTTCTTTTCTCCATGTCGTCCAGACCGACTCTGGGGCACACCCAACATCCTATCCACTGGGTATGGGCGGCTCTTTCCCCGGGGTAAAGCGGCCGAGGCGTGACTCTGATCACTCATCTCCAACTAGTACCGAGATCAAGAAAACGTGGTTCTATACATCCACTCCCCCATACGTCTTCACGGTGTAATGCTTAATTAGTTAAGCACAAGGATATCTTTACCATTTATCTCAGTCTCTCTTGATAAGTACTGGGATTGTGTCCTAAGACAGGTCACTATCGTCTGTCCGAAATACGTACATTCCTGACTAACTAGGGGTCTCATTTGTGACAGAATTTCTCAGTATTTCTTAGTCCCTTCTGTTATATGCTATGGGAGTAGCCTTGACAAGGGATTAAGACAATTTTTTCGACAAACTTCAAAACTCGTCATTCACAAAGGTCACATCGTTCACCCTTTAGAAACGAAGTTGCAAGAACACCGTAAAATAAACCGGGAATTAAAGATCAAAGAAGAAATTTCATTATTTCTATTGCATTATTCACATCCTTATTACAGTTGCATATTTTCAAACAGAAAGCTGTATTTTTTTGGGGATTTTTTAGTTATTTAACAACGCTGCTTCAACTGCAATGTCAACAGCATTGAAGGTGATAAATGTTGGACCCTTTTAGGAATCTGAAAGATTGCGACTGTGGGCTGAACAATTCGCCTGACAAGAGTGAGGCACACCACGTAGGCCCCGTCAGAGAAGCCGAAACGTCGAGATAAGACGAGGGAGGATCTCTCAAAACACATAACGTACGTCGTTGCTTCTTCAACAGCTTGCTGCATAACAAACTGCTGACGCGAAATCTTATAAAACGCAAGCTATGAGAAATAACACATGTAGCACAGACCTCGCTGAAAATCAAGCGACTAATTTCTCATAGAGTAACCATCTGACCGGTTTTCACACTGTATCCAGTTCCGGTTTCACCGGAAGAAACCGATGTCATGAGCAGAGTTCCTTGTTTTTCCTACATCCTACTATAAAATACAGTAATGGCTTCACACAAGCTATGGTCGTCTCTTTTCACACTCAACACTCGTAATCATCTCCCCTCTCGTTTGAATAGCAAAGAGTGAATCAAATTAACTTGTCGTCTTCAAATGTCTTGATATTCGAGCGAAACAACTAACCAAAGAGAAGAACCATCTTTGAAAAAACTATTATTCCGTGAGCTAGCTAAAAAAAAAAGTACTCCTTGCCTTTCTTGGAATCCAAAAGTGCATCATGGTAGACACTAAGGGTGAGAGCACACCAAGGAAACTGGCAACCGCAACGCAACCGCATTTTCCGAGAATTGCTATCAGCCTGAGTTGAACACATGTTAATGAATGGAGCAGCGCAAATTGAGGAAATGGCAACGCAGTTCTCGGAAATTGCGGTTGCGTTGCGGTTGCCAGTTTCCTTGGTGTGCCCTCGCCCTAAGAGCTGGCAACTGAACCTGAAACTGCCCAACAACTTTAGAGGGAGGGGATTTTTATTTTAAACTTAATGCGATATTTCGTATCTGTGTACTATATTACAGTTCGTTATTATTAAAAGTCGTGTACCATCTACATCTCCGTAATTTTCTCTATACACGATGATGTGGAAATAGGAAGATGAAGGTAAAATCGTTCTGTCTGACGGAGGAAGACTATTTTCACATTATTATCCTTATCTGTCTATTAACGAAAGCAGGGCAATTCAATATGGTGTGGAAAAGAAATAACACTAACGAATTTTAGGTTCCTTCAGTTTCAATGAAAATGTGATTTTTTATGTCTGTAATTAGGTAAAAGATAAAAAGGTAGAGCTGTCCCTGTAACAGGCCGTGAAGGCCCATAGGGTTGTGAGACGTCGAGGCTCCCACATTATCTAGACAGTCGGTTCACAGACGGCGGTGAGGTCAACCTTAAGCGCCGGCCGCCCTCTACGCCCAGGAAGATTCCTGGTACTCAATTCTGTTAGAAGCTGAGTAGACCCCAGGGTCACAGAGCGGCTGGAAGGATTAGGTAAATTGAAAAATTCCAATGGCTTCATCGGGTTTCGAAAGCGCGACCTTCCTGTTTGTAGCGCAGCACCTCAGCCAACTATGTTACCGCGTGCCCCCTTTTGTCTCTCTAATTAGGCATTAATTCTTGCATCCATGTAAAGTGAATGGACATTAAAGCATTTCAGAATAGTTTCTATAGCTTCAACATTCTCTGTCCCATTCACTCTACCGTAATTTCAGGTCATGTTACTGTGAGGGTGTAGCTGTTTCGAATGATGTGATTATACGATACCGAATGCGGTGGGATATATAACTGTGTGAAGATTCAACGATATTTGAAGAAAAGATGGCAGCCCACTGATAGGTGCCTGGAGACGGCGAGAGAAAGCACGAACACTCTCAGGGATAGCAGGCGTCTGGCTGGGATTCGAACCAGACACCTTCCGAATGCGATAACCGTTACAGTGCGCGAGCACGTTTGTTAAATATTAATAATTTAATATTAATTACATAGGCATATGTATTATCCATTTGATTACAGTGTAACTGTCTATATTTGATACAGTCTTTCACAGAACACTGCTACCATAGTTAGGAGCATGCATATGACATAACACACCAATTTGTCACAATGGCAAACGCAGGGGGCGGTGCGTCACACAAAATATTACTGACGCCTTCCATTAACCGAGAATTTATGGACAACTAGTTGTAATATGGACGACTGTACACTGAATACACACGAAACACAAATTGCATATGACGGCCATGGATCCCTTCCTTCGTCATGAATATCAAATCTTTCCTCATAGCACAGGTTAGATGGATTATAGTATACGCCTGGCGCTAACAGTGTGGAAGTAAAACTCGATCAATCAATCAATCAATAACTTGTGCCGGTAGACAGGTAAACCAAATTTTGTGTAGCATTAAACAATATCCTTTAGAACTAATGACAGAACTCAAGTTACAGATAAATGTCATTGTGCAATAATGTTACCTGCAAAACAGTGAATGAAGACAGGCCGTTCTTCTGCAGATGATCACCCGGCCTCGACTCAACGGAAAGGCGCGACAGTTGCGTTATGCGCACGCTCAAACAGAACCACCCACTACAAGGAGAGGGGAGTTACGTCATTAAACTGTCAAGAACTCTTTACATATCGTCACGGTAATGATATTACGTCTGTCGTTTATCGTGGGCAAGTGAATGCTCGCTTGGTACATTTCTGGACGAAGGTGAAACATTTAGTTCTTAGCATCAGCTGTCTGAACCTTAAGTTATTCAGTTTAATTACAGGCTGAATTGTAGGCGATCATTCTCTGCCTCTTCTTATTATACATATATCCGTTGCCTTGTTTACACCAAATGCATCAAACGAATTCGATCTCTCGCGCTTATGTGAAGGTTAAATACAACTTCACAATTCTTTAACTGCAAATATATAAGTTATTGTTAAGTCATCTGAGGTGTTCACAGAGGTGAAGATTTACACTGTGGAGCTCTGGATTATGACACCGTGTACTCTGGTAGGTTTTATATCATGTAGTCTGGTGGGTCATTGTACCAAAAATTGGCACATAACCTGAAAATACATACCCCATGGAGTTCTAAGATTTTATTTGAAACATTTTCTCATATATTGTATACGCAATAATAAATAAAGCGAAGATCTATTTATCTTTACCTGTAACAACATTAATTTGTACGTATAGATTTGTATTTGCAATAAATGGACGAAGGTCGATATGATGTGAATAATCTCGAGGAGTAGGTAGACCTACGTAAAATACACATACGGGGTATATTCTTCCATAGTTCTTTTTCATCTGTCGGACATTAGGTAGGAATTCTTCGATCGGGAATAGATTAGGACACACAAAAGCCCGGATACATTATGCCCAAAGCTCGAATCTAACCCATGATTCCAGCGTTATTGAAGCCACTCAGAGCATGCAATTACTGTGTTAACTGATTAAATATTATTGTGTTGGTAATACTGAAGAGAATCCATAGACAAATGCATTAACAAACAACAGTTTTCACATATTCCATATCAGATTATATTTTCAACCAGTGGACGTAAATCTTTTGCCTTCTTTTAATGACTGTCTCGCGCACCACACAACATATTTCTGGGTCTTCATATTGATCGGTTCTCCCTCAGCCTTCTGAATGATATTTTACTGGTGTCTCTTCAGTTCCATCTGTAACGTTGATTACGGATTGGTTCTTTTGTTGTCACATTAAGTCGACCTTTCATTTTATACAATCTATTTAGCATCAGATAGTCGTTCAACTCAGTATCGTCTACAGTTCTGGTAATAATAGAATGATGGCAAATACAACTGTACTGCTCGAATGTGTAATAAATATATACTTCATGATAATCAGTCTTCAGATAAAAGTTCATTCTCACAAGAAAAGATGGAGGAGAAGTGTCCAAAGGGACTGGATCTATTTATACTCATTACAGGTAAACAGAGAACAATGTACGATATTTCAACAAAAAGAAAATCCTAGTAAACTGAACAAGCTATCCAAAAATAATAAAACCCCCACCTCTCTGATGCACTTTGGATGTCAAACAATGCAATAATCTTCAACAGAACTACAGAGAAAAGATGAAAAAAAAAGTGTAACGTTAAGGAAAGGAATTAAATGTGACATCAAACCGAGTACATATATTTCCATTAGTTTTGCCTCAAACACGACCCGTCCCAAGGAAACTTAGCTGAAACTGAAGAAGAAAACCTACTTTGCGAAAACAAATCCTTGATAACAGACACTTTTACCAGAGCCCTCAATATTTTGATTACAATAGCCATTACATTCAACACATATCATATGAAATAGATATGTAAATGTCTAAATTTGTAAATGTTTATTGCTTGGCTCTTGATATAGCCCGTATCCATCAATCAAGTAAATTTGTAATGGACAATAAGAAGCTATAAATAATAATAATAACAATAATAATAATAATTCAATTCTTTATTACTTATGTGCCTAGTCAACAGCCATAAGGCCAATTACAAACAGAGCACGGTGTAGATACAAGTAATTATATTATGTACAAACATAACATGCCGGTCACGGTAGCCGAGCGGTCTAAGGCATGCACTGTCTTCGCTCGCTTCGAAGCCGGGATCGTGGGTTCGAATCCCACTCAGGGTATGGATGTTTGTGTGCATTTTTCTGTGTTTGTGTACAGGTAGAGGCCTTGCGATGAGCTGATCACCCACCCAAGGAGTCCTACCGTATGTCTAAGATCTAGTAAACCGATGTGAAACGGAGAGTTTCATGGAGGTAGGCCTAGGCCCAAATGAGGGCTGTAGCGCCAATGAAAAAAAAAAAACAAACATAACATAAAGCCAAAGACCAATTAAAGGCAAGCACTGGAGGAAAACACATTAATGCAGAGAAGTAAGCAAACAAACCAACAAATAATAAAGTAATAATAATAATAATAATAATAATAATAATAATTTCATTAACACAAATGAAAGTTGTTATTTTGAAGTGAGAAATATAAAGTATAAATATTTAGAAAGAATAACAATAATAGTAATAATAACAATAACAGAATGGGTAAATGTTTGCTTATAGGGAGTGACACACCACGAGACAGATAAGGGATAAAGGAAGAAGCCGAAAAGTTGTTTATATAAAAGGACCTCATGACGTAAGTAGAGCATGTGTTGGATATACAAGAAAGTGTGAAAACAGTAGTTATAGCCCGAATCAGAAACATCTGGGTGACATCCCTGGTACACATTCTATGAAAGGACTGCACCAGAACACTGATGCAATACACAGACATAATGCAGGAATTAAATTTAATATGCACCGTAAATTATATATACTGCCTTTTACTTTCGTGCACTAAAGCGACATTTTACGTTCCTGACTCATAAATATAACTGCAACGTCAGATCTCGAATTTAAGAATGAAACATCAAAGGAACTTGTTTTTTGTATGTTACATTACGGAAGGTCACAACATGCAAATTTATATGACACTATTATTAGACAAATTTGACAGTGAAAGTTACTAAACTTTATCAGTTATTGTAACTATTAGAGCCCTACCCACCGCCTCTGTGGTCTAGTGGTCAGAGTTCCTGGCTACAGATCCAGAGGTCCGGGTTCGATTCCCGGCGCCACCAGATTTCCTGAGAAGTGGTGGGTATGGAACGGGGTCCACTCAGCCTCGTGAGGACAACTGAGAAGCCACGTCAAGGAAATAGCGGCTCCGGTCTAGGAAACTGAAATTAACGGCCGTGGGGGTCAGTTGCGCTTACCATGCGACACCCTCTATCCGCTAAAGTTGGCACTAACTTCGCCGACAAGTGGCGGTCGCTCGGTCGGTATAAATCATTTGCGGACTACAAGCCACGGAGTTTCAGTATCTGTGATACACCCCTGTTTTTTAGTCTACTTCTTTGAAGTTAAAACCACGGAGTTTGTACTAGAGGCCTACCTTTCGACAGATATATGTGAGTACACAGCTTCACTGATGAAATAAATTGTGAAATGTCTGTTCCACATGAAGACTGTTGTAGACAGCCAGCCGAAGAGCAGGAAGATAGGATCAGGTTCATGATCTAAGGACTTTAAAAAAGTGGGTCTGTTGCTATATGTAATATTGACAGTAACAAAAACGAGGGGCAGGCAGACAAGAATTACAATCGTAGAGAAATTTAAACACAATTGAAAAAACTACTTGACCTGTAGTCTGCACGCTAACTATACCGACCGAGCGACCGCCGCTTGTCGGCGAAGTTAGTGCTAACTTTAGCGGATAGAGGGTGTCACTTGGTCAGCGCAACGGATCCCCACGGCCTTTAATTTCGATTTTCAAGACCGGAGCCGCTATTTCCTTGAAATAGCTCCTCAATTATCCTCATGAGGCTGAGTGAACCCCGGTCCAAACCCACTACTTCTCAGAAAATCTGGTAGCTCCGCGATTCGAACCCGGACCTATGGATCTGTAGCCAGTAACGCTGACAACTAGACCGCAGAGAATCACAGTATCAAAAATACTCAAATTTTTATACACAATACACTCTCTGGTTTATATGAAGTTCGGGTACTGACAGCATCGTTAAATAAACCATAAATAGGTAAGTAAATATATACAAACGCCATGAAGAATAATTTTCTGCTTGTCATACTTGTAAAATACGATGGGATAATTGCACTGAGGGTGAAGGAAATTATTCCAAGGGTAGAAAAAGGCTTTATATGAGCAAGTTTAAGTTTTTTTCTTTGTTGCTAGTGGGGCGGGACTAAGTCCCTTGTACTGCAGCCACTTCTGGCCTATAGTACCAGCCCCAGATGATAGGTGGGGGTGATTGTGGAGCAATTGGTGGAATGAAGATTGGCAGGGTAAACCGAAGTACTAGGAGAAAACCTGCCCCAGCGCCACTTTGTCCACCACAAATCCCACTTTACCTGACCCGGATCGAACCCCCTGCTGCCGCGATGGGAAGCCAGCGACTAACCGCTTGAGCTATGGCACGGCCAAGTTTAAGTTAGTTTACCCCTTTCACATTTCTATCAAACAATTTATGAGAAAATTACGAGTGAAATGTTCCTACATGATATCAGAACATAATGATAGTGCCAGCGAAACTGCAGCATTCAGGTTTATTAGTTTTCTATATTTTGTGTGCTCAGTCAACCAATAACGGAGATTATGCCTCCGTAGTTTATCATAGTTTTATAGGGAAGGGAAGGTCACCACTCAGTGCGTTCTGCACCCACTGGAAGAAACCCGATTTGTTCTTTTCAGGTTCATTCATCTGTAATTATCTTGAAAATTATAATAAGGATTAATTTCGTGTTTCTGAAACACGCCATTCTCTGCACAGTGGCTGATAATGTAGACATTTTCTCGTTAATTTTGAAGACGGAAATACCATACAATTTTTCGTCAGTTCTTGCAAAGCAGATTGGCTAGATTAGGGACTAGGACAAGCTCACTAACCTGGATTTCGAAACTGATCCATTAGCTTCAAAGAAGTAGAATAAAAAACAGGGGTGTATCAGAGAAACTGAAACTCCGTGGCGTGTAGTCCGCAAATGAACTATACCGACCGAGCGACCGCCACTTGTCGGTGAAGTTAGTGCCAACTTTAGCGGCTTGAGGGTGTTGCGAGGTCAGCGCAACGGATCCCCACTGCCGTTAATTTCAGTTTTCTAGACCGGAGCCGCTATTTGCTTGAAGTAGCTCCTCAGGTATTCTCACGAAGCTGAGTGGATCCCGTTCCATACCCACCACTTCTCAGAAAATCTCGTAGCGCCGGGAATCGAACCCGAACCTCTGGATCTGTAGCCAGGAACTGTGACCACTAGACCACAGAGGCGGTCTTGTGTATCAGAGAACATTAGATATTTTTGTACGAATGACCCAGAAGGGTGGTAGGTAGTGTGGCATGAGTAGAAATATTTTTAAGGTTTTCTTTTATTACTTATTATTTGTATTCCCCGCGCTAACAGCTTTATTTCTTCACCAGTGAGGGCTAGAGAAGTCATTCAGGTAAATCGGGAAAAGGAGACGTGGCACTGAAGGCCAGTGTTTCAACTGTCAGGGTTCCCAGAAGTGAAAAAGCCAATTGACTAGATCACGTGTCAGAAGTGCATGGCAGTCCGTCCGAACATGCACCTCGATGAATTTAGTTATACAATTCGGATATCTTTCTCTCTGTTGCAAACCGGCAAGCCGAGCAGGTTCAGAAAAGACAGACGGTCCGCCCTTTGAGTCGTTGCACGGGGAATTCGGGCTTGTAGCGGAACGGAAAACAATTTCTCTTCAAGTTTATCCCCAGTCATTGAAAAGCCACCGTGAAGTTAGTTCGTACGCTGTGCTTACTCGTATAAATCTCGAACCATATAATGTTACTGTCTGTTACTTCACCTGACGTGTGTGATATGCAGTCATTTACTCAGGTGTGTTACTTCCTGTGTCGAAATTTCAAGTGTGAGTTACACACTGGAAAAAAACTAGTGTTGTGTATGATATTTATGTGGAAAGTGATAAGATAAGATAATTCCTCACTGTAATGTAAAAAACAAAAGGTAAAGCTATCTCTGTAACGGACACTGAAGACATATAGGGTTGTGAAATGTTGAGGGCCCTATATTTTCTAGACAATATGCTCACAGATGGCGGTAAGGTTGTCAGCCTTACACATCTGCCACTTTTTAACCCCAGGAAGATTCCTGGTACTCATTTCTGTTAGAGGCTGAGTCGACCCCAGGGCCATAGTGCGGCTGGAAGGGTTAGGTCAATTAAAAAAATCCAACTCATCGAGGCTCGAATACACGACCTTCCGGCTTGTAGCATAGTGCCACAATGAAAACCTGGTAGCGCAAGGAATCGAACTCTGAACTAGACCACAGAGGCTGTCACTCAATGAATAGAAATTGGAAAGAATTCGGTGTTAGTCTTGAACATTCTCCTTTAGAATTCCTCTTTCAAATTTAAGATTTAAAATTTTCTTCATTTCCGAAAATGAACTTCGAAAAGTGAATGTGGAAAACGGGGTATTTATGATATTTCATAAAACCCGGATGGGTTTTGTTTCTGATTTGTTGTTATACGGGCTTGGCGATTCCTCTGGAAGTTCTCTTCTGGTGTACCTGACAGGGCAGGGCCTGGGCGTCTCGGCAATTTTCGGCAGGCTCTCAGATGATCGCACTGAACATTCAGGGTCCTGATATGTCGTAAGGAAGAGAAAGAGACTCACCTGCAACGTGATTGTCTTCCTCCATAGATCTTGCAGTTTGTAGTTTAGAAGGATTGGCACCTACGATAAGACACATATATTAGGCCCATAAAGCATATAGCAGCAGTGTATGTGGGTTTGTCAGGTAGTTCCGGCTGTGCAAGTGATAAAAATGTGATATAAGGGCAAAACTACTTGGGAGTGACAGCAACAAGTGTAAAACCATGCACACGAAGACAGGTAACTGTTTTATAATATATTACATATACAACACAACTCTTATACATAGAATATATACTCATTTTCGTAAATCAACAGGACAGAAAGTTGAAGGGTCCTCTCACATTGTATCGTCACATGTTCCACCAACCAACAACCACGATCATGACGATACTGAACACTATTTTTAGTCCTAAGCTCAATTTTGAGACTATTTAGGAACAACCCAGAACCAACATATTGCTACGTATATATCCACTGCTAGGCAACGACTCGGTAAATATATTCCTGCGACAACGAATACACAGGCAACAATCAAGTAAATTCCGTTGCTGTATAACGGCAACAAGTACTTCGGTTTCCCCTGCCAATCTTCATTCCACCAATTGCTCCACAATCACCCTCACCTATCATCTGGGGCTGGTACAGTAGGCCAGAAGTGGCCGCAGTACAAGGGACTTAGTCCCACCCCACCAGTAATAAAAAAAATACCTAGTAATTGCTATCTGTTGACTAGTAATGAAAGCTGATTTTCACGCACTGTCTTGACAATGCGTTACCTAGGAAGTGACACTTCTCTATGCAGTGGGTTTACCTGTCACAATATAATTAGAGTAGGGATCTGTATTAAAAATTTAAAAAACTTTTAAATTAAATTTTATTTTAATGACATATTACATGAAATACAAATTATAAAATATATTAGTCTTAAACAATCTTAAACTTAGAGAAATATCGTAAATTGCCAGAGTTTTCGGGTGTATTATTAAGTTACATTTTACAAAGGTGTATTCTCTGTTAAAAATGAAAACCTAATTTGTAAAATACGGGTCCATATTAAGGTAACTCAGTTCAAGAACTTAGATTGATGATTGTGACTCGCCTGATGATGATCTAAGAAAGGTCGAAACATGTAGCACAACACCTATGCATAATAAATAATAATGAAAAATATTGATACGTTAGTATCTATTTTTGTCTTTATTTTGTAGATATTATTGTTCTATAGACGGCCCCATTTACGCTATTGTACAACACACAACAGGATGCATATCATAAAGATAAAAATATTTGTCACCCAAGAAAAATACATTTACACCAGTATGATAATATTTTAATTATATATTTAAAGACTGGTTTTCTTCAAAATCGTATGTAAAAATTCAGCCCGTACCTCACAAGAAACACGTTACGCCTCCGCTACAAAGATCAATGGGTTAATGCCATTTATGGAAACGTCATTGTTTATTATGAGAACCATACGGAACACATAAATACAATCTGGAGGCAATATATAACAATTCATTCCGTACCTCACAGGAAACACACTACGTCTCACTACAAAGCCCTACCGGTTAATGCCGTTTAAAAAATCAGTCGCTTTTTATTGTGAGAATAATACGGAACACATAAATACACTCTATAAGCAAAACGCAGAATTTGAGTAAGTTTAAGAATGTGATACATACAGAGCAGCTGGGATTTAGAGTTTTTTTTTTTTTAATACGCGATCTCCGAAGGAACATCCAACTGCGACAACACCAGCTTGGTGTATATATTCTCCGTTTTGGGGATGCTTGCAATATAGATCGTGAAATAATGCAATTCCGTTGTCATAATCAACTAAAAATTTTAAGTATCCATCTTATTTCCTCATCCCAAATAGTGATGTCTTGACCACATCAGTGCTATACATGCACATAATACAATAATTACACGCGAGCGCGCACAAAACACACACACACATATACACAAGAGGGCTATTCCGAAAGAAATCTCAGGAGAGCTGTTAACAAAACATGCAGTGAGGACAAAAACGTTATTATATACGCAAATATATTCATGCTTTATTTATTATTTTTATTATTATTCATAGTGGGGTGAGACTGAATCCACTTGGTATTGCAGCCGCTCTTTGGCCTATTGTACCAGCCCCAGATGATAGGTGATGGTGATTGTGGAGCAATTGGTGGAATGAAGATTGGCAGGGGAAACCGAAGTACTCAGAGAAATCCTTCCCCAGTGCCACTTTGTCCACCACAAATCCCACATGACCTGACCCGGGCTCGAACCCGGGCCGTCGCTCTTGGTAGCCAGCGACTAACCGCCTGAGTTATGGCATGGCTTTTCATGTGTAAGCTACTTCTCAAAGTAGTCGCCGCCGGAATTGAGACACTTTGTATATCGGGGAACAAGTTTTCTCTGTGAGTTCAGACTCGTTTTAACACCTTCTATCAACTTCTCATTATTGTTGAACAGTTGCGATCTCAACCAGTTCTTCAGGTAGGTAAACAAGTGGTAGTCGCTCAAAGGGAGATCATGGATGTAAGGAGGGTGGTCAAACAACTCCCAGTTGAAATGCTCCAGCAGTGCTCTTGTGCGAGCAGATGTATGCTGATGTTATTGTGGTCACTTGTTTTGTGAATTCCACCATCAGCAATCTTCTCTTGTCCAGGAAAACAGTTGCCATCAGCTTTATGACAGGCAGACAGTATTTGTTTAAACCTTTTCAGCTTATTTGATGAATATGTTTTCATTCACTGCGTTGGCTGCTCCTCTGGTTTCAACTTTCACAAATGAAATCCAGGTTCCATTGCCTGTTGTTTTTATTATGTGACTGAGAAATTCATCTCCATCTTCGTGGTATCACTTTAAAAATGCAAATTTGAAGCAATTTTCTGCGTTTTATGCGCGCACAACTTGTGATAGCCTAGCCTAGCAATGGTAATATCGTAGACAAGAGTGGGTAATATTTGTGGAAATCCACACTAAGGTTCCGAAACTTTAAAGCGCCATCTTTCACGTTGAACAAGATTGTCACTCACTATGGATGGCCGAGAGCTTCGCTCTTCATTGTGAACATTTATTCACCGATCTTCGAACATTCTACATCATCGTCTTACGGTTCCTTCGTTTATTACATTTTGGCCATAAACCGCCGCTCATGATTGACGATGTATTTCCGCGGCACTCATGTTTTTATCGCGAAGAAAGCGGATAACAGGGCGATTTTCGCAGCTGACGGGATTATCAATCACAGGACGCATCATAACTCACTCTGTAGAGACAAGAACAAACACTAGGTGATCAGTTATGTGATGGTTTACAAGGCAATGAGTCGTGTGATGTTACCACGCATGCGCCACCTCCCTTCCGCTCATACAATAAGCTTTCAATAAAGTAGTTCCTTTCCGAATAGCACTCGCATATACTGTATATTGTCGTAAACTGAACATGATAACTTCTCCGCTGCTCCGCAGTCAGTGCTCCCAGCGCATGCGCATGCATACGTCACGGGTGACCTATGACTTTACGCTGCACGCGCCTGGACTATATGCATCTTGCACAAACGAACTGCACCTGTGCCGCGCAGAGGCAGGCCACGCGTCGGCGTGTACGGATATGGAATTTTTTAAATGCTTGTTGCAATTATTTAATTTAAACAGATCTATCGGAAAAGATTTTGTTGTTGAAATTACATTTTACTGGCTTTTATGAGTCAAACAAAAGATCTTCCCTTAGACAGTATTTTCCATGAGAGACAACAGTTTTGAGTTCGTAAAATTGGTTTCATTTTCCAAGCACCATTATTCAGATATTGTTTAGGTTTATCATTCCATCGATACAAAGAACATTGAATGAGTTTACTTTTAATTAACGAAATGATATCAATTTCAAATAACTGAAAGCGTCCATTCAACTGACATTCACGAATTAATTTAATAAAACATAAATCTTGACCATATTATCCACTTATATAACATACTGGCTCCATTCTACGTCACTTTGGTTTCGTTCGGAAGGTCCTTGGTTCGATGCTGAACCAAGAGATTAAATGTTCTTCACGTACCGTTTCATGGGTTTATGACAAATGCTGAGTTTATCCGTAAAGTTTCAACCATGCTTTTTCAATAAATGTCTTTCAGGAACACAGATAATTCCTATGGAAACACTACTGATACGCGAGGGCACAATTTATATAACTAGGGCCCCGTTTTGAGAAAATGAGCCGAGATGTCCAACAATGACGTCTCAGTGCACAAGTACCCATTCAGTTGTTGCTTGTGTATGAAAGCGCTGAAGTTTGACGATTCAGTTGAGTGATGGTCTGTAACTATGAGAGCGGGAGACACTAACCTGAGGCGGACGGTTGTGGCGGGCGGTGCACCACTTCCTGCCCCACGTATTCATGCCATTTGTACGTGCTCCTGTACTCCGAATGAAGCTGCAATCACAAAAAAATCGGCATCAAATCTCAACCAATTACAACCAAAAATTTGTTTGTATCAGAATGTTCCGTTGGTCAACTCCAACTTTCAATCTCGTACACCTGAATTATTATTATTATTATTATTATTAGAGGGGGTGGGTTTCCCCATGCACTTAGACCAGTTATTGGTCCATTGTGCGTCCCCCTTTAATTTCTACTGTCGCCATACCCTACCGATACTGGTGCGTGCTATCAGCCCCGTTCAGCCAACGAGGTCGGCCGTCGGTACCTGTTATTTCCCCCATCTACCAGAGGCACTGAAAATTACCTGGGCGGGAAATTGTTGCCTAATTTTGCTCAGAGGTCTCCTAGAGATATGAGGATCTTTTACGTGCCGTAAATCTACGACACGGGACCCATGGCTTAAAGTCCCTCCCGGAGGACTTGTTCCCTGAATTTTTCCGCCCTTAAAAATTCCACGACCTTCGCCGGGTTTGAACCCGCGTACCTTGAGTCATGAGGTGGGAACGTTACCCCTGGACTACGGAGGCCGCTTACACTTGAATTAAATAATACAGTAAAATCAACATAAATGTTTTATAACACGCAAAGTAACCTATACGCTTCCTAGTCAAGCAGGGCATTGATAGAAATATATATATAGGTCAACTTTAGCTTTCTGCCGATCACAGTGGCCACGCGATGAAGTACATGAACGGTCTTCTTCTGCTCGAACACTGGGACCGTGGGCTCGAATCCCACTCGAGGCATGAATGTCTGTGTGAGCTTATTCTGTGTTTATGTTGTTCTGTGTGTAGGTAGCGGCCTTATGACGAGCTAGACTCCCGTCTAAGGAGTTCTGCCGGTTGTGTAGAGAATGAAGAAACTGAAAAAGCGGTCAGGCCCAATAAAGGGCTGTAGAGCCATAATAATAATAACAATTGTATTGTATTGTATTGCTAGTGGGGTGGGACTAAGTCCCTTGTAATGCGACCACTTCTGGCCTATTGTACCAGCCACAGATGATAGGTGAGGGTGATTGTGGTGCAATTGGTGGAATGAAGATTGGCAGGGGAAACCGAAGTACTCGGAGAAAACCTGCCCCAGCGCCACTTTTTCCACCACAAATCCCACTTGACCAGACCCGGGATCGAACCCTGGCCACTTTAGCTTTAGCTCTGTAAAGTGAATAAAGGACATTAAGAACCAAGCCTCTAATTAATTTTTATTATACATTTATTTTATAATTAACAGTACTGTCAATATCTTGGGCTATGTAGCTTCCATGGGGGGCACGCGGTAGCGTAGTTGGTTTGAGTCACTATGCTACAAGCCGGAAGTACACGGGATCGAATCCCGATAGGGTGGACTTTTTCAATTGACCTAATCCTTCCAGCCGCACTATGGCCCTGGGGTGACTCAGGCTTTAACAGAAATGAGTACTAGGAATGTTCCTAGGGAATAAAGCGCTACCGGCGCGTAAGGCTGACAACCTTACCGCAATCTGTGAGCCGATTGTCTAGATAATGTGGGAGCCTCGATGTCTCACAACCTTATGGGACTCGACGGCCTGTTACAGGGGTAGCTTTACTTTATACTTTATGTAACTTCCATAATTGCAGTCAGCATAAGTGAAATATGTAGGAAAGCTAGGAGGTAGTGCCACAAAATGTTCAAATATGCATCAGCAAACAACAGGTCTCCATTACAAGAATCATGCACTTCAGGGTGTAGATGGTTTGGGCATAGTATACGGGAGGGAAACGAAAGATGGTTTGAAGATAATATTGCAGAGAAAACATCACTAAAGAACATATAAAGGAAAAATCGATATAAACGTGGGAAGAGGGTAGAGAGGGCTACACACTACGCTTCCTCAAGTTTCACCCCTTCCTCCAGTGCATCACTATCGCACTTCTATCTTATTCATCATCATCATCATCATCATCATCATCATCATCATCACCCTATTATTCATTAAAATCATCGATCCAGTAGTATGAACAGGGAATGAATTAATAAATACACAGACAAAGAAAGAAAGAATAAAAAAAGGACAAGAATTATACGTGTTTGAAAGCAAAAGTTCCAGTGGAGTATTTGTGCTTAAGAGGAAAGAAATCGAGAATTGAGAACATAGAAAAGAATGAACTTCCTTATTTGAATAGTGTAGGGTCACGTGGTAGAGTAGTTGGTTGAGGGGCTACGCTACCAGGCCGAAGCTCACGGGTTCAAGTCCTGATGAGGTGGATTTTTTTTCAATTTTCCTAATCCTTTCAGCAGCACTATGGCCCCGGGGTCGACTCAACCTCTAACAGAAATGAGTACCACGAATCTTCCTGGGGGGTTAAGGACGGCCGGCGCGTTAGGCTGACAACCTCACTGCCATCTGTGAGCTGATTGTGGGAGCCTCGACGCCTCATATCTCTATGGGCTTCCACGGCCTGTTACAGGGACACCTTTACCTTTTAATTTGAGCATGTGTAAGGAAATGTCCCGTAACAACTGTATTTTCGGCTCTGAAACTTACATTTCTCTTACCAGACATTTACAATGCCAATTAAAATAGGTGTTAATGCAATATTTTGGTTGCATTTCACGCAATCACAATTTCCATTCCCAAAACACAGCATAGAAATATTCGTGTTGTTTCTGTTCCTAAGTGTATATAACTACGCCTTTCCTGAGGTTTAAATTATAAAATTTGTGTACCGTGTGGGAAGATAAGAAAAACTCTGTGATCGGACACACACTCATGGAGCTGAGCCCTTCATGAGAAGCCGCCAGTTGTCCAGCTATTCAAGAAATTCACAGACCTTTACGGAATCCGAAGGTTCATTACCATATTCACAAGAGCCCTCCAGCGGTACTTATCCTGACCCAGATCAATCTAATCTATATCATCCCATCCTATCTCTCTGAGATCCATTTTACTATTGTCTACCAACCTACGTCTTGGTCATCCCAGTGGTCTCTTTCCTTCACTCTGTACATTCAACAATTCCTGTTCACAACACAGCAAAATATTAATATGATTTTCCTCTCTGTTATCAAATTCAAATCATATTTTCAATGAATGAATAATTTATTGAATCAGATACTCTTTGTATCAGCGTCTGAGTCACTTGCCAGACTCTCCTGCATCCAACTGTAATTAACATTCCTACAGTGTATCTGTTATGCATTATACATTAAACTTTTCTGTTATTGTTCCTACTGGTTACTAGTCAAATAAATTTGCTTACACCTCAGTATTTTGCATTCTTACTGTCCTCTCACATTTCTCCTTAATGTAATCGTGTATGTCTTTTATTATCTGCCACTGTTCTTCAACATTTCCTCCTAATACGTACTTCTCCTTCGATTTTTTCTAAATCTCTTCCCCAAAACTCGTCCCACTGAAATATTTGTTTCTAAAATACTCTTATTTACTGCATATGGGGCAAAACATCTGTTCAGTGTTCTTCCTAACCCCTTTTCAATCTCCGAGCTCCTATTTTCCACAATATAATTCCTTTCTTTTCTTTCCCTGTACGTAATTATATATATACCTACTACTCCCGGTTTCAGTTACCCTAAAAAATATTCTTATTTTAGGAAAAGAGACCAAATTTTACAGTCACACGAAACAGGAAATATTACAGTTCTGTGTACAAGTAAACAAGACACGAAATATTCTGACTAAAGCATAAAAAGAATGTAATAATTTTTTGTATTTTTTTAATGCTAGTGGGGTGGGACTAAGTCTCTTGTACTGCGGCCACTTCTGGCCTATTGTACCAGCCCCAGCGCCACTTTGTCCACCACAAATTCCACTTGATCAGACAACGGATCGAACCCCGGCGGCCGCGGTGGGAAGCCAGCGACTAACCGCTTGAGCTATGGCGCGGCCTGCTTTTTATTTGAAAACAAGACAAGGAACGTAACGCAGTAAGAATGTGATGTGGGCACGCGGTAGCGTAGTTGGTTGAGGGGCTATGCTACAAGCCGGAAGGTCGCGGGTTCACGTCCCGATGAGGTCATTGGGTTTTTTTTCAATTGATCTAACCCTTGCAGCAGCACTATGGCCCTAGGGTCGACTCAGCCTCTAACAGAAATGAGTACCAGAAATCTTCCTGGAGGATAAAAGGCGGCCGGTGCATAAGGCTGACAACCTTACCACAATTTGTGAGCCGATTGTCTAGAAAACGTGGGAGCCTCGACGTCTCACAAACCTATGGGCCTCCACGGCCTGTTACAGGGATAGTTTTACCTTCCTTTTTGCTGAGAGAAATTTAGAATCACATTGTGTTATGTGGTTGCAAAAAATAAAGTTGGACAGGCTGCAATCACCACTACCAGCAGAAGTCTCATGCGGTGCTAAGTACAGTATCACTGCCAAAGATTTTCCATCCGTGGTATAATACAGGCCTGTCCAACTTCAAACAGGTTGTGGTCGACTTTTTAGTGTCAAAACTGCAGTGATCTACCACCCCCTCCTATCGTCGTAGCTCGCTTTAAGCAAAAATATTGGTAAAACTAACAGGACACATGATGTTTCCTGTAAAAACAACTAGTAACTGGGCTGTCTCTCTGATGTCTGTAGCTTCATCCAGTTGGAGGGAGAAAGCAACACAACTGGAAACATCTTTCAGCAACTGTTCAGTTGTGTTTACACACATCATTTCTATTCGCCGCACAGTGGTGTTTCTTGATAATTGAAGATCTTGAACAGTAGCTATGATCTCTTTCTTATTTTATATTACAAGTGAATTTACATGCTTTTCACGTATAATTTCCTTATAGACCTATGAGATCGACCAAAAATCGTCCCGCTATCGACCTTTTGATCGTGATCGACGCGTTGAACATGCCTGGTATTGTACATACCTGTAACAACATGCAGATCTTTCTTTGTAAATTATGTAATGTGATTCTAAATTATTGTCGGAAACCCCGACAATAATTTTGAATCATTTTGTATATCGTCGAATAAGAGTGAATAATAAGATGGAAAGTGTGTGTGCAAGGTAGCTGTAATTGTCGAATTTAATGTAGCATCCTATCGTTTTTCGGAAACAACTGATGACAGCCACAGAAGTTCTCAGAATAGACGGTCTCCGGGCCGAAATTTGAACCTGAGGTCTTCCTAATAGAAAGCAGAAGTAAGTACTTTACAGTGGGAATTCGTAAGGCATATCTATATGTGAATTTGTTTACGATTTTTTATATTATACGTGAATTTTTAAGAGAATATGCAACTTAGTATAATTTTGATTTAGAACACGTTTACCTGAATTTTGGTCTTCGGACAATTGATAGAGAAGCCAATTAATTGTAAAGCTTTCGAAAGACAGGCACAACAAAGCTATACAAAGTAAATCCTACCCAAATCTACAGTGAAGTCACTTTTAGGGGGATTTCCTGTATTTTACATTAATTTCTTTTTCGACTTATTATCATCATATTTATCATCACTAGACACAAAAGTCTGCAAACCGGAAGTAAGGATGTGTCATTTCGTTTAAGAGTGTTTCATTACTTGAAGTAAATTATCTCAATATTATTTTCAAATCACATATTTATTTTACTTCACGTTCTTATTTACGGATCTAGTACAAGAAAACCCATTTACTGTAGCCAAATATTTCACTGGCAGACATGTCAAAAGAAATCGACTAGTACAAAAGCCTGGCTATCGACTACAGCTTTCTCTTCTTACCTTATCAACTGGCATCGAGGGGCACGCTCTACACAAATTCCAAAATGAACCAATCATGAGAAATTCTGCAATTTTTTTTTACGACACACTAAAGGCCACAGAAGACAAAAATGTATATAGTTTTGTTGTAAAAAAATGAGGCGTGAATATAAAGCACACCAACGGTCAGCAGGCAGGCACTCCGAACGACGCACCCCGCCACACTGCCCGTCCATCCACCCTCTCGCAGTAATCGATAAGGTCGGTGCCATGTTGCGTTGCGCCAACCCCTATCTTTTGTGCCTACACCCCCACTTCTTGCTTCTAAAAATTTGCACCAATACACGTAAGTTCATGGACATGTTAATCAAATTATGAACTGTTAAAATATGAACACGAATACACTGTGGACTGTCAATATATTATTCAAAGTTCTGCATTGTTTCGGCCTTCATTTTTTCTTGTTTTCTATTCTATCTTTTTAGGTCTCCATTTTTTTCTCGGATAAGATTACTGAGGCGACAGTGAACTTGTTTGTTTTCTATTTGACGACGTTCTGTCAGCTGAATTGGTTATATAATATCAGTTGACAACGGTCGATCTGAAACAAAATGGAAGAAAGCGTCGGTGTCAAATCATTACACCTGTATATGCCTTCAGGGACGGAATATAGCCATGAGAAAATGTCCGAATAAACAGTTATTCTGGCAGACACTCGAAATAATAAATCGTGGGAAACTCTTGCGTTATATTACCACACATCAGCCTTCGTCTATAAGGATTTAAAGGAGACTTTCGAAATCAATGGCGATGAAAAACTGTGGATTTATTACGATAGATCACGAACCAGTCACAGAATATCTTAATAGAATAACTCGCATTATAAATTTTTTAGTCATTTCCCCCCCTAGAATCCCCGTGAAAATTCAAGGAAAAATCCCTAAATTTGGCCTCGACCACTTCCTTCAATATTCTTTTCTAATTCAACATTTACATTCTATGCTATGTAACCTGTATAGGTAACATGGCACCACTGAAGAAACCAAAAGAAAAATCCATAATAAATAATATTTTATTGAATAGTTAAAAATTGACAACATATTAATCAGGTTAGTTAGTTTTAGAATTCGAGGCACGGGCCTCTCAAACGTGTAACCCTGACTTCACTTTATCTTGATATGCAAATGTTATAGTTCTACTTACTGTGATAGCATTATACAGTGCGTTCAAAAGAAACGGAAATGTGACGTGTGCAATAGCGTAAGGTACATTACTGTGTGACAGCGAAGGGGGAAACTGCGGAGGATTCTTCCCAACATGCATCGCTGACTCTCTCTACGTAAACAGAGCTCAGTTACCGATCACCTCAAAAAGGGGACACAGACTTAACCTATTTTATAAGCTTCATGGGATACTGAATGCGAAATGGTCCTCGTTCTAATGTTGTAGTGTTCAAATTGCGGTTCTCTCTAATCTGCTTGCTTGTTTGTGCTGTCCTGTATGCCTAATGTTGGTCATGTGGTGTGTGGAGCCGTGGTGGGGGTTATACTGGTGTATTCTGATTTTGTGGGTATGTTTTTATTATAATATCAAATATGGAGTTAGGAGAATCTGTGTCATTAATTCGTAATGCTTGTTTACTTAGGTTGTAAATAAGTAATTAATCCATAATACGTATGTAACGGCCGTCTTGTAGTGCACTCAATTTCACATGTCACTTCACTACATGTTTCGGCAACATTGTGCCATCTTCAGGTTCGTTATTTACCCTAAGCTATTACATTGTTTGCCATCTTGTGTGTTTCATAAAATTATTTAGAAAGTACATTATTCAACTATAATAAAATTTGTATATACTAAAACTTGTTAAGATTATTCATCTATATGTCTTAATACAAGACGGCCATTATATACGTATCATGGATGAAAATCAGTGCAACAGGACGCTAAAATACAACATTAAAGTAATTAAGTTTTGTGACATTTTCTGGAGTTCAGCTTCCGTAACTGAAGAAAGGACATTTTTATGGCATTAATATTTTTCTTTTAGCTTCATATTCGTATTTTCGAGATTTTACAAGTTTCTGTTTAAAAAAAATGTGGCGTAGAATTCCCAGCTGAGATGTAGTTATGGGTCCGAATGGCCTATATATGAAATCTTATTTTTATAAAGTGAGTAGCTTGGGTGGAATGTCGAATCCTTTGTCAGAGAAATGGTGACAGTATAAAGGAAGTAGCCAATTACTTATAAGACATTTCAGAATGGAATAAAAATATGTAACAACGTACATATATCGAAGACAATGAGTGCGTAGCCAAAAAATACAAAAACCTAGGAAGAGGCATGGTTTCGAATTCCGGTGCCCAGTTTTTTTAACATCTCGAAATTTACAAATGAAGTCAGAGAAGGCTTGTAAATAACAAAGATAGTTTTTTCTCAATAGTTTGTTCAATGTTAAATTTCCAGTATTTGCTACAAAAAAAAAAAACAACAAATTCCTTGGTTTCAGTCCGCAAGCGAACTATACCGACCGAGCGACCGCCGCTTGTCGGCGAAGTTAGTGCCAACTTTAGCGGATAGAGAGTGTCGCGTGCCCAGGGCAACGAAACCCCACGGCCGAAATAGATATATAAGAAAAGCAAAAGAAGTAATTGTACTGATTATTAACAGTATTATCTCAGATTTAAGTTAAGATCTATATTAAGAATCGCTGTGTAACCGCTCTTATAGAATAAGATATTTATAAGAATGTGCTACAGAAGGCCGGATGTGCATTGCCTAGGCCAGGCATGTCAAACTCAACTTGTACAGAGGGCCACCTGAGCCCTATAAATAATAGTCCAGGGCCGCACTTGAAAATAGAAATATACATTAGAGTTTGATACAAGGAAATTTAATTCTATTTATTATTTAGGAATAATTTCAATACAATTACCTAAAGTCACATATCTTACAGTTCTAAAAAGGAAGAGAATGCCATTTTTGACAAGTGTCAAACAGCTTTTCAGTATGTAAAAAGAGAGATTACACAAGAAATTATGTTAGAAATAGCAAAACACTGAATTTCTTGCATCCTGCTAATTTATGTCTGCGTGAGACTTCTTGTCTTCTGGTCTATTGGAAAAGTGTGTTTACAAAAAATATTTCTACTAAAATTTTAATATTGATTTTAAAATCAATTAGCTCTAAAAGTTGAGGGGCCCCACTTTGTGGCTATGGGGGCCGCATGTTTGACATGGTTGGCCTAGGCCTTCTTTGTATTTACAATATTTTTTCTACAATGAAAAATAAACCCACATGGCCGTTAATTTCGGTTTTCTAGACCGAAACCGCTGTTTCCTTGAAATAGCTTTTCAATTATCCTCACGAGGCTGAGTGGACCCCGTTCCAGACCCATTACTTCACAGAAAATATGGTAGCGCCGGGAATCGAACCCGAAGCTCTGGGCCTGTAACCAAGAACTCGATCAATAGACCACAGAGGCGGTCTGTATACTTCGCTTGCGGACTGAAACCATGAAGTTTGTTTTATTTATTGTAACCCTCATAAGAGCTGTCCTTAGCAGCCATTTAATATAGCCCTAGCCGACCTTTAGGACTTCTTCAGGATGGTGTACGTGTGGGGATGGGGTGGACTTGTATAAATGTTTCGAGCTATTATCGTAACTGCTAAGGCACGACCAGAGTGATTCAGATGGTTTACTATGCGTCAGTAGTATATTTCAGGCTAGGGTGAATCCTGTAAGGTTTTAGATTGGTTCTGCTTCACGGGTGGAGTTTGATGTTAACTCAGGTAAGGTAGACGGTGGGATTCATTCTCGGTGGTGTTCAGCAGGTTGTACTGATAGCTTAAGATGACCAAGAGTTTATTATTATTATTTTATTATTATTATTATTAGAGGGGATGGGTTTTCCCATGCACTTAGACCAGTTATTGGTCCATTGTGCTTCCCCCTTTTAATTTCTACTGTCGCCATACCCTACCGATACTGGTGCGTGCTATCAGCCCCGTTCAGCCAACGAGGTCGGCCCTCTGTATCTGATATTTCCCCATCTACCAGAGGCATTGGAGACTACTTCGGGCGGGAAACCTGTTGCCTAATTTTGCTCAGAGGTCTCCTAGAGATATGGGGATCTTTTACGTGCCGTAAATCTACGACACGGGACCCACGGCTTAAAGTCTCTCCCGGAGGACTTGTTCCCTGAATGTTTCCGCCCTTAAACATTCCACGACCTCCGCCGGGTTTGAACCCGCGTACCTTGAGTCATGAGGTGGGAACTTTACCCCTAGACTACGCAGGTCGCTATGACCAAGAGTTACTTCTTCACGCTACCCCCTGATACCAACAGAAAACGCTGTATCGATTCGTTCATAAGATTTATTTATCAGCAACATAAAATTACTGCTGCAAACACAAGACCATTGTTAACATGACGACGTAAGTATAAGGTAAATTTGGGTACTTTCTATATTTCCGAAGATGTGTATATTTGAATTATTTATATTTGCCAAACTATAACTTCTGTAATCCCACTCAAGGAGTGGAGGTCTGTGTGCGTTTATTCTGTATGTAGGTACAGGCCTTGTGACGGGCTGATCATTCGTCCGAGGAGTCCTACCGACTGTTTGTATAAAAAAGATTACGTAACTGAAGAAGAGGCCAAGGCCCAACAAAGGGCTGTAGGGGCATCGATGGACGAATGAATGAATGACTTCTATAAATTGGTTTCGTCCACTGAACTACCCTGAAGGCCTAAATAGTTAAAAAGTCAGAGATTTGGAATGTATTATCGGAGCGCTATTCGGGCACGTCCGAAATCAATCGCTGAAATTTGCGATGTTTACAGCAAGTCAGCCCCGAAAAGAAGCGTCTGTCCGCAATTCCAAAATATTGGACCCGGACGGGTCTTCTTTCAGATTTTAATTGGCTGGTCCCAAACAGCCGGGAGGGCACAAGAATCTGCCTTCTTCACTTACAAAAAAAGAAGTGAGCGATTTTTAGCTTAGGAGAACTCAACTGTTGACTAACACCTAACAATTGAATGCAAGACTTGTTGTAAGCCACATTTAAGCGAAAAAATCTGGCTAACCCACTCATCTAAATTACTATATGCCTTATTTAATTAATTAATCCTAAAGGAAATAATTAAAGTCCCATCAAAGTAATTTAAGGTAAAAGAGTATACACTCAAATCTGAACTGCTGCGCTGTGCACAAATATACAAATTCGAATTTTCTAAAATCGTCGGAAATTGATCTTCTATGAAAATTTGATGGTATTGTTAAAAGTTTGACGGACCTATCTCTGCTTATCAGCTAAAAATAACCATAAATTACAAGAGGAGAAAATTCATACTTAAAAATATATATATAAATGGGTTCTAATTATTATTATGTTATTGTATTTAAGCATCCTGTTGCGTTAATATACTCTTCATTCGCGCTATACTTCCATCCACAATGCAATTCGTTTATTACCTCCCTCTCCTAAGCCTCGAAGGCCGATGTGAAGGACAGAGGCACGCAATAACTCATCTCCTAATAAAGAATAAAAATATTATGTAAAAAATAAGGCGGCCCTGCGCACTACTTGCGCTCTGCTTCCTTAAAAGCTGGTCTGAACGGAGCAGAGTCTGTACCATCCTGAAGAGCTTGCACTAGCTAAGCTGTGCTAACTAATATAAGTTATGTTGAGAGAGCACAGAGCAACAACACAGCCATCTAAGAGAATTTCGGGTGCCATTAAATACTATGAACTTTTTCACGAATTGAGTGGTTAAGCTTCTCAATAAGGAATCCGCTCCATGCAAATAGTTAATACTAGCTAGTTCGTTACGTCACATGTTACGCTTAATGCAGGTCGTACATATTGCGGTTTCATTTTTCAAAGGGACTAAGCAAAACTGAGCGAAAGATATTTTATTCTGAACGACTACGACGTAAGAGATTGTGTTCACACTATTAAAATTTTCATGCACTGATTCCACCAGTAATGATTCAGTTATAATTACAGCGTCATGTTTTATGGGTGACTATAGACGGGGTATGGATTGGTGAAGGGATTTATTGACCACTTGCACACACCACTCGGAACAAGAAATTACAGCGCTACTGCTAATCCCCACAACTTACAGATCACCACAGTACCCGTTAAGTCTTTTTCTAGGCTGCTGTCTTCAGCAACCGTTCCCTAGCATCGCCTTCTAACAGTGATTTTTAGCTTCCCGCGCTCACATTGTTACTGTCTGCAACTGAACTCTTGGAAAACTCTGCATTTACACTTCTACGCTGAATTATAAATTAAGGCCATTCTGGTTATGGTAATTAAATTTTATTAGAGTATACCTGCCACTGTTCCTTCACCAGCAGAGGCAATTAAGTTAATATAAGGTATAAATAAAATTCATAGTAAAGCCCATATTGTTAAATATGTATATATAGTGTGAGACTTGGTATTGTTAGGAAAGTGGATATTAAGATTATCATCTTGTGGGATGTGGCGCTGTGTAGTTTTGAACACATCCTCACATTCTACAAGACCAACACCTTAATTTACAAGATTCATTTCCTGTTCTGGAATGGCCTAATATTTATATTTTGCATTCTGTTGTGTTGTAACAAGGTGCTGCAGCCATTGACACAACACTAAAGTAAATTAAATTTTAATAAAATCAATAAAAATATCATTGGTTTAAACAACTTTTTCTCATTCAACCACTACATACAGTATTTTGGTTGCATAGGTTATCCTCAGTTGATCTGTAGATAAACAGGTGATTAAAATACATTATTACTGACTTGAAGAGTTAAATCGATCTGCTGTTACAATAAAAAATGCCGTAACAAATGCTTGTGAAAATATATAAACTATACTGGTTTTCTTAAACTTTTCAAAAAGGCTCAAATTTATTTGATATCACATGAGTATAATGGGGGGCTTCTTAATTGTGCTGTAGGAAGGGTGTACATGTATAGCTGAGTGACTAAGAGTAATTTAGTATGTACTGATAGTTTAATATTTTATATTATTAGTGGATTTATATTCTTCTGGAAATTTGTAGAAGTAGGACATATACAATAAAAAGCTCTGTGGGGGTATACATGCAGTCCTCATTATAAATGGATAATAGGAACCAAAAAATTTCACCGATAGTGAATTCACTAACATCAAGGAACAAATGTCCTTAGTCGTTAATGCAATTATGGTTTACTTGGGACAGTGTCACAGAAAATGACACCCATACAAATGGAAAACAAATGTAAATATACTACCAATACATAAGAAATACAAAGAACTATTTAAATGTGTCTGTGGCACGAAAAGTGATACACACATTCCTATTGAAAAGCATGTGTAAAAGGACCATTTATATACTTCATCATGATACAATTTAATCAAATGTACAGCATTTTGGTTTGCTTCAATGAATGGTGGGTGGGCTGCCAGTTTAGGGTTAGTCAGAAAATAAAGCAGAGGCTGCAGAACCATGCATCATCTACCATAACAGGTGCCTGGAGACAGTTTATCCTGGTTGAGGGTCATCACGCTTTTCCCATGACTGATTTTTAAAAAAGGAATAGAGAGCTGATTGCTTCCTTCTGTGTAGCTTTTCATCTAAAATTGTCTGTTAAGGTGAAAGCAAATCCTTTATTCCTCACTCAGACTTTGCTGCTGCTGACATAAAAAGGATCATTACATTTAAAATGCTCTGATCACCTTTCTAAATAAATCTTGTATGCCATTCAATGTCAATCCCCTTTCTTTGTGAATTCATGCTTTTTCATCATCATCATCACATCTGTTTCTTTCATTGTCAGTTGATGTGATTGTGCAACTTCATCATTTACTGGCTAGGAGTGAGAATCCAGTAGATCTACATCATCTTCCGCTTCAATAAACATCAGTTTTAGCAAGATATGCAACTTCTTTATGCATTCAATCTATGTTAAACTCTTCAAAGGCATGTTATACGAATTACGAGTATAAATTTTTCCAGCAGTCATTCATTAAAGGTGTTGAAATATCATCGCAAACCTAACGTGTCAGTCATATAGTCCAAAATGTTGAAGTCCCCCCACAAACTCTGCACATTATTTTTTTATTCTGTATCAGTTTCAACAATCAATTTATGAAAAGTATAGCATAAGTAATAGGCCTTCAACACATTTAATCACACACTGATCCATTGGTTGCATATTTGTATTTAGAAAAACTAGATGGTTTGATTCCTGGTAGGGGCAAGGACATCTCTTCACCTCCATTACCAGATTGGCTCTGGAGATTGATTGTACAGCCTTCTACTCAATCATACTGGGGGCTCTTCTTCCTCAGAAGTGAAGCAATGGACCATAAATCTGACCTTCATTAAGTCCCAGGATTTAGATGCATGAAACTTTACCTCCAAGTTTCTTTAACAGAACATGTCAATTTTAAATTCCTAAGAACCTCAAAAGTCCTGGGAGCAGCATTTAAAGAACTCTGTCTGTGACAGGTGTAAAAATTTGTTCTGTTAAACTTGTAAATATGTTCTGGTACCTGGAAGAAATGGAGCCTAATAGAGGATAGATGAGAACAGGTTACTTAAATTTATAAGAATTTCAAGATACAATTTTCAGAATGAAATATTTGCAGTTTTAATGATACCAATTTTGTAGGTGCACAGATAAAATTAATCATTCTATTATTCAAGGAGTTGCAACTACTGTTGTACACAGAGAAACCAAGTAAAGAGAGCAAGGGCAGACTTCAGTGCAGCTAAAATCTTCTTCACTACCTGCATCCACACTAGTTACTGAAAGGACCGACACAACATTTCCTTCAAGAATGGTAATATTTTGGGATTTGTGAGAAGTGCAGTCACACACACAAAATTACCTGTTTAATGTTAACTCTCGTTCATGATGTGTATTTGTATCAACTGTCTTACAGTTTCACTTTTCTCCTCACTACATGTTTCGGCACTAATGTGCCATCTTCAGTTGTGGTTTTATTTACGTCAAACTACTGCACTGTATACAGTTGCTGGCAATACAATGCACGCAGTCACAAGGGAAGGACACAACATACACAAGAATATAGGAAGAGTACTCCCATAGGAGAGGATTGACGTAACTTGCGAATTTGAAGTGCGAAATATAGACGATAAATCTTGAAAAGTTTTAATATATACATTTTATTATTATACATGACATATTTACATTTTAATCATTTTATAAAGGAGACATGATGGCATACAGTGCAATGGTTTGACATAAATAAAACCACACCTGAAGATGGCACATTAGTGTCGAAACATGTAGTGAAGAGAAAGGTGAAATTGTGTGCACTGTAAGACGGTTGATACAAATACACATCATGAACGTGAATCAGTGCAACAGGATGCTAAAATATAACATTAACATAATGTTAACTCAACAGATATAATGGTTTTACCTACAGGATTTTTTTTACATGATACTAAAGGCTTTTGTGAACACAGAGACTGAAAACTTCAAGTTTCATAAAATGCTGGGTGTTTGTTTACTAGCAGAGCAACTGGTAGCTTCTCAAAGTTTCTGCCCATGGAACTAGATAGCTGACCTACAGAATATATTTTAAAGATCTTCATCAGTACTTATTTGGAAGTTCATTTTGTAACCTGAAACACTAATGGTGATTGGAAATAAATACACAGAACTGAAACTGTGTAAGGTTTAGAGTGGTCAAACTAAATGAGATAAACAGTTACAAAGCAATATACTGCTATTCTCCGGAGAGCTAATGTATTAACTGATTAATATATGGCTATACTTCAACATATATCCATATATACAAACCTCTTCAAAAGCTGAGTTCACTTATGTAAAATAATTTGCTGGGCTTCTGTGTATAGAGGCAAACATAAGTATGGAAAACAGTGTTACAAAAGTGGTGTAGTATTGTACTCTTTATTATGCACTAAAAGTACGTCTCCTACATAAACATACCTGAGCACAAAGACATTTCCAATATGTAACAATGATACATGTGTGAAACAAAATGGGTTTCCACTACAGTGTTTGATTTGTAACCATGAAAAATATAACAATGTAAAAAATGCTACCAACTTCTACCCTCCATAATTTAAAAAAGACAAGTCATGTAAAATTTATTAAAAAGAGTCATCCGATACCTTAAGCTTAAGTTCATTGAATCCATATAAAGAAATAAAAATACATTTAAGAACTAAAATTATAAAAGTTCTTAAAATAATATTAAAATACAGTATTATTTTAGATGTACGCAATTTATGCAAGAGTGAAAAATGTGTTATACAAACTGTGACATGGATCCCAGGACCACCACATGAATATGCAGTGCTTCAACTGCTGAGATACAATGGTTCCAGGAGATTCAAAACATACACACCATGCCTCGAGTGTGATTATTCACTAAAGTAAAACGTCAATCCAGAGACGTATTGTTAGCAGAACTGAGTGCTGTGGGAGTGCACTGCCTGGCCTGCACGGGCCTCTCATCCTATCTGCAAGATTCAGGAAACTGATCTGTCGATGCATAAGACTGAGGTTGCCTTCACTAGGGATTCTGCACGTACAGAAAGTTAAGCAGCATACATGTGAGCCATGTAAACGTGAGTAAGCAGAGTACTGTGATCAGTGTTGCTGCTGTGAAGTAATGAGTAAAAGAACTGATCAAAAAAGTGTAAGTGGTTACAAACGGTAGGATAGTAGGCGCTCCAAAAATCAATGTTTTACAAATGTGATTATGTAGATTATATTGTAACGTGTTTGGAATCCAGAGGAGTCACTTCTATGGAAACGCTAGAACAGACCGTTGCATAGGAAGTAACAATAGCGGTATTACAGCCCCAACAGTTGGCTGTTGCGTAGGAATCGCAGAATCAACAAAGCAGCGTTTCCACGGTTATAACAGAGGGTTCATTTGCATGGCAGCGGCCGAGGTTATAAAACGGGGTTGAACGCATTCGAACAGTCAGTCTTGGATGAAGAAGGTTGGAACCTAGACGCCAAGGGATTGTGTAACCAGTACTTGTAAAGCTGCAAGTCATAATAGTTGTAAAGTGTGCAAGTGAACTGCAATAAAGATTCACTATATTTAATATGGCGTAAAGTTATTTGTAGCGTGACGTATCCAACACGCTACAATATGAATAATAAGTAGCCAGGACAGCTCAGTTAGCACAGCAATGGGATACAGGCTGGACAGCTGGGGGTTCCACTCCTGTCAGGTGCACGAAATCTGGTCCTTTCCAGAGCATCCAGACTGGCTCTGGGGCCCACTCAGCCTCTTATCCAGTTGATACTGGTGTCTCTTTCCCCGGGGTCAAAGTGGCTGGGGCACCATGCTAACCACCCATCTCCATCTAGTGCCGAGTTTAAGAATGGTGGAGTTATACCTCCACTCTTCCACACGTCTTCATGGCATGATGGTTGATTAACTGACTACAGGGACAACTTTACCTATATGAATAAAAAACAAGAAAGCCATATGGGCTCTTAAATCTATTACAATTTAAAAATGAAATGCTATATCGGCATGTGGGGTGGAAACGGTAAAAGGGTTTTAGGACAATACGTTCATGACAAAAAGCAGTGGAGCTAATTTAGTCACTGATGAACATCACTCGATAAAAAAACAATCTATCATATTTTAATTAAAAATCACACATCTGCTTCAGGTGCTGTCACTCTGCATGTTTCAGGTAGCATGGGAGTGCTGAATTAAAATCCTCATGAAATTTTCATTCTGATGAGCGAGTAGCATGCCTTGGTTTTCGTAGCTCCAGCAGCAAAGTTAAACTGTCATGAGAGGTGACTCATTTCAGTTTATGCTGAATATGTTATTCATTATACTGAAGCACAATTACCTTAGACCAGGAGGAAACACATCCATTACAACAACATTACTGGGTATGTTCGACACACAATGAACCTCCCCTTTGGGCCTCAAATGGTTTAAATTGTTATTCAACTTTTTGTTTTGAGTCAATCGCAAACGATGTGCAACCTCGTAACATTCCTGTAAACGCTGTTCAGGTCTCATTTCTGTGTATGTACCTACAGGATGTTGCCTACCAGTCATATTCACCTGCTCACTGCCAAATACTGGTACCATACTTCCTTGAATATTTCCAAATGGGGGGGGAAGACCTGATGCACCCCTTTTCCTGTTCATGTCCATTGGTGAGGCACGCGTTTTGAAAGGTGGAGGAGAAGCATGCGGCATACCATACCTCATGCCTGACCTATCCTGAAACTTAAAATTGCCATATGCAGGACTGCAGCCTCCTCTGTACGGTGGCAAACCCCCTGGATTGGAAAACCTCCCTCGGCCAAACTGAACACCATGCATGGGACTCTGGTGTAGGCCAAAGGGAGGATTGTAGACTCCGAGAGCAGTATTTGTAGGATTCCTCATCACATTCAGACTGGGTACTGTTGATGACTCGGGCCGTATTCTTCCACCCGCAGCTCTTCCCCTACCAGCACCATCATTATGTTCAGATTTCCTACGTCGACCTTGTTTTCTTTGTGGACACTCTTTCTGAATATGGCCAATTTTCTTACATATACGACAGCCTCTATCATTTGGTGGGTTACCACTTGCCAGCTTCTCAGACTTGAAGAAGTATTCCTGTAACCAATGAAGTATATTTCAATCTGCAGGTTGCCAAATTTTTGGGAAGTACACTTATATCCTATAACTAAGTAATTACTAAAAATAAAACTTCCCACTTCATTTACCATCACACATAATTACTGGGACCAAAACCAATAACCATTAAACGTAAAAAGGAAAGGTATCCCTGTAACAGGGCGTGGAGGCCCACAGAGTTGTGAGATGTTGAGGTTCCCACATTTTCTAGACAATTGGTTCATAGATGGTGGCAAGATTGCCAGCCCTACACACTGGCTGCCCTTTACCCCCAAGAATATTCCCGGTACTCATTTGTGATAGAGGCTGAGTTGACCCCAGGGCCATAGTGCGGCTGGAAGGATTAGGTCAATTGAAAAAAATCCAGTGACCTCATCGAGACTTCAACCCGGGACCTTTCAGCTTGTAGCACAATGCCTCAACCAGCTATGCTACTGCATACCCCCGCCCCCAATTAGCAGTAGGGGATTAATGATAAATGTTAACTGGCTGCCCAACTCTTATTACTCATACCATGATAACAGACTATGCTCTTGCTGCTAGTAATGCTCCAATTCCCAGCACCACACACCATGAAATTTGCAGAATGGTGTTGCACTGCTCACATCAGCACTAACGTTGCTGTCCCTATGACCCAACAAATTTGAACGAGGGTACACTACACACTATTAGCACACACATTTAATTTATCACTTAAATTTTCATGAAGCTTTAATCAATTTTATCATTTGCAGCAATCTAATACAGCCTGTGTAATTTAAATTCCAGGATATGAAACTATCCTAAGAAGTCAAAGTGTCTGCCAGATAGGTAAGCTTTCAATGGACTCCAGTAGCATAACTTCATATCATATTTCATGAAAATCAATCAACTGGCTCAAAAATTCGAAGTGAGACACACAGTACAGCGCTCTCTTAAGTCTAATCCTATTCCTTAGAAAGGTATAAAAAAAAGGCAACTATATCCCTGTAACAGGCTGTGGAGGCCCATAGGATTGTGAGATGTCGAGGGTCCCATATTTTCTCTAGACAACTGGCTCACAGATGGTGGTGAGGTTGTCAGCCTTACATGCCGGCTGTCCTTCACCTCCCAGGAAGATTCCTGGTACTCATTTCTGTTAGAGGTTGAGTCAACCCCAGGGCCATAGTGCAGCTGGAAGGATTAGGTCAACTGAAAAATCCAATGACCTCATCGGGAATTGAACCCGCAACCTTCCAGATTGTAGCAGAGTGCCTCAACCAACCATGCTATCACGTGATTCCTTTTTCTTAAAAAAGGAAAGGCCATAGTAGCGTAGTTGGTTGAGGTGTTATGCTACAAGCCAGAAGGTTGCAGGTTTGATTCACCATGAGGTAATTGGATTTTTTTTAATTTACCATATAAACGGAGTGGATCCACCAATATGTTCGTGCACTTGCACACACACACAGATATATATATATACATGTGAGATATTCAAAAAGTTTCCTCACTTTTTATTTTACAACTCTATTTTATTGATGATTATAAAAACAAAATACGAGGGTCAGTCAAAAAGTTCCCGGAAGGGTTTTATAGCACTCTAATGGTAGGACATATGGCAACGCTTACCTAATCACCATAAAAGTAGGACCCTTGCGCACACACACACACACTTGCTCCATTGATCCGGCCATTGTTGGAAACAGCGGTGGAAGGCTTCTTTTGGAATCTTCCAGAGTTCAGCCGTCACATTCGATTTGATGTCCTCCATGGTTGTGAAACGTGTCCCCTTGAAGCCAATTTTCAGAGTAGGGAACAGCCAAAAGTCACTCGGGGCGAGATCTGGAGAGTACGGCGGTTGAGTGATGACAGGAATGTCTTTCTTGGCGAGGAATTGCTGCACAACAAGCGATGTGTGGCTCGGTGCATTATCGTGACGCAGAAACCACTGTCCCTGCCACTTGTCATGCCGCTTCCTCCAAACCGCATAGCGCAACCTCTGCAAAACTTGCATGTAGAAATGGCCAGTAACAGTCTGTCCAGGCAGTACGAACTTATGGTGCACCAAACCGATGATGTCAAAGAATGCAATGAGCATCACTTTGTCTTTGGATCTGATGAGGCGTGATTTGTTTGGGCAGGGAGACGATGCTGTGTGCCACTACGATGACTGCAACTTTGTCTCTGGGTTGTAGGCGAACACGAATGACTCATCACCAGTGATGATCTTTTTGAGAAATGTCAGGTCCTGCGTACTTTTGTCAAAGAGATCACCAGTGACCATCATGTGACATTCCATCTGATCCGTGGTCAGCTGCCTCGGAACAAACTTCGCACTGACATGTCTCATCTTCAAATCATTGGACAAAATGGCATGACTGGATCTGTGAGAGATACCGAGATCTTGCTCCAGCTCTGCAATGGTCATTCTTCAATCACATCGAATCAGTTGTCGCACTTTTCCAATCATTTCGTCGGTTCTGGATGTCAAAGGTCTCCCGCTGCGCTGGTAATCCTCTAATGTCTCCTGCCCATTCTTAAACCAGGAAAACCAGCTGTAAACTGCGGATTTCTTTAGTGCAGTATCACCATGAACTTGCTGAGGGGCCGATGGCATCTCTGAAGCAGATTTTCCCAATCTGCACATGAACTAAATGTTCGCACACTGTTTGAACTGTGACATTGCGCCGAATGACCAACACTCATGTCTAATTAAAAAAGAACAGTAACGACACTGCACATTGAAACCTGTCCTGACATGCTGAGCTCCCCACCACAACAGTGTGTGAGCTATCTTACTGCTCGTTCTCCATCTGCAGAGGAATTCCGGGAACTTTTGACTGCCCTACGTATATCACTTCTCTACATAACTGCCCTGTTTTCAACACTTTTTCCCAGGTCTACCAACTTCTTAATGCCATCATAATAGAAAGACTTCGGTAGTGCATACAGCCACTGATGCACCGTGTTCTTTACGCCCTCAGCACATTGAAATCTCCCTCCTAGAGCTTCTTTAAGCAGTCCAAAAAGGTGAGAATCAAATGATGCCAAATCTTGACTGTGAGCTCGATGTTCCATGACTTCCACCCTCAATTTCCTGAGGGTTTCTAACTTGTAAGCTGCAGTATGGGGACAGGTATTGTCATGCAACAACAGGACGACCACTGAGAGTCTACCTCTCCTTTTAGAGCAGACTGCAAGCTTCAGCTCTCTCTGAAGCATGTCACAATTGGTTGCTCTTGTGACAGCTGTTCCACATTAAAGGCAGGTGACAAGAAGAGGCCCTCGAGAATCCCAGAACATGGTCAATATCAACTTGCCTGCTGATGGTTTCTTCCTGTATTTCTTTGCAACAGGAGATGATGGATGCTTCCATTGCATGCTCTTCCATTTGGTTTCTAGTTGATAGTGGTGAACCCAAGTTTCATCACCTGTGACAATCCACTGCAGAAAGTTGTCACCTTCTACTCAATAAGAAGCTAAGTGGCAGGAACAAATGTCTAACTAATTAATTAATTCCCTTAGTGGGGGGTTGAGTCCAACTGATTATGACGATGAAGAATTTGGTGGAATGAAGATTGGCAGGGGAAACCGAAGTACTCAGAGAAAACCCGCACCAGTGTCAATTTGTCCACCACAAATCCCACTTGACCAGACCCAGGATCGAACCAGGGCAGCTGCGGTGGGAAGCCATTGACTAACCACTTGAGCTATGGTGTGGCCAAACAAATGTCTAAGCTCATCTGCCACTTCCTTAGGTACGCACCAGGCGCACACTTTATGGAACTGAAGGTTATCATGCACCACACAATAGGCACACTTAATACTGATATTCAGTTGTTTTGCAATTTCATTGACCACCACTCTTCTATTTTGAAGAATCTGCTCCCTAGCTCTTTCTTCATTCTGTGCAGTTGTGGCTGTGGTTGTGCGATCCAAGCGCTCTACATCGGTCACACTCATATGGCCGTTTAAAACATTTCAATCCATTCATATATAAATCTATGAGAGATAGCATTGTCCTGATACTGAGCACACGTGCTGATGAATCTGTCCACCTGGTACACCTTCTGCCCACAAAGAATGTATCAGATATCATTGTTCCTCCTTGGTGCAATTCTCAAGTTTCGCTGATATGTTCACCACTTTGTAGCAACTCTCACACTAACTGCAAAGTCAACAGGCCTGCCTTGCAAACTAGTAATATGACACCCGAGAATACCCCCCCTCCCACTCTTCCGAATTTCTTCAAAAACACAAAAGTTGGGAAACTTTTTGAAGATCCCTCGTGCTAAATATTATATACTATAATGAGTTGGATTTTTACTCTATTGGGTAACCCTGTAGTTATTTTGCTAAAGTTGTAGATATTGAATGTTTTATGTGAATGTGTAGTACTGAACCAAGAAAGCCAATCTCCCTTAGGAATAACAGCAGAACACAAGAAAAGGTGAGAAGACAAGACAAAGAGTGTGCTGAGCTCTTTAATGTTTCCCTAAATCAATTTTCAAAAAAGTTATTTAAGAAAAACCTCACAGACTCACCTTTATTATCACAGTGGGAATTATTTTTTAGCTCACAGTGTTTCAAAAGCCACTCTGATTGGGTGTGTGTCTGTGTGTGGGTGAGGGAGAGAAAGAGATGGAAATATGAGGTGTACAAGGTGTGGCAATAAAGAAACCGGATTCATGCTCTAACCCTTTATTAAAAAAAAATCAGACAGTCGAAATGTTATCCCCTTCAATGTAGTCCCCTCCCCGATCCCTACACCGCTCCATGCGAATTTTCCACTGTTGGAAGCAGTGCTGCAGGTCATCTTGTGTTATGCTCTTCAAGAGTTGCGTCGCTTTTGCTTTCACTGCATCCACGGACTCGAACCTGGTCCCTTTCAGCGCAGACTTGATTTTTGGGAAGAGAAAAAAGTCGCACGGTGCTAGGTCCGGAGAATACGGTGGATGTTCCATCACTGGAATGTTGTTTTTTGCCAAATACCTCTTCACAGATAGCGCGTTGTGTGCTGGCGCGTTGTCGTGATGAAGAACCCATGAGGCATTCTTCCACATGTCTGGTCTCCTTCGTCGCACACGTTCACGGAGGTACGTCAAAACATTTTTATAATAAACCTGATTGACAGTCTGACCTTCAGGCACCCAATCAATGTAGATTACCCCCCGGATATCGAAAAAAACAATCATCATTGCTTTGAATTTGGACTTGCTCATGCGCGCTTTCTTCTTCCTAGGGGATTTGGGGCTCTTCCAATGCATGGATTGTCGCTTAGTCTCTGGATCATATTGAAGAATCCAAGTTTCGTCACACGTAATTACGTTTTGGAAGAAATCAGGATCATTTTCAATGTTTTCAAGAGTGTCAACACAGCAATTCACTCGATGTTCCTTTTGCTGGGGGGTAAGGATTTTTGGCACCACTTTAGCACACACCTTTTTCATGCCCAGATCGTCGTGCAAAATCTGTCTAACACTTTCCTTATTGATGTTCGTAAGTTCAGAAATTGCTCGAATGCTCAGTCGACGATCTCTTCGAACAATTCTAGCGACCTTCTCCACATTCTCTGGAGTTTTCGCAGTGGGAGGACGGCCCGATTTTGGATCGTTCCCGACGTTTTTCCTACCCTCCATAAACTTCTTAAACCACTCGAAAACTTGCGTGCGAGATAGACACTGATCACCATATACTTCTGTCAACAAATTGTAAGTTTCAGTGGCAGATTTTCCAAGTTTTGTGAGGAATTTGATGTTAGCACGTTGTTCTGCATTAGCACTCAGCATTATTCCGACGGAGCTCAGAAACACGATCCGCTTCTAACAATGGTCGCGGCCAGACTAACCGATGCACGTGAATGAAACTTTGTGTGACGGTAGAGGGAAGTCCAAGGGTCAATGCCCTACCCTCCTCTTCGTCAATGACGTGGCCGGAAATGAGTCATAAAAGTAATCCGGGTTCTTTATTGCCACACCTTGTACATTTTTCTTTCAGGTGTGTTGGTCATCAATGGAATGGTCTAGAAGAAAGAGAGAGCTTACCTCAGCGCTTTCTGTTAACATAGAAGTGTCTGGTGGAGGTATTCCAAAGCACATATATCCTTTCCTGAATGATTTTATGATGTAGATGTGCACTGGAAAGAAACACAGTCAAAAACATGAGAATTACATTCTTTACTAAGAGGGCAATTATAACTCTTAAAAAAAGGGAGAAAATGGTGAATATACTGTGTTATTGTTACGGTATTTGAATATCAGTAATTTACTTTCATATACAAGGTGGTTCGAATATGACCGGGACTGATTTCTTTTTCAAGAACCATAATTGCCAAACACTTACTTGCACATGTCAGTCTTCAATGTACTCCTCTCCGGAGTCAACACATTTTTTTCCAATGTTCTGGAAGTATCCTGATGCCCTCTTCAAAAAAGGCTTGTGGTTGGTGGCATATCCACTCCCGAAGTCTGGATGACGGCGTCGTCGTCCACAAATCGCATGCCTTGCAAGTCTGATTTGAGCCTTCCAAACAGGTAGAAATCACCTGGGGTCAAATCAGGACAGTACGGTGGATGTGTCAGAAGGTTCCATTTCAATTTCTGGAGGGTTTCCATTGTTGTTTTGGCCGTATGAGGGCCAAGTAATAAGCTGCATTGACTGTTCTGGCATCTGTCAGAAAGTCTACATGGATAACCCCCTGCCAGTCCCAGAAGAACGTTGCCATCACTTTTCCTGCCGAACGGCTCCTCCGCACCCTCTTAGGTTTGGGAGAACTGGTATGCCGCCACTCATGTGATGACTGCTGGGACTCGGGAATGAAGTAGTTCACCCATGTTTCATCGGTGGTCACTATAGACTTTAAATGCATCACCTTCATCTTCAAACTGCATGGTACTCAATGCGCATTCACCTTGTAATAGTGCAGGTGGTATTTGATGATGTCTTCTACACTACCAACACTGATGGACAGCATGGCTCCACGTTCCTTGATAGGGATGTGCCTATTCTCACGAATAAGCACTTCTGCATGATCAATGTTTGGCTCGGTGACGGATGTTCGCGGCCGACGATCATGCAGTTCATTGTCCATGCGCTCTCTGCCCTTTCTGAAGCACTTACACCACTCAAACACACAGGTCCATGAGAGACACTCTTCCTCGTACTGTTGTTGGAGTACGTGGTGAATTTCAGTGGACGGGACATTTTCTCTGAGGAATTTGATCACAATGCGTTGTTCCATGCTCCGCGGTACCTTCTGTTCGCTCATCACTCTAGCAACTCCCAGACAGGACTGAACAGGTTCTAACCCGAACAGGAGGGAGGGTGGAGGTTGTGGCTTCACTCTCTCAAGGTCGCGCAGCTACTGTGCAGTGTGGCTTGTTTACACACAAATCAGTCCCGGTCATATTTGAACCACCTTGTACATTTGGGGAGAAAACATCAGATGCTACATTACACTTGCAAGTTATGACATTTTGCTTCACTACCAATATCATGGTTTTCAGGAATTTTTGCAGTTGGCACCATGTGAAATACAATAATGTTTTATGGGGGACAAAACCTTACACATATGCCTGCCTAGTAGTATCCTACCACATCACTGCCTGAGGTCAGTGAAAGTTCAGGGAAGGGGAAACCCATAAAAAAAACTCTGTGGTTTTAGTCCTCACGCGAACTATACTGAGTGACCACTGTTTGTCGGTGGTTAGTGCCAACTTTAGTGAACAGAGGATGTTGCGTGGCCAGCGCAACGGATCTCCATGGCGGTAAATTTCGCTTTTATAGACTGGAGCCACTATTTCCTTGAAATAACTCTTCAATTATCCTCACAAGGCTGAATGAACCCCATTCCAGACCCCATATATCTCAGAAAATCCGGTAGCGCCGGGAATCGAACTCTGACCACTAGGCCACAGAGGCGGTCTACAGGGGAAATCCATATGACGAGGAAAAGATACTGCATGGTGCCTAAGTAAACTACACAATACACAATTAAAGAAACTACTGGACTGACAAGAAAATTCAAAGGATGTCATGTAACATACATTTCTCAGCTCCTAGGCATAAATAACTCCTGAAGCAAATCTGAAAATACCACTGATGCAAAAAATAATGAGAAAATTGGTGACAGCATGGACTCACTCATTGTGATGAAGGCGTAGGAACAGAAGCCCTTAATTTATGTGGTTTTCCATATGCTAAATGTTAAGAAACTGATAGTTTCAATGGTTTTTGTCATTAGAGTGAAATCCTCATTACAAACCATACTCATTCTATCATGATTTAATTGTATAAGGTATACAAAAGATATTCAATAAGCAACCACAGTTTATTTTGGGCAACTAATGTTGGTGCGGGGGAGAGCCTGCACATGCAATGTAGCTTCACATGAGTCACTGTCTCGTAAACTACCATATAAGTGGTCATCTAATGTTTGCTCTTGTCTCTACAGAGTGAGTTCTGATGCATCCTGAGACTGATTATCCTGCCAACTGTGAAATTCATCATGAATTATGTGCTGCAATATACAGCCAAAACATAATGGGTGAAGGAACTGTAAGGCAATGGTGTAGAGTGTTCAAAGATTGGTGAACAAATGTTCACTATGAAAAGCGAAGTTGTCCGCCATCTGTAGTGAGTGACAATCTTGTTCAAAGTGAAAGACAGTGCTTCACAATTTCAGAAATTTTGTGTGAATTTCCACAAATTTCACGCACAGTTCTCTATCAGATTATCACTGTTAAGCTAGGCTATCACAAGTTGTGCGTAAGACTGGTTCCAAAAATGTCAAGGGCAGGCACAAAAACACAGAGAACTGCTTCAGCTTTGCGTTTTTAGAGTGATACCACAAAGATGGTGACAAATTTCTCAATTACATTGCATGAACAACAGGTGATGAAACCAGGGATCCATTTGTGAATGCTGAAACCAAAGAGAAGGCAAAGCAGAGGATGCACATACATTCACCAAACAAGCTGAAAAGGTTTAAACAAATATTGTCTGCCTGTCAGAAAGCTGATGGAAACTGTTTTCCAGGACAAGAAAGTAGTGCTGATAATGGAATTCATAAAACAAGGGACCACAATAACATCAGAAGTGTTTTTAAAAAGTTTAAGGTCTTTCATTCTGGTCCGTCACACTAACAAATTAACAATCAAGTTCCTTCCGTCAAATGTGACACTTTTATAAGTTTTCCACCTCGTCACCACACAAGCATCGCAACACACAGACAAGCAACATCAACAACCGACAGACAACACACATCAACAACATCCCGAAGAAAAAAGACTGGGCCAAGCGGGAAAGAATTCTAGGAATTTTAAGAATTCTTACTTCAAATAACGAAACATAATTTTTACAGAATTAACGACGAATTANTACCACAAAGATGGTGACAAATTTCTCAATTACATTGCATGAACAACAGGTGATGAAACCAGGGATCCATTTGTGAATGCTGAAACCAAAGAGAAGGCAAAGCAGAGGATGCACATACATTCACCAAACAAGCTGAAAAGGTTTAAACAAATATTGTCTGCCTGTCAGAAAGCTGATGGAAACTGTTTTCCAGGACAAGAAAGTAGTGCTGATAATGGAATTCATAAAACATGGGACCACAATAACATCAGAAGTGTATTGAAAAACATAAACAAAAAATGTGTATGGCCATTCGAAACAAAAGGCATGGAATGCTGACATCCGGTGTAGTGCTCCTCCATGACAATGCATGTCCATATACAGCCGCTCACACCTGGGCACTGCTCTGGAGCAATTCAACTGGGAGTTGTATGACAACCCTTCTTACAGCCCTGATCTCACGACAAGTAACTACTGCTCATTTACTTATCTGATGGAGTGGTTGGTTCACAGTGACTGAGCTCGCAAGTGGCAGATTTCTTTCTGGAGATAAGTGAACGCATTTGTATCTGTACACACGTGTGTATGCCTCTGTGTGTAGATGTCTACACAGGGAAACTGGTACATATTTTTACCTGCCTGACTTACTGTTATCATCTGGGTTATGCATGCATATACATGAAAATCACATGGAACTTCATAATACCCGAACATGACACCTCCCACAATTTCTTTTGTGTTAACTTATCACAAATATGAAATTTTCATAACTGTTCATATAGACAAAGTTGTTCAAAAATCTAATCCCCAAATTTAGAGCTAGTGTGTGACATGTTAAAAAAAGAGAAATTAATTTGAGTGTGAAAACTGAATATATATCACACAAATAAAAGTCCCTCAGAATATCCTACACCAATCCAATTTAATCCAACCCACACTGAACCAGTCTCTTTCCTGAAGACTTATTTCTAAACTATACTTCAGCTAAGCAGCAATCTTCAACAGCAGCATTTTTCCATGCATTTCCCATTATAAAGCTGTATATCTGTTACCTGTTCTTCCAGATGGAGAGATTGTTTTAACATCCTTGAGTCTATTATTCTAATAAAGATAAACAAAGAGACTTTATCATAAAGTTCCTCAATCTACAGTCTCAGTATGAATTTATTCTCTACTGCAAAAGAAAATCTTCATAAAGGAAAACGTAATATGATTTTCCTTACATTCCAATGAATATGACATTACAGTGTTATGCTTTGCAAACTGAAATGAAATAAATTTTAATATAAAATTACAAGCATTTAAATTCTCTTAAAAATCCTTCTGCATGTTTATGATATCTGGCAAAATATTTACTGTTTCTTGAAAGTCCTACTCCTAGGTTGTGGGTCAGGTCAAATGGATCTTCAATGGCCATACATTTGGACGTCCATAGTTTTTCAAAGCGCAGCAGCCGTTCCCTCTGTCGTATTGAAATAACATACTTTCCAAAATCAAACTCTGCACTGTAGAAGCCTAATAACTGAATCCAGAGCTCACCCACCGAGCTCATATTCTTGCCATAGTCAGGCCACAGTTTCTCCTGTGAATAAAATTAATAAAACATCATGTATTTCTGTGTTTTACAAAAGAGAAGCATTATGATACTACACCAAATCAACTGAGTTTGGCAAAGTATTTGAATAAGAAATTTTGGATTTCTAACCAATAAGAACCTCATTAGTACCCACAATGTGGTTCTTTCTCCTTATGAATTCTCTTCTGAACAAATACTTATTTATGTTCTGGCATATGACTTTAATCTATAATGGTACAAAGTTAAAAGATGGACTGCTTAACTGTTAAGTGCACATCAGTGGCAAAGAGAACTGTTACTGGAATGAATGGGTACACAGTTAATTAAGACCTGGATATTAATATGCTATGAAACAATGATAAGTTTCATTTGGAAGTTTATTATCTGGCATGTCTGACCCAGTGATCATGTCACATGAAGTAAATGAAGATCATACATTTTTGAGTAGCAGAACAGATCTAAACACGATACACATAAAGGAGGTTAGTTATGCATATACCACCAGCATAAAGAAATATCTGTGATGCACATAAGAAATCTTAAAAACTGTCAATTAGAGCAGCCAATCTAGTCCCCAAAACAAACTCCATGGTTTTAGTCCGCAAGTGAACTATACTGACCGAGTGACCACTGCTTGTCGGCGAAGTTAGTACCAACTTTAGTGGATAGAGCGTGTTGCGTGGTCAGCGCAACGAATCCCCATGGCCGTTAATTTCGGTTTTCTAGACCAGAGCCGGTATTTCCATTCAAGTAGCTCCTCAATTATCCTCATGAGGCTGAGCAGACTACTTCTCAGAAAATCTGGTAGTGCCAGGAATCAAACCTGGATCTCTGGATCTGTAGCCAGGAACTCTGACCACTAGACCACAGAGGCGGTCAATCTGTTTAACAATCAGCTGTTTGAGAATCAATCATGTTTTCAGGGAATGACCATTACTGAAACTTGGAGCAGACAGTATATACAAACATATGGGCCATTAGTCCATGTAAGGTTAACACAGTGGAGCTTGTATAACTCAGTCTGTATGGTGATAGGTTACGATAATGGTGAATACAACTGGTCATAAATTTGAACGTGAACTTACTACTTTGCCCAAGTCTTCATAGAAGTATGTGTCACAGCCTTCCACAAATCTCCGAGGTTTTGGTTGGGTTTCTGACAGCTGAAAGATAGAATAAGACTTGCTTAATTATTCTAAACTGACACAGCATCAGTGACATGCAATGAAAATTTGTTTTTAACCTCTTCTTGGCCACTGAACCAACTTGTCTCTTGAGGTAGTAGCTGCAGTCTGCCTTGCTCCAATCTGACCAACACTTACAGGCAGTTTTTCTACCACATCTCTAGTTTATTCTCTGTCCAATGACAAAAGATACATAACAGCATGCTATAGCTTATATTATGAAATGGAACAGCTTTGGAAGGAAGCAGTATTGGCCCAATCCAGGCATTCTCTCTGCATTTGCCTGGAGGGACTGAGAAAATCAATGAAAATCTTCGGTCCTGGCCAAGATTTGAACTGAGCACCTCCTGAAACTGAGTCTAAAGTGTTACCATTACAATAACCTGCTCAATGTACTGCTTGCTCTTCATATTTGATTTTCATTTCTTCTTACATCTTACCTCAGAACAGAGGTTTTTTTTGGTAAATGTCATTCAGTTTTTATGACTGTCTGAAGTTCTTGAACAGCCTGTAGCACTAAGATTAGATTTGAATTTAGTCATATAAATGTCCTCACCTCTTGCAACACTGGCAACACAGGAGGGCTGCACTGCTGAAGAAAATATATCACCATTAAGATGTAGGCATATGAAGAAAGGCTACCACGTGATGCATCACACATGTCACATACTTTTGCAAATCGTTTGAGCATGTATCCAAGCATCTGAAATACATTCAACAATTTATCTGATTTCAACATGTTTCACCATTTTATGTTTTTACAGTATGGATTGTTCTCCACACAATTCTGGCCATAATTGGGAACCTTTATTAGAAACTTTTTTATTTGCATCCACACATCCACTTCAATTGAAGATTTGAAGGATGCCAGTTACACATAGGCTTGTTGAAGATCTAGCTATCCTGGTCGGGGTCCTTCCTTAAATAGCTTCGTTCTAACCATGCAGCACACATCTAGTTGTACTGTTCTGTTACTGCGTTCTCTTGATTTGCTTCCATGGATACGTTAATTATGGAATCATTCCACAGCAATATGGTTCCTAGCAATGGCTGCAAAATAAGCATGTAGATGTTGCAATGCTTTGTTTAATGTGGGCAGTTTCCACAGATTCATTGAAATGCAGTTAGATATCATCATATCAGACCCACACATAAAACACCACGGACATACAGAGCCATTACTGTGCTACTGCTACTGCTACTGCATACAGAACTAATAAAGGAAAGATATACCTGTATATCCCAGCAGTAACAAGAGCAAAGAATCTAAATGTAAATATTTCTATCATTATATATTTACAAATATTTAAAATAACCAACAAAGATGCACTTTACATAAAATAATTTATAATTACTGTGCTTTCTAAGCTGGAAAGGGCCATTTGTGGCTTACTTTAAAGCTGATAACAAACAAAAAAAGGCAATTTTATTATTCTCATCAACTATGTTTTTCTGATAATACTAACAATAAAAATGGTACACACAATTCACTAATTATATGGAAAATTATACAGTGACCCCCAATTATATATTTCTTAAGTTAAGGTTTTCCATCACTTAACGCTAAATTTCACTGATCCCAAGACAAACAATCTCAGTGTTAAATTACCTCCATTCAAGATTTTCCTCAATTTAGTACTTACATCCAGTGCTCCCCAGAGAACTCCCAAATGGGCATTTCTCTGTATATGAACATGCAGTCTGATGACAATGCCCTAATGTCAAAACTTATAGCTGAATGCCTCATATTATGGTATGCTATATTATTAATTTATGAGTTCTGGGTTCCTCACAGCAATGACTACAAAGATTATTGTCTTCTGACATATGATGCCATGTAGTTTGGTAGATAGGAACCAAAGTTTCAGAGGAATGTGCTGCCCCCATCTTCAGGGTATTGGTTGATATGTACTGAACCATATAGTATCACATCCCAGAAAACAGTAAACTTCATATCATTAAGTGCTGTGTGGATGTAAATAAGCTTTTAGTAAAAGTCATTATTAATCACATACAACAGTAGCTTCAACAAAAATATAATGCATATCAACAATTAACATAAAAAACTAATTAAAATCATCACAAAAGATCTTTTATAATAAATAAAAGAATATCTGAATGGACAACATTATGAGTAAACTGCAATTCATATTTTAGATCATAAACCATTACAAGAAAGAATACAAATTTAGAGCACAGAGGGTTCAGTCCCACAGAAAACAAAAGATGTCCTTGAAAAGTATTGCAAGCAAAACAATGGGGAAGAAATCCAGAACGAGACCTAGTCAAACATGTAAGTTTCGGCAATACATCTACATTTTAGGTTAAAGAAGACTTTTAAAACATTTCATGTTCATTTAATTCAACAGTTAACCGATCATGATCAATACAACATTCTTACATTCTTGAGCTGCAAAAGAACTATAAAATTAATTACAAAAAGAATATATCAAAGGCAAAATCTTCCTCAAAACTGCATACCAGTCCATCAACAGTCTTTTTCTTTGGGGAGGGAGGAATGAAGTTGGTTACATGCACTGGAAACCCCATCTAGTATTGCCTGATTTAAGGAATTCAATCAAATATTCAATTTAAATGATCCACCAACCACATTATTAAATGATGTCCACTTAAGATTTTCCTCAGTTTAGTATTCAAATTCACTTATCTCAAGGGAAACAATATTTGAAACACCAGTTTCACAACAGATACTTATGGAATGATTATAATGAATACATACCTTTGCACGAGGATCAATCTCTGCATATGTTCTCAGTAACTTTGTGTTCTGCTGCCCAAGAGTGTTATAAATGCTTATATCCCCTTCCAGCTCAGAAACTTTATGGAAAAACTTCAAGATTGGGACCTTGGCTGTTGTGACAGGAACCAAGTTACTCATCACCCCAAGCTTCTTTAGCATATTTTGCAAGCCTTCTATTATTCTCACAAAATTATGTTCCTAAGAGAGGACAAAAATAACAGCCAAATATAATTCATTATTTCTCATTGAACAAGTTTATTCAGTGAGTTCTGATTATTAGCTTCCAGCCATTCTGAAGTAAAGTTGTCATCTCTACCTTAAAATGTCACACCAACTTCTCCCATATAAACTCTACCACCATTTGTGAGCCAACTGTCTAGCAAATGTGGGAGCCTCAACGTCTCACAACCCTGTGGGCCTGCATGGCCTGTTACGGGAATAGCTTTACCCCCTTTTTTTTTTTACACCTATATACCTATACCTCCCTCGTTGGTGTCTCCACCTTATCGTGGTGAGGGGGTTTGAGTATGCCAAGGACCCCGAGAGCTATACCAGCGGTAGCGTAGCTACTGGCAGGGCCTCCCTTGCTGGACAGGTCAAAGGGTAGGCATCAGACNATGTTTTTTTTAGTTATTTAGAATCCGGACAATGGACAAAGTCCAAAAACCCAGTATCTCTGTGTGTTATACACCATTGTCAGAACCTTATAGTATCTACTTAAGGCAGAAAGTTGGACAGTTAATTGATTTTTGGTTTTACCATAACATTTGAGGTCTCTCCCCTGGGTACTTCAACATTTTCTATTGGAGAACTTTTAAACATAATCAGTTTATCATTCAAGCAGTGTACATTTTATGTCAAACTTGGGTGTTTTCTCACTGAGCATTCAATATATAAGGGTTCACTTAATTACCTGTGTTTTCATCATGGAAAAATCCAGGTCCATTGATTTCTAGAGAAATAATAAATGTATGATTTCAGTATTTCACCTACCATCATCAGAAACATGAAAGAAGGCTGTCATAGGTTAAAATTCAAGGCTTAAATTCTTCTGAATACTATATCCATTAGCTGACTTCCTGAGTCCTTTCCATTCCTATACAACTTTGTTACAATTTCAAATAATTATTACTTAGCTTACATTACCTCATCAACATCTGTTAGCCAACTGTCTAGAAAATGTAGGAGCCTCGATGTCTCCAAATCGTATGGGCCACCATGGCCTGTTACAGGGATAGCTTTTTTTTAGTTTTAACCTTTAGCCATAATTTTCCTAACCTCTATCAAACGTGTAAAATTATATCCTGAAAAGCAGTATATACATACTTTATAAGTCACAACTTTTGGCCATGAAGCTTTGGTTAAAAAAAGAAATGTGTAACATATGGCAGTCCTTCGAGTGTGCCTGGTAACAATTCACTGTGGTCTATTTAATAAAGGTGGCAGTATCTATACTATAGAGCATACATGGCAACAAATGGTATGATGACTGATCAATAACGAGTTGAAAAAAAAGCAGTCATATGAGTAACCTAATTGAAATACTACCTTAGCATCTACTTTGAGGAAGCAAGCAAAACCATGAAAAACCTCAGTCAAGACAGCCAGTGCCCTGGCTGAGATTCAAATCAAACACCTCCTGAAAACAAGTATACAATACCACTGCTACTACACCAACCAACTTGGTGAAACTTGTAGTAGATTTAGTTTGCAAGAATGAAAACGTACACACAGCATAAGTCCCTCTCATTTCCACATGGTTTCCCATGACCATGTTACATTGTTTATTAAACTTCTGTTAGTAAAGAATGTAAAAAGTTTCAGAAAAATACAACCAATTATGAATTAATGCTGAATATTAGCACTATAGCCTTAAATCAGCTTTCATCACCATGAAAGATAATTCTGAAGCTGCAAAGTTACAACTCGCAACTGTGGCTAACCACAAATTACCTGTATCTACATCATAGTACTTGTAATAATATGAGAATACCAGTTCCAAACCCAGTGTCTCTCTTCAAATGCCATTTTCTTTGGTTAAGCAAAATGAAGGACACTGTTTGTATGGAATCATACCTGACAAATGTTGCCATAATGATATGTATCTCATAAGCAGATAATCTAACAGTTCCAAAAATATAAAAATACCTTTTATACAGTTTTTAATGTATAACTTATTATGTTGTTTTAACTTTGTCTTTTCTGTCATTCTACCTGAAGGGTGTACATTTTACTAGATCTGAGGTGCTCACCTGATTGCCTGTGTTAATAAGTAACTGTACTAGGACCAAAGATATCGATATCATCTTCAGCTGTTTTATCTCATAAGATATATGTAATTATCATATTTTATATTTACGTATATTTGTATTTGTTAACTGCATTTTAAGTATACCTTAATATTGAAATTCTGTGAAATGCATATGTTATGGTTGTGTTGTGTAGGCTTTTATGGGTTTAATTCAATCGATTGTAACTTGAACGATTTCCACTTTTTTGTGGTTTGATTGTCACTATGTATTTTTTATGACTGTTCTGTATGTGACTGAGTTCTATTTTATGAACTGTTCTTGTGTATGGTTTGATTTAATTGTGACTTGTTCTACATCCTAGGCTTGGCCAAAAATGATTTATTGAATTTAAGGGATAAATAAAATGAAATCTGTCAGTCCCATCTGTCCATCATGCTCTGTGTCTTGGAAACCAGCAATAACAGCAGACAAATGCAAACTAAAAAATCGTTAATTTGAGAAGAAAAACTTGGAAAATTACTAACTGTGCTGATACTTGGATGGATTTGAATGCAAGTCGACTTCCTCACCCATCCTTTCCCATATAAGGAAAGCGGGCATGATCATGATGACTATGGGTTTCATTTTGTAGTAACCATGGAAAGAAAATATGTTCTGAAGTTACAATGAGACAGCGGATGAGTCCAAGAACCTATCGATGTTAAATATAACGAAAATAAACAAATATTGCTCCTGAAACTGCAGTCACTGATTATTCTGCATGTGTGCACTAACAGATAATATGAAAATGTGAAGGCAATGGTATGTAATATAAATGGGTCACAAGAGACCATTTTCACATAAACTGTTTAGTCAAATCTGTTTTTAGAAGTATTTATTGTGGCACGTAGACCCATCTCTACACAGTCCGTGTGACACCTGCACAGCACAACAATGAAATAACTGTTGGAACAGTGTTTTTGTATGGTCCACGCCAAGATGTTATAAGTAGACAGGCACTGGAGTTAATGCAGTTCAGTTGAGTGAACCAGAGCAAGTTGGTTGGTGAGTGAGTTAGTTACAGGACTGCTGTGGTTCAGTCCTTGTGAACCGTTGCTGTTAAAAGCTGGTAGCTGAGGCACAGGGACAGTTTGGAGACCCACTGCCGTTGGAAGCAGTTACCAGGCAACAACAGGTGAAGACACAGCAGACTACAAACTGTAGTGAACTGCAGTGTGTGTGAATTAACAACAGTTATTTGTAGTTATTTGTAGTTACATTCTTTAAGTGGTTAATAAATTCAATTATAAATCCAAACCCCATCTACAGTCACTCATACATATGACAGCATATTTATATCTGCAAACAATGACAATCTCTTAATTGTGAATAAAAGTAAAACAATAAGAGTAATAATAACAAAAATAAAAACCTTTTCTTTATAGTTGGATAAATAGGAAAAATGCATTATGATGTATTCACACAGACTAACTGTAGTAGATCATACCTTGCCAGTTTCACTGTCTGTGAATGTCAGACAAATATCGATGTCAGATTTCAGTAGTCCAAACCCATTGCATGAAGAACCAAACAGTTCCAATTTTGCAGTTGGATAACACTGCACAATATATTCCTGCATATCCAAGACAATTCTCTCCCGTTTCTCCACTTCCTCTGGTGTTATTGACCACTTTGCTAAAAAGTGAATAGCCACAATTTATTTTAAACCTTTATATGCTGGGGATAACATTTAACTCTGTGCTCTTGGCCTCTTGGCTCATAATTACTCAAAACAGAATGTTTAAAAATTCCATCACTGAGAAATATGACTTGCAGGAATGATTATGAGTTCCAAACTATGCAAATTATATCAAAATTGCATAGGAATGGAAATGGCTTCATTCATTCATTCATTCATTATTAGACGGGGTGGGTTTCCCCATGCACTTAGACCAGTTATTGGTCCACTGTGCGTCCCACTTTAATTTCTACTGTCGCCATACCCTTCCAGTACTGGTGCTCGCTATCAGCCCCATTCTGCCAGCGAGGTCGGCCCTCTTCTGGCAGTGGTACCCGATACTTCCCTATCTACCTGAGGCATTTGAAACTACTTGGGTGGGAAACTTGCCTAATAATTTTGCTCAGAGGTCTCCTAGAGACATGAGGATCTTTTACGTGCCGTAAATCTACGACACAGGACCCACGGCTTAAAGTCCCTCCCGGAGGACTTGTTCCCTGAATTTTTCGCCCTTTAAAAATCCCACGACCTCTGCCGGGTTTGAACCCGCGTACCTTGAATCATGAGGTGGGAACGTTACCCCTAGACTACGGAGGCCACATGGAAATGGCTTGGGTAGACAACTAATGGATAGAATGTTCAAAAGAATTTAATGTTTGAATTATAACCCCTAACAAGTTTCTTTCATGTTTCTGGTGATGGTACATAAAATACTGAACTCATACTGTGATGTACTGCTAGCCAATGGCAGGAACCTTTAAATGTAACATCGAGATGACCTTGACTGGATGGATGTGGTGATCCTTACTGAGAATCTGCTGCAAAGATGTGATGCATGCCACTAGTTAGTATTGCACATGAGCAATATACAGTAATAGTAATACCAGATGGTGTTTCTAGCATTGTTTCAATGTTATTATTATTATTTTGGAGGGGGTGGGTTTCCCCATGCACTGCGACTAGTTGTTAATCGATTGTGCATCCCCCTTTAATTATTCTACTAGTCGCCATGCCCTTCCAGTACTGGTGCTCGCTATCAGCCCTGCTCTGCCGGCGAGGTCGGCCACCTCTCTGGCAGTGGTCCCCGATACTTCCCCATCTACCGGAGGAACTGGAAACTACTTGGGCGGGAAACTTGCCTAATAATTTTGCTCAGAGGTCTCCTTGAGACATGAGGATTGTTTATGTGCCATAAATCTATGACATGGGACACACGGCTTAAAGTCCCTCCTGGAGGACTTGTTCCCTGAATTTTTCCGCCCTTAAAAATTCCATGACCTCCGCCGGGTTTGAACCCGCATACCTTGAGTGATGAGGTGGGAACGTTATCCCTAAGACTACGGAGGCCGCTTGTTTCAATGTTACAGGTAATGTGTTCGTACATTTCTATAGGCAAATAACCAGATCATCTTTGGCCAGTGTCCATAAGCATGTGCATTTGTCTGTATGGATTGCTAGTCTCTCTCTGTAAATTCCATAACATACAGAAAAGTCCTCAATCACTGCTTAATGTAATATGTATATATAATCTTACTTACTTACTCATGGAGCTGAGCCCATCTTGAGGAGCCGCCAATTCTGCAGCTACTCAAGAATTTCCCAACATTTTATGGAACCTGAAGGTTCATTATTGTGTTCATAAGAGCCCTCCATTGGTCCCTTTCCTGAGCCAGATCAATCCAATCCATAACTTCCCATCCTCTCTCTCGCTAAGATCCATTTTATATTGTTCACCCACCTATGCCTTGGTCTTCTCAGTGGTCTTTTTCCTTCTGCTTTCCCACCAATATCCTATGTGCATTCCTCTTCTCCAAATTTGTGCTATATGCCCTTGTGACCTCGTCCTCCTTGACTTGATCATTCTAAATATACTTGAAATGTTTATATAACTGATGTATAAAAATATTTGTCCCTTCTGAATTTTGTTGACAGGTAGTTTACTGTATTCCTAGGGTCCAACATAATACATATTTGTGCAATACAACAAATATTTGTCTCATTTCTCACCTAGAATATGTGCACACAACTTATCGAGTACTTCCTTATAGCACCCTTCCATTGGTGGCAAAGTTGTGTCAAAGTCAGCCAGTTGCTCTTCTTTGCACTGGTCCTTACTATGACCTTCCTTCTGGCAAAAACTGCAAATTTCTGGAAATTCCTGAAAAAGGTTTCTAGAGATTAACATTTGTTTGTAAACAAATATCTTTCATAACATTTATAACACTGAACAGGTTGGAAAAGTCATAATGCTCTAGACTTGTACTTGGCAGATGCTTGGTTCAAGATTTTGTCAGGACAGGACAGGTTATTTTTTCTGTGGTTTCTTCAGTCTCTCCAGGCAAATGCTGTCATAGTACCTCGATTAGGCCATGATTGCTTTCTTCCAAATCCTTTCCAGTTCATCATCCATCAGTCATCCTATTATCTGACATTATATAGTCTTGATACTTAAGGTGTCATTAAATAACCCACAAAAAAGTTTCTGACAATAGTTGATTTTAAGAAGACAGTATAACAATAATTATTTTAGCCACAACATTTTCATGCAAATTTGAGTTTAGTACACCATACTTATCCTTGTTTCAGGACAAAAATATGAATGCAAGTTATATGCAAATCAGTTTGATCTCATTCATAAAATGCCAGAGAAGTGATGTCCTCTTTTAGAACACATAGTTTAATACATAGTCCAGTAGTTCACATGGCTGTGCTGCTTCCACAAAGTTGCATTTGCCAGGATGATTGAGGTACATCACAATAAACCTCAGTCAGAACCAACCTCATTAAAAGAACAATGTGGTACATATTAACAACACATATGAACATACTGTAACGTGTTTAGCCCCTGAAGATGCCATTTGGATTGTTAACTGGTTTATTTAACAACCTACAAGTCTTGGCTACAATTAATTATAACACTGTTACAGGTTTACACAATTTACAAACCCTACACACTATTCTATTCACTCTATCTTCAGTAGTTGTCACGTATTAATTACGCAGGAGCTATACAAGTGTCACTAAATTCCACACTCCCAATACCTTCTCAGCTATCACAAACTATCACTGATTATCACACGTTCCGGTATTCTTCTTTCTGTGTTCATGATCCGCACTGTGTCACTCCTCATCACAAAACTCACTACTGAATAGTGTTCGCTGCTCCTTATTTAGCCTCGGCATGGACAAGACAGAAAACAGTTATGTGATAGGTACCGCTGTTGCCTGACGTCGTGTTTGCCGATAGCCTAGCAATGCTGTCGGGAGTTTACTGCTGCATAGCAACTGTGGCATCCCCCGCTACGTCACTGCTGGGAAAGGGGGCTGAGTGTTGACTGGCCTGTTACCGTAGCAACGACAGAGCCCGATGTTGTTACGTCACCGCTGGCAGGGGAGGGGATGTCCTACATAGCACGATACGTCACAATATTATTTTCCCTTAAAATGCAGTTTTAGCAGAAACACCTAACAGGGCCTTAACTTGATGAGGCATGTCATATGAAAGATATGACTGACAATATGTGATTCTCTTATTGCAAACATTCCTTCATCAAACCTTGGCTTATTTTTAATTCACTGGAATTTCAGCACAACCATTTAATTCACACAAAGGAAATGAATTTCCTATGAGCAAGGCTCCTCAGTTTAAATATTTGATCACAGGTATCAATTCTGAGGGCAGCAGTATTTAGCAATCAGCCATGTGAAAATACATCAAAGCAACACAAACATATTTTTTTTTTTAATTTTTTAACTGTCCATCTAACCCCAAAATCTTCTCCAGCCAATTATCCCACATAAAACTGTGAAGTTCAAAAGTACAGAGACCATCGTCAATAGACCATAACAAGTTTTACCGTGAAGAAATAAATTCATGTGTGTGTTTGGAATAGTTTTGTGTGATTTTGTATATTAGTGGGGATGTAACTGGAGGTTTTCACATGCCAGTATCCACCTGGCTGCACATCCACCATTCTGTGACAGCCTATCTGCTGTGAAGAGTCCCTCCACTCATCAGCATCCCCCATTTGATCCTCTTTTTCACCACCACTTGTAATACAGCCCTGACTCTGGGGTTTTATATTCTTGAAAGCCAAAAGCTACTCGCCATCAAATAGCAAATTACTGAGATGCATAAGAAGAGGCCAATGGCAATGGAAATGGTGGCCACTAGATAACACCTCAAAGGAATTTTCAATTACTAGATCACTGAAAGCCTCACACAGTAGTTCTTCGTATCTCTTTTTGTGACTTTCACTCTGATGGTCACCAGGCTACCTCACTAGGGTCACACAGTTGAAGAAAATCGTTATGTTATACCCGAAGCCTCAAAAATCTGTTGTATATAGACAAAAACATCTCACTGTATTACATTTCATAAAAAAAAACAATACTTTCAAACCAAGAAAGCTGTTCAGATGGAAAGTTACAAGTAATCTTAATAAACATCCATTCTGGCTACTAAAGTGCTTAAAAAAGTTAGAGCTGAAGCCAACCTGTTAATAAACTGGGGTGACACCACTGCATACAAATCTAATTATACAGGTGGTATCTGAATGTAAGGAAGCACTGTTACCATAATATAAACTATTAAAATGTCTCAAATCTATTAACCCCACAGCACTGGCATTTAAATATGAGAGCTGTTAAGTGGCTGGAGGTTAATACGTGGTGTGTTCAAGAAGTATCGAACCTTCTTTTTTTCCCGCGTAAACCAATGAAGCACAGGAGGCTCCCCTCGGTGGAGATGTGGAGGGGACATTCATGCGCAGTCGTGAATTTTTTCCCACACGCGGAAAGCGTCAGTCACTGGCAGTCGGCCTATGAGTGAGGACGTGTAGTGAGCGCTCGTTGGATTCCAGTAAGGTGTAAAATGATAGAACAACATGAGCAGTGATATTGCATCAAATTTTGCCAAAAGCTGGGTGATACCCAAGAGGAAACCATTAGCAAGATTCAACAGGCTTTCGGGGATGATGCCATGAGCAACTCACGGATAAAGGAGTGGTACAACCGCTTCAAAAATGGCTGCACATCAGTGGACAGCGAACCGCATTCAGGCAGACCCTCAACAAGCTGAAATGAGAATGTCATTAAGCAAGTGTGGACTTTGGTCATGGAGGACTGTCGTATCACAGTCCGAGAACTTGCGAACGAGATAGGGGTAAGCATTGGATTCGTACATTCAATTTTGACCAAGAATTTGGGCATGAGGAGAGTGTCCGCAAATTTGTACCGAAACTGCTAACAATGGAGCAGAAGCAACACCGTCTGGAAATCGCACAGGACATGCTGGACAATGCAAACAGTAACACCAACTTTCTGAACACCGTGATCACGGGTGATGAGTCTTGGGTTTATGGGTACGACCCGGAAACCAAGATGCAGTCATCACAGTGGAAACATCCGACAACCCAGAGGCCAAAAAAAGCAAGGCAGGTCTGCAGCAATGTCAGGGTCATGTTAGCTGTTTTCTTCGACTCCCGTGGGGTTGTGCATCATGAGTACGCACCACAAGGCCAAACCATCACAAAGGAATACTACCAGGAGGTTCTTCGTCGTCTTCGTGATGCTGTGCAGCGCGAATGACCGGATCTGTGGGGAGCAAGAACTTGGCAGCTCCATCATGATAATGCACCCGCCCATTCTGCGCATCTGATTCAGACTTTCGTCACCAAACACATCCCTGTGGTTCGTCAGGCTCCCTACTCCCCCGACATGGCTCGGTGTGAGTTTCGGCTATTTCCCAAGCTGAAAATGCTGCTGAAAGAACCCAATTTGAGTCAAGAGAAGACATCATGCGGAATGCGACAGCCTGGCTGATCACCATTCCAAAAGACGCGTTCCAGAAGTGTTTCCAACAATGGTGGAAGTGCTGGGAGAAGTGTGTGCATTACCAAGGAGACTACTTTGAAGGGGATTAGGGTTTTGTACCTTCAAATCAATAAATGTATTTCTGCCGACCAAAGGTTCGATACATTTTGAACACACCACATATTTTGTAAATGTCCACTAAATTTCTGCTTTAAAATAATTTCTTTTTCATAAATTTTGAATTATATGACATGTCATAATAAAAATTTTACTGAATTTCACGGACTTATAAACTTACCTTATAATACGGGTATGTTGTGTATAATGACGGAATTAATGGGATTTGAAGTTGAGGTTTGTATGGTAGGTCCATCTAAAAATGACCCTTCTGCACATTCACTGTCCCAATATACAGTCTCTCATGCACACCACATAATTTCTCTGTGGTTTTGCCTTCTTTCTGGTGGCAGGTTAATGCTCCAGGAAATGTCATTTTGAGATTCTTTGGGTTGTGGTTCAATTGTTGGATGGCTGTGTACACAATGAGGAACACCAGAACAATATTCTTCCATGAGGCCTCGTTCCATTGAAAGCCTAAATTTTTGAGAATCTATGTTTTTTGCTATTTGGGAGTGACTAATATATGACCACTACATTATGCATACCTATAATAAGTAGTCTCTTGAATAATTTCAAGCATCACTTGGTTACCTTTCTTCCATAACAGCAAGTACAGCTGTAGCACTTGATCTTCAGGTCCACCCTAAACAGGTTGACACTGTAATCACACGCAACTATGGGCTTCCTGTTTCTTGGTTCATTTTATTTACAGCCACATGCTTTTCACATCTGTACTATGTAGATATCATAAGCACTTGCTTCTTGTCTTGCCACACAGGAACCGCTACACCTCCTGAGTGTTGACCACAGTGGCCCCTTTTCTTCAATTTCTTATTCTTCGCCACAGGAGGAACAATTTTCATATTAGCATGTAAAGTTCCAATAGAGTCTCATTCTTTTGTGCTTCCTGAACTGAACCAACTCTGGTGAATTACAAAAATTAAAAGAAATCCACACAGTGTGTCCACGATCAGATCTTCTGACTGCTGTAGTTTTGTTTGTTTCTGCAGTCACGAACTAATCTGTTAGTTCCACGCCTTTTCCAGCCATGTGGGGTATGTATTCTCTGAGAGACAGACAACCTCTCCATTCAGACATGGATTTGTTTATCACATTGCTCTGATTATGAAGATATAAATTTTTGAACTTGTTATTCAGATGCTCAATGACTGGATAAATTCTGAGAAGTTCTGGATGTCTTTGAAATTAATTTTGGTTACTGTTATCAGAAAAAAGCATAAATTTAATTATTACCTCTAGTGTTTCCAGACGTAAAGTCTCATAAAAAGAACAGACTGACTAGCAGATGGTCTTCGCAAAGTATGATTTAATTGTAGGCTTTTTACAATGCCCATCAACATAAAGACAGTGAAAACAATATGCATTTTGTCCAATGTAACATCTTCTCACATCATAATCCTAGACTAAAATGTGAAAGGGCTGACACTGCAAATGCCTTGTAACATCCAGTTCAGCAACGTCAAACTGAGGACTATATGAAGACGTTTCTCTTGAAGTGGAGAATGAGCCTGTATTTTTTCACATAAACTTGACACACTTCCCAACCATATATATATATGTTTTATTCTTGCTGTGCATCTCTACCTTTATCACTTTCACTATCACATGGGTCACCAACTGTGTGCATTCACTACCGAAACCCTGCCATCATTTGAACAAAATCCATCCATATTTTCATCATAAAAATTTCATTCAGAACTTATACTTGTTGAAAGGCCATGCCATAGCTCAAGCGGTTAGTCGCTGGCTTCCCACTGTGGTGGCCCAGGTTCGATCCCAGGCCTGGTTAAGTGCGATTTGTGGTGGACAAAGGGCGCTGGGGCAGGTTTCCTCTGAGTACTTGGGTTTCCCCTGCCAATCTTCATTCCACCAATTGCTCCACATTCACCCTCACCTATCATCTGGGGCTGGTACAATAGGCCAGAAGTGGCCGCAGTACAAGGGACTTAGTCCCACCCCACTAGAAAAAAAATATGCATATACTTGTTGAAGCTCTTTGAGGGCAAGATCTGATGACAGGCCAGCTGTGCTTAACTATGAGGTCATGTATTTGTATTCAGACTGACCTGCTCAGGAGGAGGAAATGGGTTACTGATACACGAACAGTGTGTTCATTCATTTCACAACAGGCTAGTGCAAAACTTATCATGCTCAAGTAATATGTTCCTTATTTACAGACCACAGAGCTTACTCTTGCGATATAGGTTACACTATGGATACAGCAATTAAATGCCAGATGTATCATGTCAAACCATGCTGATGGGTTAAAAGTATCACGCAAATCTCAGACTAATAAAAATGTACGTAACGAATACCTGATTCCCAATGAAGTTCTCACCATGAAACTCATAATGCAGTGGAGTGTTGCCGAAACAAGAGTACGTTTCTAGTGCTTTCGGGAGTGAAACTGAAACAAGGTTTGCACCCATTTTACTGTCTCCCAACGAGGTTCTTCGGAGTTCTGCTTCTACCTCAGATACAGTTATGATAGCAGGGTTATCTTTGGTAAAATTGCGATGATTATTAGTTGCATTCTTGATAATCTTCTCTGCAGCAGAACCTTCTGCACACGGCATTGTGTCTGGTACGTCCAATGATATGCTATCAAAAACAGGCCCGGATTTTGTACGGAGAATTCCAAAATACTTGTATGTGTTTCGGAAACATTTTATGCAGTATTCAAAGCATGCCTGAGTGGCCATGCTTCGTGTCACATTTCGTTTTGGCAGGAAAGGATCTGAAATAAAAATCCTTATAAGTAAATCAAAGACAAAGCATATCCAGCAAATGCAACGATGAATTAAAATTTGATATTCTGGGGCGGGTTGTAATGTGGCATGGTTGAGTGCTCCAAGCATTTTAACACTTTGCGGACCAGTCGCATAATATTATGCTGTTGCTTTTAAACATGGCGGACCGGTTGCATAATATTATGATTTTAGGACACGTTACGTTGCAACACATTATACCTTGCTCTGGTGCCATGCAGATGCATAAATGGTGCGTAATAGACTTCCCGAATATTTGCTTAGTAGTCAGTAACATGACCTCGCTGTTTTCCTATCCTAATCCAAAGGAAAATGCCTTTGTTCGTCTTCAAGCTGTATGTACCAGGCAGTAAGTTAGTAGTGCAATATGGATCAAGGACGAAACCGGTTGAGACCAAGCGATCTCTCGGAGAGCAAGAAAGTATGGCCTATGAGTTTGTGTAGTTACTGAAAGCACTTCAGGCTATATTGGAAATCTAGAAATTTATTCTGGTGAAGGCAAAAATTACAAGAAATTATTGTTTCCGTCTTGGAACCCTATCTTCGTCAAAATTACCATGTCTATCAAGACAAGTATTATAACAGTGTGGTAACTGCAAAATACCTTCTTTCGAGAAAAGTACGTGTTTGAGGAACAATTAAGGTGAACAGAGGCCTTCCTCCAGATCTGAAAGAGGAATGTAAATCCCTGAAACGTGGTGAAACCACATTCAGGAGGAAGGAGGATATTCTTCTTCAGTCCTGGAGGGATACTCGTGTTGTGAATATGATTTCCACAATTCACAATTCGAGCATGGTTGATGTTCAAAGGAGATATGGACAAGTAAAGAAGCCGATCTGTATATCTGAGTATAATATATCCATGAAGGGAGTTTGATAGAGCCAATCAATACTTGGCCTATTATTCTCTTCCTAGGAAAACAATAAAGTGGACAAAGAAAGTTGCCTTGTGGCTTATAAATTGTGCCATTTTCAATTCATTTTTGGTTTACAAAAATCGAAATCCTGACTTGAAACTGAAATGCAAAGCATTTCTGATGAATGTGGCAAAGGCCTGGGCTACAGACCAGAGTGAGACACAGACTTAGTGCAACCGGGCCCATCAACTCGCACCCCACGCAGGCCTCATGTGGACACCCCTGGGCGACTCTTGGGTGATATGCGGAAACATACCCTCGTGATAATTGTGAAGAGTGAACATTCCAAGGGGAAGCATCCTTCTAGGCATGGCCGTGTTTGCACAGTTCACAAAAAAAGGAGTATGACTGTCTACATTTGCAAGTTCTGTGTAATGCCACTTCACAAAGGGGAATGTTTCCAGAAATATCACACTCTCAAGCACTTCTAGGAGCACTGGTAAGTGTTCTCCAAAAATTTTAGTTCATAAAATTAATTAGAAGATTTATATTAATTTTTAAAGAGAATAGTGCACAAGTTAGGGTAGTAGGTTTAAAAATGCTGGTCCCCAGGGTGATTTAAATATTTAAATTGCCGGTCCGCAAAGTGTTAAGACCACAGCAGTAAACAGGGGGAAGCAATAATATTGGCTGCATTTATTTCTAGTACCTACTGATGATGAAAGTGGGCAGGCCCAAGATCTTTCTGTTTGAAAAGTGAAGAAGAAAATTTCTTACATACTGGCAAAGGAACACATACCTTTTACTGCAATTTTCCTTCCAGCCCATCTATTTTCATTGTTGTGTCGTAAAAAAGGGGCTGACTGCTCTATGCAGACAACCCTTCTCGAGGCATCAAAGTCCAATGCATAAAATCGGAAAAGTTCCAACCACAGCTCACCCAACGACATTGTATTCTCAGATTTCCACACTCCTTCAAGATCTTTGGAATCTAAAATCAACAATGAATTAATCAAACAATGTTCAAAATGTGGCAGAGGGAATTATTTAACAAAGTATTTAAATAATGAACACAAACACAGTGAAACCTCAATAAAGTGAGTACGGCTTACAACAAGAACTCAAATATGGGGGGGGGGAGGAGAAAAAAATTCGAACTGTTGATTTTTTAATGTTACATACATGGGAAACCATTGCATTGCTTTTTTTCTCCATACTTTCAACATAATGCACGATTCCTTATTATTTTCCTGTAACTTTTTTGCACAAACTGTACCTGCAGCTTTATTTCTGAAGCTTAAATGGCTTCCAGTCTGTAAAGGTCCCGTTAACCCACTCTGTCCTACCCTTGTCTAGGAGAAAGTTTGCATTCCAGAATCTGAGAGCAGTTTACCCCATCAAAGTTTTAACCATTCAGACTTGAATTTCCTCATCATTCCAGTGATTTGTTTCATTGTGTACTGTGTTGTTTGGCTTCTTTATATAGGCACTGTGCAATATCTTCCCTTCCTTGTCTCACAGATTTCCTTTTCTTCTTCAGGTTCCACTGATCCTTTAACAGTGATATCACACAATACAGCAATGCAAGTGTATGTCTGACAATAAAGTTCATGAACTCATTCCAATAAAAGTGCTACATTCCTCATTATGGAATATCACTGTGATTGCTTTCAAAGTACTCCCCTTATGAAGAAAGCCCCTATTCCACCCTTCAAAACAATTTTGTAACTGGTTTTGTGGAAAGGCCTTCAGAGCTGCTGTCATATTACTCCCGATTTCATCAGTGTCATCAAAATGCCTTCCTTTCAATATTTCCTTTATCTTCAGGAACAGAAAAAAGTCACTGGGCTCTAGATCTGGCGACGAACAGGGAGGGTGTTCCAGCACAGTTATTTGTTTACTAGCTAAAAACTTGACTCACAGACAGTGTTCTTTGATGAGCTCTTCAGGGACCATTTTTGCACACACACTTTCCTCATGTCAAGGTCTTCAGTTAAGATTTTCCTGTTCCTCTGTTGATGTTCGCTTGCTCTGCTACATTCCTGACAGTCAGCTGACGATTTCACACACAATTTGATGAACGTTTGAAATGTTTTCTTCAGTTTTGCTTGTTGCTGGCTGTCCTGATCTCTCTTTGTCAGTGACACTTCCTCTTCCCTCAGAAAAACGTATCACCCATTGTAAACTGCTGTCTTCTTCATAGCATTACCCCCATAAACTTGCACTAACATCTTTCTGTTTTTGCTTCCACTCTTGCCAAGTTTAACAAGAAATTTAATATTCTCTCTGATATTCTCATGATGGTATACCAAAACACACTCAGACAATAATAGATGCCAATCAGAAAGAGACTGCCATAGATCAACAACAACACAGCTGTGAAATGCTAATATGATTCTCATGATGGTATACCAAAACACACTCAGACAATAATAGATGCCAATCAGAAAGAGACTGCCATAGATCAACAACAACACAGCTGTGAAATGCTAATATGATTCTCATGATGGTATACCAAAACACACTCAGACAATAATAGATGCCAATCAGAAAGAGACTGCCATAGATCAACAACAACACAGCTGTGAAATGCTAATATGATTCTCATGATGGTATACCAAAACACACTCAGACAATAATAGATGCCAATCAGAAAGAGACTGCCATAGATCAACAACAACACAGCTGTGAAATGCTAATATGATTCTCATGATGGTATACCAAAACACACTCAGACAATAATAGATGCCAATCAGAAAGAGACTGCCATAGATCAACAACAACACAGCTGTGAAATGCTAATATGATTCTCATGATGGTATACCAAAACACACTCAGACAATAATAGATGCCAATCAGAAAGAGACTGCCATAGATCAACAACAACACAGCTGTGAAATGCTAATATGACATCATCAAAGCATACTGAGGTTTCTGTCCACTGCTGCCATGGCAATCACACGGTGGAAAGTTCGCGAACTTTATTGTCAGAACTCGTATGTTTAAGATTTTGTCCCTCATCAAACATCTTTATTTTTTTTCCTTGGCACTACAGCCCCAGTGGGCCTGGGCCTAGGCCTACCTCCATGAACTTTTCTGTTCACTTCGGTTTTTCTAGATCTTACACATGCTGTAGGACTCCTTGGGTGGGTGATCAGCTTGTTGCAATCATCAAACATCTACTGTGTTTTAATTGGTGCCAACTGCAATTTTTTTAACCCCTAATTACGGCAATGAAACAGGACAGATTAGACATGAATACATAGTTGTCAATAATAATTTGTGTGAAGTTGGCAGATCATCAAAAAATGAAACAGGAAAGTGATACAGATTAACTTTTAAAACACTGTTTACAACACTGAAGGAGACAAAATGAAACATATACCAAACCCAAACAAACTAACATTGTCCCACCCTTAGTTTTGGTAAAAGCTGTTTGTGATTTTGGTCTGTAACAATGTTACGAACATGACATGAGACCTGTGGTACCAATATATCATCATAGGTGTGGGAACTATGGATGGTACAAATCTAATCAGTGTACTTTATATGAGTTATTTTCATTACAAGTGTGGTAATTCAATGGGTTAGAAAACTAAACAGTTATGGGATTATGCACAGTTTACATGTCACTAACATAAGAGTTTGGTTAAATATAATGGCTCTTTACAAACTGTTTCTTATGTATGAAGCATAAAAAGTTGCGTGTAATCCAACCACAGCATTGAGAACAATGTGTAATGTAATGTACATAAATTAAGTAAAAGTGAGATTTAAATGCTTCATATGTCAGTCTGCGACTCTCATTCAGTATGTGTGACGCATTTATTCTCACATGTATGCATGTAAATTATGGGTGGAACGTGGGTGTGACAGGCATGCATCACATAATGGTTGGGAATTCTAGGGCCCTTTCACACTTGTAATGATGACAGAAAGCAGACAATCATGGCACTGTCTGTTTGCTCCTACATTTGCAGCTGCCTACAAAACTCGAACCAACATCAGACCATCACAGACAGCTCGGAAGTCTCTATGTGAGCAACAGACACTGACAGATCAAAACCAAGTATAAGTGTGCTGGTGAGGACCTGCAGCAATTTACCCATCTGACAGGGCAGCAGGAGTCAAGTCGTGAGACAGAAAAATATGGGTCATGGGTCCTGTTAGGCCTGAAATCATGAATGACTCTGCTGGCAGGGACCAGCAATAATTTACCAGACAGACAGAACAGGACAGTATAGCAGTTACACAACTCCCAGAGTCATGAGACATAAAAATATGGTCATGAGTCCTGCAGGGATCCAGAACCAAAACAATTGTGCTAGTGAGGACCAACAGCAATCTCCCGAAACAAAAGAAAAAGAAGAAGAAGAAGAAGAAGAAGAAGAAGGAGGAGGAGGAGGAGGAGGAGGAGAAGAAAAACATGAAGTCGGGATTAGTGAAGACACAGTATGCTGAGAAGATTTTGTGTGTGCTTGCAGTGAGTGGGGAGTGTGTAGATTAGTTAAAGTGTTATAGCTATTTGCAGATTCATGCAACAAGCATTCAATAAATTCACTAGTCAATCCAAACCTTACATCTAGCCACTAACATGAGACAATATGAATGGACATTTTACTCATTAAAGATTACTCATAATTAGCAGTGGGCTGTAAGTAGATGTTATGCAAGTTTAAGAAAACCTTCATGTTACATGATCCTAATGACAATGTAAAGTAAGTAAAATAATCCCTGTAAGAGGCCGTGGAGACCCATAGGGTTGTGAGATGTTGAGGTTCCCACATTTTCTAGACAATCGGCTCATAGAGGGCTGCAAGGTTGGTAAGACTGCGGTGAGGTTGTCAGCTTTACGCACCTGCCGCCCTTTACCCCCCAGGAATCTTCCTGGTACTCATTTCTGTTAGTGGCTGAGTTGACACCATTGCCATAGTGCGGCTGGAAGGATTAGGTCAATTGAAAAAAATCCAATAACAATGAGAATGCTGAATTATTCTTTGCCATTTTTATATTCCCATAACTATTCCAAAAAGGAACTTTGCTGAACCCACATTTTGATTCGGACCCTAGTACCATATTGTGTTATACATAACTTTAATATACAACTAGACATAAGCAAGGAATGGTTATGGTAAGTTACATAATGAAAGAAGTATATATATATATTTTTTCCTTGGCACTAGAGCCCCAGTGGGCCTAGGCCTACCTCCATGAACTTCTCTGTTCACTTCGGTTTTTCTAGATCTTACACATTCGGTAGAACTCCTTGGGCGAGTGATCAGCTCGTCGCAAGGCCTCTACCTATATACAAATACAGAAAAACGCACACACACAAACTAAACATCCATGCCCTGAGTGGGATTCAAACCCACGATCCCGGTTTCCAAGCGAGCAAAGACAGTACATGCCTTAGACTGCTCGGCTACCGTGACTGGCGAAAGAAGTATATATGTAACTCAATTTTATAGCATATCGGTAAAGTAGAATAAAGATGTCCTTGTAAGAGGTCGTGAGATGTCAAGGCTCCCACATTTTCCGGACACTCTGCTCAAAGATGGCCGTGAGGCTGTCAGCCTTACACGCCAGTCATCCTGTACCCCCAAGGGACATTCCTGTGCTCATTTCTGTTAGAGAATGAGTCAACCCCAGGGTCATAGTGGGACTGGAAGGATTAGGTAAATTGAAAGAATCCAATGATCTCATCAGGAATAAAACCTGTGACTTTCCAGCTTGTAGCATAGTGCCTCAACCAACTATATGCGTAAAGTAAATGGGAATTAAAACTGCATACACAATACTATCCAATATAAAAAAAACTGATGTATGGAAACAGAAACTACACATATGTAACTTACCTAAATAGATATCTGGATTTAAATCACTTCCTGCTGTAGTTTGTAATTCATGTAATACTGGAACAACTGGGCTTCTAACTTGCTGAAGGAAGTACACCACCAAGAGTGAGAAAGCATGTGGTGGCCATGTGCCAGCTTCAGCATTATCAAGTTTGCAATGCTGAAAGCATAACAACAGCTGGCTATAGTTATAGTATTCCATATACCAAAAGAAATCTTAAACAAATTAGCTATCAACTCTAAGATATCAAACAGGGGAACCATTAAACTAAACCAATCATGACATCCATGAACAATTCAGTACACTGCCTAGCAATCCTGCTTCATATCTGGGAGATTACCAGTTAAAATCAGAGCGAACAGACCAGGCGTCCTGAGTGAGGTCTTCCATGATCTTTTTTATCTAGGAAGATTCTGAGATAATGTTTTATGGCTGTAGGCCACGATTGCTTTCTGCCACATCATTTCAAGCTTCTAATTCACAATCATTCCACCATGATTGCTTTCTGCCACATCATTTCAAGCTTCTAATTCACAATCATTCCACCATCTGATGCTAATAATATATAGAGATTATCCAATTATACAGCATCTCTGAGAAAGAGGTACAGAAAATTTGGAGGGTGAGTATTATGGCCCAAAACAATGAAGATAATTTATATATACATGGGTCTGAAAATGCTTTGGTAATGAATTAAAGCCATTTGAAGGAGGTCTAACAACAGCAGGGTTAGTATATTGGTTACAAAAATAAAGTATACTATGGAAATTTTTCAAGGAAACTGGAGTTCAGAGTGGACGATGTGAACGATCACTTGTCTTTCATTACAATCACCTTCCACGGAGAACAACAGAACATAACAGCTGTCACAATTACAGTGATAATATTGAGTAGATCATGTACACTAGCATATGACATCAGGAATTCATTTACACTCAACTGTACAGAGTCATTTGTTCTTTTTCCAGTGTTATAGTTGCCTCATAAGTCTGTGCTTAAATGGACAATAATACATTCTGAGAATATGCTGAATGCTCTTAGTTCTCAGTGAAGACATGGTATTATTATTATTATTATTATTAGAGGGGGTGGGTTTCCCCATGCACTTAGACCAGTTATTGGTCCACTGTGCGTCCCCTTTTAATTTCTACTGTCGCCATACCCTACCCATACTGGTGCGTGCTATCAGCCCTGTTCAGCCAACGACCTTGGCCATCAGTACCTGATATTTCCCCCATCTACCAGAGGCATTGGAAACTACTTAGGCAGAAAATTGTTGCCTAATTTTGCTCAGAGGTCTCCTAGAGACATGAGGATCTTTTACGTGGCGTAAATCTACGACACGGGACCCATGGCTTAAAGTCCATCCTGGAGGACATCTACCCTTAAAAATTCCACAACCTCTGCCAGGTTTGAACCCGCGTACCTTGAGTCATGAGGTGGGAACGTTACTCCTAGACTACAGAGGCCGCTGAAGACATGGTAATGATGCAGCAGCTGTGAGTTTTTACATGGAGAGGTATCCTCAATGTAGATTTCCAAACCCATGCATATTTCACATAACTGTTCACACTTCTATGGTAGACCATGGAAGATGGAGATGTGCACAAACAGTTGATGAGTGCATCGTGAGATGCGTAAAGGAGAAACGCCATAGTATTGTTTGTTGTATAAAAGTTTCTGAACGTATGGTGTGTACGACAGTGTAACAGGCTCCCCAGGAACAGTTGCAGTACCTGTACCATTTGAAATGGATACAAGCTCTGATTTTTTTTTAATCCATGAAGGTTTTTTTTTATGTTCTGCATATTTTGGACACTTAAAACTTCCCTTGATTTAAGATTCCTTAATTGATTGCTGATGTTGCTGTTGCATGCGAATATTTGCTGTGGAATCTACAGTGAAGTTTCAGTGCAGGGTTATCTCTGCATGTGTTTTGTCATGTATTGATCTCCACACTTCTCAGCTAAAGTGAGAGCTGTGACAAGTTATTATTGTACAGTGTTGTATTGACACAACTTCAACCTGAGAAATCAGTATCAAGATTGAGACATCAATACAGAAAGGTCATAACAGTGAACCAGACATCAGCCAATAACTCACCCACACACTTTCCTTTGTGGCACTGTACGAAGTCACAAAATTTGATACAAACAACTTGCTTGAGTTTCAGTTACAAACTGTAAAATTTAAGAAGCTTCATGAAAAAATGTAGTATGTGACAAAAACATGAATGTTTAGAATTCTTCATTTGACAAAACATGCCAAATTCTGATTCCTTTAATACTTTGCACATATAAATATATTATGGGTATTTCAACAAACTTATAAAATCAAAATTACAACACGAGAATATCTTTCCAAACTGCACAGCATTATAGCCATGACTGCACAAATTCTGGGTGCCATGTCAAGTAAAATTTCCATGCTGGTACCTACATGTTTCTTCCCGATATATAAACAATCACATTAAGTGGAGGAACTGTTTTGGAAGAGACTGTGGACCTGTCATCTGACAGTTACTGATCAATCAATATAAACAAAATGCCACATAATAAATGTGGGTATACTTGGCGCAACAAGTGACGGCATTCGGCTCTACAATGAAGAAGGTGAGGGTAAGCAGTAGTGCAGTTGGGGTACCTCTCAACATGCAAACAGTAGAAGAAAATTTTACTTCTCTGTTCTGCAATCATTACTTGATGATTTTACTATGAACAAATGAAAGCAGCACACTGACCTGCTTCACCTCCCTGCACACTGTTCATGAGAACTTGTCCATGTTCGTGACTCTACTCAAAAGAACGGAATATTGTTTCTGAGCATGTGCCATGACTTGTTGCACAAGTAATAAGCAACTGCTTACCTGGCCCCAAAAGCGGAAAGCTATTCCGAGGGTTCGAACACGCTCATCAACTGTTGCATATTGCGAGAGGAGAAGAGCAATCTTGTGAGAATGATTATGTTGCACAGTCAATACACATGGCAGGTTTGTACCATTGTCAATGAACCTGACTGCTGGAATTTCTGCAGTAAAGTCACGTTCTACTTTACTGGAAATAAAATAAACAATTAATTTAAAAATATGTTAAAAATACTTGGTTCAAAAACTAATGAAAGATGGTACTGTGGGACAAGTAACTGAATGTGAGGACTCGGTACATTATAACAGGCTGTCCAACTTCCAGGCCATGCTGCCAGTCAGTTTTGTGTGGTACATAATAGCATTCTACCATCTCCCAAAATATATATGAATGATTTCCCCCTCTATAAAATGACAGGTACAAAATCTTGTTTTGAAAAGCTTTATGATAACTGCTTAATAAATTTCCCCCATAATTTTTCAGTTTACTTCACACAACACCCAATAATAAAAGTAAGGAATTAGTGTAACTTAACGATTGCATACAATATCAGTAAAATCTAGCAACCCTTTAGTGAATGGTTTTTAAGCACTTTTTATCTGCAAACACTGCCTAACGACCTGTTCACATGTTCAGCACAATCATGTAGCCATACCACTCAGATTAAACACACTGTTCTATTTTATTTATATTGATTACTTGCCAGACTGCTAGTCAGTGCACGTCCAGCATTACTGTTAGTGGTGTTCAGTGTTTGTTGTACAGACAAGGTCCTTTCAACAACAACAAAAAATTATGAGAGGATGATGCTCAAGTCCCCTGAAAAGAAATGTAACATTGAAGCTGAAAACAGAGCATTTAATAAACAATGGGACAGCGATTATTTATTCACTGGAAATATCCCTGTATTTTAGAGGTGCTGAATTCAAATCTTGGCTGGGATACTAGCTATCCTGAAGTTCTTTTTTGTAGATTTCTTCAGTCTGTACAGGCAAATACCATTACACTACTTCTATCAGATCACAACTGATTTTTTTTCCTAATTCTTCCAAATTTATCACTCAGCTGTCGTTCTGCCATTTCATGTTATATTGTCTAGCTACAGACAGCGCAACCTCCTCCCTCAAAGTCATAGTCATCATTATATCCAACACATCAGATATAAAACAGAATAAACCAGACATTAAGAAGTTAGACACTCTTGGCATTACCACAACATGTCCACATCATCCAACAATGTGATCAGGGTGTGATGTCTATCTTCTTGGATAGTTGGCATAAAGTTGGATCAAATTTACCATAATCAAGTGTGTCACCAAAAAAGAAGTGGCAACAGCCGCAGCAGTGGTGGTAGTGATGGTGGTGGTAGTAGTAGTAGTAGTTAACTGCAATGGTCTCATTTATATTAACAATCTACGTCTATTAATATGTTGCTATAAAAGAAACCTGAATAAGTGTCTGAAAAATCAGAAAAATAACCAGCCTACTCAGAGTTACTTTAAAAATGGGTTTGCCCCTATGCACTATGAGATACGAGTACTTCAAAACCAATCTTCCAAAAGCAAGATACATTCCTAAGATCCCATTATGGTACAGGCAACAAAAAGGTACCAGTATCTTAAGCTAAAAATGTTTAAAGACTGTTATAATCAATGTGCACCTGTAAGCTTCTATGCTCGCAATCAAATCACTTGCAGCTGCCAGTCCTTGAGCAGGACTCTTTTCCTCTGGTACAGATAAATCCAAATTCACATCAGATTGCTTTAGACCAAATCCTGAAAGCGAGGAGCCATACAACCTTACTGTGAAGCCTGAAATACAAAGCACCATTTAAATCAAGATTAGTGTGACCAATCTCCTTTTTATGAGAATTAAAAAGTTAGTGGTTTGTTGATAAGGAGTTTGCATTACATTTGAATTCTCCAAAAAGTTTGCTGTATTGTATACAGAGTCAGCCATCAACGGAGGGGAATTCACTCAGTGGGGGGGGAGTCCAAATGGGTCCACTCGGCACAGTGGCCACTGATTGGCCTACTGTAACCTGCCCCAGGTGATTATGATGGAGAATTTGGTGGAATGAAGATTGGCAGGGGAAACCGAAGTACTTGGAGAAAACCCGCCCCAGTGCCACTTTGTCCACCACAAATCCCAATCGACCAGACCCAGGATTGAACCCGGGCTGCTGTGGCGGGAAACATCTGCAATGTTCTCTATATAAATATACAGTAAACTATCAATGCAATGTCATAAGCAGCATATTTTGATCTCAACTGAACGTGCTGTAGATGCTCCAATGCAGTAAAAAGTTTTTATTTTTACTCCCCCACATGATACTTACCGGGCATTATTTTCTCTATAGTGTTTCCAAGAACAGCTGCAATATTCTGTCGGGCAAGAATGTCAGTGTCACTTAGTCCATGCAGTTTAACTTCTTCCCTCAGAAGGTTGTCAAGATATTTCAACTGTTCTGGAGTTGCGGGAGGCAAATTTAATATAGTAACCCTCTCAGCTTCCTCCTGCAATTATTTAAACGACAATTACATTCAATTTTCAGAATTAGTGGTAGCTACAGATTCATAGTATTATGTTCAAGGTGGGAGGGAGAACTCTATAGCCATACACAAGCATGTTACACTGTTCACTGCTGTGCCTATTTAACATTAAATACCGAACTTGTACATTCAAGATGCTTCACTCCATGTATTATAAGAACTGGATTTTTCACTTCTTATGGGACCACTTAAAATTGATGTCAAATCAAGGGAATGAAAATTTTTGTAGCTAACGAAATTAAACACACTAAATGAAGGGACATACGCCCAACTAGTGAGAACGTACATACAAAGGGGACACAAACATGGACGCCACAAAAACATGGAAAGGCGAGAGAGTTTCATTCTCAAACTGACATATTTCAGTGTGAACAACAATGATGCAATTGCACGGAAATATATTGACTTAATATGTATGGCTGTGAAACACTTTCAAAATGTGAATAATTGCCTGAAGATGGCCAAGTAAGGCTGGAACATGTAACAATTGACGTGATTTTAATTTTATTTTCAGTTAAAGAGAGAATATAACTATTTTTTAAGTTCCATTAAAGATGGAGGCCAATGAGTGAGTGATACACCAAATGAATACTGTATTATATTATAAAGGTAATATAGTTCAGGCAGGCAAAATGCAACACAACCAATGATAGCTAAACATCTGACAGCAAAATATCTCACTTGGAAAGCAGCAGGGATTGGTCACACACTTTGTAGACAAATTCCTCCCCTTTCCACATTCACACGGGAAGACCGCACGAAAAATACATATACAGGAACAAAAGACATACAAGAACTACAATGGGCGAAAAAAAAATAAAATGACACTATTCTAGATAAGATATTGTAACGTGTTTGGAGTAGATGCTTCCATGGCAACGCAATAACAGTTGGCCACTGCACAGACAATGCCGAAACAATGAACGTGTTTCCCCAGAGATTAACAACAGAAGGCTGTTGAGTACCAACAGATGAGACGAAACACTTTACTGCCGTAATCTATAGAGATCGTTCCCGAAGTAACGGATTGCCGAACATGTAAGATCGAACCTTGGTGAATGGTGTCTCGTATCCGGTGCGCAGAACACCTACATAAGCCGAGAGCAACAGAGCTACAACAACACAGAGCTAATTAGCCTTCATACACGACAGTTGAGGTCTAGTCGCCATACAAGACAGTTGGAAGGTAGCCACCGCGGAATATAACTAAGGTGATAATTGTATGGTGTGAAAGAGTGAATGTCCAATAAAGATTCGCTGAATCCTTAACCCACGTGAATTTGTCGCATGACATACCAAACACGTGACAATATACAACAAAACGACGACGTACATGGGACCACGAAAGACAAGTGGACAGTGCAGTGGCTTCCCCACAAATTAAAAGCTGCCTGATGATGGCCCATGTGCGGCCAAAACATTTTGCAAGATTGGAAAAACATTATGTAAAACAAAAAGATATTTTGAAGTATTTTGATAATCACTTTTAGTGTATAAGATATACTTGCAGTGACTTAATGACATTTTATGATATTTAATAACATTTTAAAATATTAAAGTTACACTTCTAGTGAAAAAAAAAATATATTTTAGGTGTCTTATATCACTGTTGCATTATTGATGGTGTTCTTGAATAATAAGAATAATGCCTTGAAGCAAAAGAGTGCTGAAATATAACAATTCAGAAAGTTAATATCTTTCATTATTAACATTACTGATTAAAATCCCACATTTAAATCTAGTTCCTGGTGTTCCATAATCCCTTAAGAGGAAAGTTAAACAGCTCTCATATAAAGAAAGCAGTCTTCTGGGATTTGGCACCGTGTATATGTGGCGTTAACCGACGTTTCGGAGGAACGTATCGCCTCCATCTTCAGGGTAGAAGAAAAATATAAGAATTCTGCAAGCGGAGAGACCGTGAGAACCGGTTCTGCTTTTACCGGTCTCTCCGCTTGCAGAATTCTTATATTTTTCTTCTACCCTGAAGATGGAGGCGATACGTTCCTTCGAAACGTCGGTTAACGCCACATATACATGGTGCCAAATCCCAGAAGACTGCTTTCTTCATAGTCACCGCCGTGAAAGCCTCAAATCTTACAGCTCTCATATATTTTGAGTGGGATGACACAATGGTAACACGCCAAATTTGAGAGTTATAAGACTTGAATTTTGGTCAAAAATCTGTTGTTCTGATAGCTTTTTGCATTCCAAGGCGAATGCTGAATAATAGCTCAAAACAGGTCACAAGAAAACACACACTCACACAATGAAATATAAATATGCTTAACAGTGAGTGCTCCAAAAGGCCCACGGTTCCTTTTGGAAAACTACCTAGGAAAATTGAAATGAGTAAGTACCTCCACTGCTCTCTGGTGACGTTTCTCTAAGATGTGCTTTTCTACCACGGTCACGCTGTCACAGAGATACTTGCATAGCTTGCACAGGAACAGGGCTTTGGGATTTTTAGCAGATTTCTGGAAAACAAATAATGTGCCACTTTGAAACCACTTCATAGATATAAAAAAAAAGACAAATATGGTTGGTTATGTACCCAATACATATGTCATATTTCATCACTATCAATATCAGGGTTCAACGGCTGTGTTGGTTTTTACAGAATGGCAAAACAATAACTTGGTTTTAAATGAAATTGTGCCTAGCCACAGTATGATGCAATATGTTCAATTGCTACTCTTATGATAGAGAAAACATGTATATAAAATTAAAAAACCAGGGCAATACAAAGTTCCAGTTGATCCAAATTTAACCTTTACCAGAACATCATCATCTAAGCATGATCACAGAAGAACTCAACCCACAAATTACTTTAGAAGATAACTTACTTTGTCCAGAAGGACTATGTAGTTCTGCTCAAGCACATATTTATGCTGTGGATCCAAAATTACAGCTGCTGGTGTTGGTGCATTGTTATCTGGTGACCTGGCCTCAACATCTTCCTGTGGAATGACTGCTCCAGAACTACCATCACCAACTGCAGCATTTACTCCGGGCGTTTTCTTCTTCCTATTCTTCTTCTTCTTCTTATGTTTCCCCTTTTCATTATTTACTATGTTCCCCTGTACAGATGCCAAGCTCTCATCTCTTCTGATATTCTGAGCATTTACTGGTTTCTCTTTCCGTGCTGATTTCTCTTGCCTCAGGTTAGGCTGGGTATTATTATATGGTTTCTCAGCCATTTTCACGGCAGTAGTCTGATTTCTGGAGAGAGAAGACAAACTTAATACTTCTCGTCTTGAAAAAACAGAATGTTGCTTCCACTCAGATAAAGGCAAACTTTATGATGAGAGAAGGGTATTCTTCAGCAGTAATGGCTGCTGCATTACAATGTTTTAAAAAAAAACTCCGTGGCTTTAGTCCGCGACTGAGCAACTGCCGGTTGTCGGTGAAGTTAGTGCAAGCTTTAGTGGATAGAGGGTGTTGCGTGGTCAGCAACTGCATATGGACTCTTTCTTTGAGAAGTCACAGCCAACAGACCCACCAAATACCTTGAGGAACATTTTACCTTAAATTTCAGTAGCTATAAATGCAAAGCACAAGTGCTGGTTCCCACAACTAACTCAGTCCCATTATTTATCATGGAATCACATGATTCATCCTGTCTTCAACCATATCCCAATACAAATCGAAGACCCATCCATCAGCTCACCCACTCACTCACTCACTCACTCACCCATTTAATAGGTCATTTACTTTTCACTACATATTCATTATTAATACTGTCATATGTCAGTGATTAGATACAGGGTTCGCACTGATAACTGCATTTATTGAACACTGATAACACATAACTAAAAACATTTACAACACTATCTCTATTCTACAAACTTAACAAATCACTATTGCACATGCTAGGTCTCAATCTGTTATGTCTCTGCTCAGAGTCAATAGGTTATGGATACTAGAAATGGAGCTTCTTCTAGTTCTGTACTCAAGTCCTTGCTGGATGGCGTCTGGCTTGCAATTTCCATCCCTCAGACAGTTCAGAATTCAAAGTTACTTTACAACTGGAGGTTTACCACAAATCAGTTAATCTTAGCACCAAGTCTGTTGAGGCTAATAACCAGATTTCTTTTTCTTGGGGGAGGGGGAGGGTAACTGAACCATTACGGTCAGAGTCCTTGTGAAACATCCTCTCTGATGAGAAGATAGGTTTGTCTCTTATGAATACGCGTGGCCTTTATCAAATGTACATATCACTCATACAGCATAATATTCAATGAAAACTGTTCCCTGTACAATATACAGGGGGTTCTGGTTAACAGGATCACAGATTAATTTGGGCACCCATCTATTTGGGTCAAATCCTGGAGAATAAACACAAACCGAGAATACAACCACAATTTGCTTTGCTTATTTGGAACACCATGCTGTTTATAAGACCACCTCTGTGGTCTAGTGGTCAGAGTTCCTGGCTATAGATCCAGAGGTCCTGGGTTCGAATCCCGGGGCTACCAGATTCTCTGAGAAGTAGTGGGTCTGGAACGGGGTCCACTCAGCCTCATGAGGATAACTGGGGAGCTATTTCAAAGAAACAGTGGCTCTGGGCTAGAAAACACGAGATTAATGGCCATGCAAATCCGTTGCGCTGACCACACGACATCCTCTATCTGTAAAAGTTGGTACTAACTTCGTGGATAAGCAGTGTTCGCTCGGTCGACATAGTTTGCTTGTGGCCTACAGGCCACGGAGTATGGTGTTTCTAACTGGGCCATTAGCTGCCACACGGCACACTTGTGGTTACCACATTGAGTCGCTGACTCAGCCGGTATAAATGAACACCTCTCTCAGTCTTTGCAGTGACTGCATTTGTGAATTTACTGCAGCATTTTTTTTCACTTAAAATTTCGGACCCCAACAGAAATGCATATGAGAGATCAACACTAGCTAACAAAACTTCCTTACTGCCTACCAGCAGTCATCACCAACTAGCAGAGACAATCGAAATGCCAAAATTGACAACTGCGTGTGTTATAAAGCATCAAGAGAAACTATGAGATGAATGGACATCATGCCACAGGCAACAGGAAACTTCCCATAAATTAAAGCATGAACATAAGGATTCAGATGTTGAAGAGTTCCTCAAGTATATGTGATTCCAACCTTCCAGAATTGACTCTTACGCTGATCACTATCTGGTGGGAGACGACATGGATACCAATAAAGTGTGGGAAACTGATAGATAGAATATCAAAACTGCAGAGATAATGTTATTTTGAATTGAAGCCGCATAAGCCATGGCTTGAGGAAGAATGTTCAAAACTGTTATATCAAAGGAAACAAGCCAAACTGAAACGGTTACAGACTGTGATCTAAGCAAAATAAATTGAGATAATCTTAACAATGTATGACATGAAGCAGATACACATTTCAGGAAAAAATACAACAGAATATCTGAAGGACAAAATCAATGAATTTCCATTACAAAGTATGAAAAATAACATTAGGAGACTAGTATAGGGGTATAAATGAACTTAAAAAGGTTTACCACCTAGAAGCAACATTCTGACTAGATGGATGAATTACTTCTCAAAACTACTGACTCTACACAGTGTTAATGATGTTAGGCAAATGGAAATACATATAGCTAAACCATTAGTACCTCAGCCTAGTCCTCTTGGGGTTGAAACTGCTATTAAAAAGTTCAAAAGGTATAAATTGCCAGGTACTGATCAAATTCTGATAGAAATGATTACAGTATGGGGTGAAACATTATGATCTGACATCCATAAACTCCTTTATTCCACTATATTTAAGCATCCTGTTACACTCTCTACAATATATGACATAAACTCCATCCTAAGTACAACAATTTATTGTAGTTCTTTCGTCTTGCTTTCTTCTACACTACATGTTTTGGCTGCAAACGGTCATCATCAGGTGTATACCCTCACATAGCTGCTACACTGCACGCAGTTTAAAATTTAAAAACACTAGTCTTCCCAATTGTTCATTTCGCTGTTGCTAACAGGTTTCGATATATCAGAATCTTCCCCGCTGATATCTGTCTGATATGTACAAAATCTTTGTTAAACCTACACACGTCAATTTGATTTTCATAAACTGGAACTTTTAAAATCTTCAATTCCAATTTTAAAAATTTCTTTAACACTTTTTCAAATTTTCAAATTTAAAATTCTCAGGGTTACCCGCCCTATGTCTATAGTGGTGCAGCGGCTACTTCTTGTTTTCAGCACTGTTCAGGTGTTATCTGTAATATACATATATTCGTATTACTATCTTATGTAGGTTATGTTTTCTTAATGTGTTTATACTGTTGTTTGTACTTACTCTGTGTAGGCTCCCTGTGTGCGTGCTGCTGCTTATCTTTAATATGTGTGCTGTGTTTTATGTTGGTGAGTGTAGGAGGGGAATGGGTAGTGGGGAGAGGGAGGTACCGTTAGTCTGTATAGATTTCGTGTATCATTTGAAATATGGGATTGTGTGTTTCTATTTGTGTATCATTCATGTGTAGGCCCTTCTTACTTATTTTATATATATGGTATTTCTCTAATGTATTCAAATGTCTACCCTTCTTTCCCGTTGTTACAACTTCCATTACGTCTGTTATTGTTCTGTATGCATGTCCTGTATTTAGTTATGTGATTTGAGTACCCGGAATTGCTATTATTATTTCTAATATCATGTATATGTTCTTTATATCTGGTGTTAAGTGTTTGGCCTGTTTGCCCAATGTATTTCAATGGGCAATCTACACATTTCATTTGGTATATGCCACTTTTATTGTATTTATCTAATTGTGGTTTTTGTTTGAGTATATTTTCTATTGTGTTTAGTGTGCAGAATGCTACTTTTATCTGTGTGTCTTTAAAAAGTGTTGTAATTTTCCTTACTTTTTTTTTTGTACTTTATTCTATTTGGAATAAGGAAAAACATCCTCAGCAGGGGAAAGAAGCTATTACAATGTCATCTTACAAGGGTAATAAAATTGACAGCAGTAACTATCAAGGCTCATCACCATTATCAATTTCACACAGAATTTTATCTAACATTCTTTTCTCAAGGCTATGTCCACATCCACAGATTACTGGGAATCACATCGTGGGTGTAAACATAACTGATAAACTGCTTATCAGAATTATCTGCATTCATCATATATTAGAGTACAATAAGACAGCAGATTAGCTAATCAGAGACTTCAAGACTGCCTATGACTCACTTAGGTGGGAACTATTGTAAAACGTTCTCACTGAGTTGGGTAAAAAAACAAGTAAAGCTATCACAGTAACAGGCCGTGAAGGCCTAGGGTTGTGAGACAGTGAGGGTCCCACATTATCTAGTCAATCGGCTCAAAGATGGCGGTAAGATTGTCAGCCTTACATGCCAGCCTCGCTTTACTCCCCAGGAAAATTATTTAATTCCTGGTACTCATTTCTGTTAGAGGCTGAGTCGACCCCAGGGCCATGGTGCAGCTGGAAGGATGAGGTAAATTGAAAAAAATCCAATGACTTCATCGGGACTTGAACTCGCAACCTTCTGGCTTGTAGCATAATGCCTCAACCAACTATGCTACCATGTACCCCCCACTGAGTTGGGTATACCCATGAAACTAATTAGGCTATCAGAATGAGTTTAAAGGAACTCTACCGTACAGTCTGTATTGGGTATACTTTTACGGTTTGCTTATTTCATATACAAAATAATCTAAGACAATGAGATAAATTATTGCCATTGCTTTTCAACTTTTCTTCACAATACACCATTATGAAGGTCCAAGATAACCAAGTGTAACTGAAATTGAATGGAACACATCAGTTTCTGGTCTATGGTGAAAATGTATATCTATTGTGGGATAACATAAATACCATTGGGAAAAACACAAGTGCTAGTAACCAGACCGAAATAGATGTAAACACAAAGAAAATAAGTACAGGGTATCCATAATGAACACAGCTGAAAAAAGAAAATGAATAGCTTCACTCCAAACAAAGATGAATGCAAGCGGTTCATGGTGAAGGTTGTAAAATCTTACCAAATATTTTGTCGTGACAGCCGATCTTGACATGTTCCCCCTTTGTGGCGTGGCAAATATCAAACTGATACTTTATTTCTGTCCAGTTATTTCTTAACATCTCCAGAGTTATAGTAGATGCTACTGATGTTAATGAAATTGAATAACATCACTCTCAATGAAAACACATTCAGCAGTCTGCAGTGGGAAGTATTGTCACATCTCTGCTGACAGCCAAAACTGTGAAGCAAGCAGACAGCTGTTGCTTGGGAACTGCTCTGTAAATACATCCATTGCTAGTCAGTGGCTCAGTAGTCACCACATGATTGCCACAACAGAAGACTTGGTGGAAGTGGGGTTTTCTAAGCGGTCTGCCACAATGGCCACATCACACCATACCATACTTTGACTTCTGCCTGTTCTCCATGTGGTGGAAAGTTCATTACCTCCACCATGGCCCTGCGAGTTGCAGAAGGCGACAAAAAGGGAAGCCACTACCTGGGCAACCCTGTTCTTTGGGGATATAAATAAGGGGACCTAGCCCTCATGGTTGGGGGAGTCTGTAATCCGAGACAGTAAAATATGGTCATGAGTCTTGCAGGACTCGGACCCAAGAATGGCTGCACTGGTGAGGACCAGCAGTAACTGTACAGAACAGACCAATCCTCTTGTCAGAGAGGGTGCCCCACATCAACAAACCCCCAACTGTCTGACAGTAGTAAAAATGTAGTTGTGGGCTCCAAATGGGTGCTTGACAACAGACTACCTGACTGATCATCAGTTGTAACATAACTTTCCCTTTGACTTTTGGCAGACCAGTAGAAGTCTAGTTCGGAGGCAGGCATTCTGATACAGTCTCAGTCCACAGGGGTCCTAGCACCTGGCTAGGTGGTCAGCGACAGAGTCTGCAGTTAGGAGACAGCCACCCCTGGTGGAGGCGTGGGTGTGCAGGAGCCGCCACTGGGTAGCAACATAGAGATAATGTGATATATAGTGATATAGAGATATAGTGAGGACTTCAGCCATGGAACACGAAAGGTGAAGAATCTACACTGTTGTAGGATCTGTTACAAGGTGACAACGAGTGAAGACAAAAGACTGAGAAGACTGAGTACATGATGCAGTGAACTGTAGACTGTGTGAATTAGCAATAGCACTATAGCTACTTGTAATTATGTTCTGTAAGAGTCCAATAAATCCAATTACCAACCAAACCCTGTGCTTAGTCACTAACACTTGACAGTATATAATCTCACCAAGTACAGTTCTTGTGTCAGTAACTCTGCTGTATATAAGCAATAATTATCAGTTAGCCTGCGCAAAATGGCATCATTCGCATCACAAGAGAAAGTTCAATGCTATTACCGGCTGACAGAATTTAAGTTCCCAGTGACTGTTTGGCATAAGTTTTGCCAGAAGTAAGGCCATGATACACCAAACAGACACACACCTACTAACTGATACTAGCATAAGCTATAACACAGGTATTTTAAGCAACAGGATGTAGGCAGCAGACTGCGGTAGACAACCAAGTAAATAAACACCACTTGAAGAGCTTACCAATTAAGTCCATTTAGCAAGCATGTCACAAACTGCCAACTTCATATTCACCAATCCTTCATGTAGTGCGTAAGCAGCTAAAACTCTAAGAATACAAATTCCACTTGGTTCAGAAAGTCAAGGAACATAACTTGCTGCAGCACTACGATTTTGCTTTCTCTCTCGGACAGTGACAGTGACTACTTCAAGAGGGTTTGCTGCAGTGACGAGACTACTTTTCATACTTGGGTAAAGTGAGCTGGACACATCTGAGGATCTCTGAGTCGTCGTGATGTCAGGGGAAATAAAAGGGATACGCTGAAACTGAACATATGGTGAGGTTCAGTTTACCCAGTGCAGGAGTCATCTGATCATTCTTCTTTCATGAAAAAACTGTGATAGGTGCTGTGTACCTTGACATGCCTGAGAAATGTGCTCGGCCAAAGGTACCTGATGGAAATATCTTCCAGAAACATGGGGCAACACTACATTTCTGCACACCTGTCATTGAATTCCTCAATCAGAAATTCATAGTTATGTGTATAAGTTGAGGTGGCCCCATTCAGTGGCTCTCTTGACTTCTTTCTATAGGGATCTCTCAAAGATGTCATGTATCAGACCAATGTCAATGACCTGCCTAATTTGTGCCATAGGGTCATCGATGCAGTAGCGTCTATAACTCTGAAGATGTTAAGAAACACCTGCAGCGACAAAGAATATTCATTGGATCTCTGTTACACCACAAGGTGGTCACAGTGGGAGTGAAGTTATTTACTTTCTTTATCAGTCGTATTCATTTTGGACACCTTCTACAAGTTAATGTCTCGTTGCCAGAATGCAAGACATAATCATAACATGAACATAGCCAATAGGTCCTCTGAAAATGTCGCAATATTCAAATAGCTGGGAATGACAGTAACAAATCAATATTTGATTCATGACGAAAATAAAAACATTACATTCAGGTAAGGCTTGCACCATCAGGGAAGTGGTAACCTTCCTCAGACCTTTCAATTTACCAGAGCGAGAATGACATTATTTGCTATCTTGTATTAAGTATCCTGTTGCATTACTATATTCAATCGTTTACATATAATTTTCCATTTTTATTGATTTTAAATGGAACTGTTTTTGCAAAAATTACAAATAAAGCAGTTTACTACTATACTTTTGAATTTGGAAAGTGCCACGTTGAACTTCCTGATACTATCCTAACACTTGTTGTAAGGTGCTGAGAAAAACATCTACCTTGATGGTCAAGTCTAACGATAGACCTCCTAACATGAATCAAAGACGTTAACCACTACACTGAGATTTCTGACAGCAGGAATTGTTGTGGGGGGTGGAACGTTCAACGCTTGTACACTAACCCAAAATGCGGGTCGGGCTTCGAGGCCTGGTCGATATTAAACCCTGGGTCGATAAAGATATATTAGTACTTTCTTGGGTACTCCCTTCAGTTTCTTTCACTCTTCTCTTTACTGTTCACTTTCTGTCAACAGCATGAGAAATAAGATTGATTCCGTCACTTCGGAAGAGAGCTAAACAACACAGACACACTTTACCCTTCTCCCGAACTCCAAATTAATTCGTACAACCACAGGATACAAAACCAAACAAATTTATGAAATGTAACGATGCATATTTCACATTGTGCGTTAATAAAAAACCATTATTCAGGTACTGTGCCGTCCCACGAAAACAAAACAAAATTCATTAACCTGCCATCTTCACTTTAGAGAAACTACTACAGATATAGCCATAGCCACTGCCAAGAGCTCGATCGATAAAAATATTAACTACTATCCTACTACCACAAATCTCATGCCGCGGAACACTACACAGCATTGGGTAATTCCACCAGCCCTTGTCCCATGTTCTATATAACGTACACCGTTTATATTATTTAGTGCCGTTTTACCTACATTTGTGACCAATTTACTGACTCTCCCTGGCAGTTATGTACTAGTAGTTAGTTATAAATAGTATCAATTTTGTGGTGTAGATTGTTCCCTTGAAGTAGACGGGATAGCGCAGGCGACATAGCGACTGGCTACGGGCTGGACGACTGACGGGTCGGGGTTCGAGTACCGATGGCAGCAAGAATTTTCACTTCTCTATGACGTCCAGACCAGCGCTGGGGCCCACCAAGCTTCCTATCCAATGGGTACCGGGGGTTAAAGTGGCCAGGGCGTGAAGTTGACCCCTCACCTCCAGCTAGTGCCGAGGTCAAAAAAATTCGGGTCTATACATCCACTTTCCTATACGTCTTAATGGCGTAGTACTTAATTAGTTAAGCATAGGGACAACTTTACCTTTTACATTGTCTTCTTGAGTGTTAACAAGTAATATTCTGGAGGGTGCATATGTGTACTTTCTTGTTTATTCGCTTTATAGGATGAATTGTCAGTTCTGATTTTTATATACACTTGGTTGTCAACTTATGACAGACTTCCGTTCTGACTGACAGGTCTAAGTCGATCTGGTTGTATGTCGGCCATATATTTACTAACAGTATTCTTTAACCTTTCTAATCTTTTTACAATATTTATAATTTATTTTCAAAAACTTTAATATTTTAATCATCTTTTATTTTTCATTTTTTTGTGGCCATAAGTCAACAACCAAGTGTACTCCAGTATTACCTCTTCAGTGTACTTTATGTCAATACTTGTTATTACTCCTAGTCAGAACAGGTGGCTGTGCAGGACAAAACTCCTAAGGTTTTGATTTACCAGACTGAGATGATTTAAGAATTCATTTGCTTATAAAGCTTCTTAAATATTATGTTGTGTGGTTATTTCCAATAGCTCTGGTACATCACAAATTTTGAGAAATTTTCCCATAATTAGTGGATTTATTACTGATCTATGATTGGCTGTTACTGTCACTGTGTATGGTCCTATGTCTAGGTGGTAATACGTTTCGTTCCTTACCTTTTGTTATTGTTGGTACACTGTTTCTCTTCAAGTTATCCCTTTCATTGTTAGTTCCTATTTCATCTGGCTTCTCTGTGACTATTTCCATGTTGTTTTAATTATTGTAATTAATTTTTAACATATTTACTTTAAAAACGTTCCTCTGTATTCAAAATACCACCAGCTGAGTGGGTGTGTGATGTATGTATATTTCAGGGTGAGAATAAACAACATGTTTGCATATCGCTCCTGCAGGGACTTTGTTTAGAATTAAGGTGGCATCCCTCCCAAAGGGCTAGTAAGTGCATGGCACTCTCCTGGGGTCTCCAGTGATCTAGTACTCTGGCACACCCCCAAACTGGCGATGGAGCACTGTACTGGACAGAGACCATCAAATTTTGGTGCCTTCACCCTAACCGTACAAGTCACTGAATTCCTTCCCCTTCCCTTCCCCCACCCCTGATCATGCTTCAACTTCTGGGCATTTGGTTTCAGAACTCCTGCCATGCTGCTTCCCCCAGCATCTTCATTAATTGTATGTCAAGTGGTAGTCCTTGAATCTCCCATGTTGAGTTCCTGGCAGAGACTCTGGGCCAGAATGGGACTTATCACAGCCTTAGTTTCTTCTTGGGCCAGTACTTATCATGGCCGTCATGTCACTTAGCTAACGTTCTAAGCTGTACATATTCAAATGTCATGGCTGTTCACTTTCAATCCACTATCACGCATCTGACATCAGTGTCACGTCAAACTGTGCTGTGGGTTCTGAGAGGAAATGCTTTTATTAGGCACCACCTCCTTTTAGTTACAAGTGATCATAATTGGCTGTTAGACTGCCCTTGGTTGGTTCTTCTTGTTCTCTTCCATCATCTTCCTCATGAAGTCTTATTCCTAAGCTTGTTTTTCTCAGTTCCTTGCTACACTTTTATGGTAGGCTAATGAGATCCAGACTCCAAAATCTAGTTTGGCTTGAATGCTTCCTTATATAGTGGTGCAGCAAATCATTGAAACAATGCTTTTCTCTACAGTACTGCGATTGTTGTGCACATGCATGGCTAGTGGGAATTTGTGCTTTCTGTTGCCTACTACCGGACAGCTGTGCAATATTTCCAACATTCTGAAAATTATGTATTTTAGACATGTTGTTGTAATAAGTATTACCAAGGTATAAAAAGTTAATTCTAGATGAAGATACAAAGAGTACCTTTCTAATGTGAGAAATAATTTAAAAGGGTTCTTACACTGTCTCAAGCTACTCAGCTAAATATTAATGACCACTTTATCATGAAGAAGATTATAAACTTTATTGCCTAAATGGGCTAACAATCTGCCTAAAATATTCAAGCCTCCACTCAATGAAGACGACACATCTTTTAACTGCAGGCGATGAGAAATACATGTCACATATGGCATCTGAGAGTGAACTGTGGACCACCATGGCTCTCAGGTATAGTTACATTTTATTTATCTCTTAGTACATAAGAAAATACAGCTTCATGTTATGTCATCAAGTCTAAATATCAGAATATATTATGTCACTGCAGAATACAGTACAAACTAGCAGTATGTCAGTTATTCAGTATGTGTATGAGAATGTTTCTTCAAGTATGAGAATGAGTTAAAACCTTTACCACAAAATGTGCATAAGTATGGCTTCTCCTTATTATGAGTCAATGAATGTGTTTTCAAATTACTGGACTGGATAAACCTTTTACCACATACTTTACAAAAGTAAGGTTTTTCTCCACTGTGAGTAAGAACATGAGTTTTTAAATTATTAGATTGGACAAATCCTTTACCACATATTTTACATACATGACGTTTTTCTCCACTATGAGTAAGTGAATGCATTTTCATTGCAGGAAATTGTTTAAAACCTTTATTACAAATTTTACACACAAATGCCTTCTCACCAGTGTGAGTAACCAGATGTTGTTTCAAATGAGACGGTCTCCTAAACAGTTTCCCACACACATCACAGATATGTGGTTTCTCTCCAGTGTGTGTAAGAGTATGTGCACCCAAATTACCAGAATTACTAAATCCCCTGCCACATGTTGAACATACATGAGGCTTCTCTCCTGTGTGTGTCATAGTATGGGCATTTAAATTCCCTGATGTACTAAATCCCTTACCACACACAGAACATAAATATGGCCTCACTCCCGTATGTTTCAATTTATGTGTATTCAGGTTTCCTGTATCATTGAATCCTTTACCACATGTTTCACACTTGAATGGTTTCTCCCCTGTATGTACCGGTAAATGCCTCTTCACTTCTGCAATACATCTGAAGACTTTGCCACAGAAGTGACACATTGGACACTTGTTTGCTGTAACAGCTCTGGTCTTAATTCCCTCCTCAAGACAAACTTCTGGTATCAACACATTTATTTCATTTTTTACCTCTTGCTGAGAGGTCTGCTCACAGCCATCAGCAGATGAGAATTCTGCATCATCCTGTGCAAATTAAACGTGTGAATGGTTACAGCCATCGCTTTGATTATTATTAAACAATTCAGCCTTATTTCTTTATCAGAATAAAAATATTATATCAAATTTGTTTATCTTTTTTGTCACAGGAAGCTAAAATATGTCTATGTGAATATTGGGGACTGCATGAGACCAGAATGAATTTCAATATATCTCGCTTGCAACAGTTCATATGTCAGCATACATCCATTTTCAGCTCTGACGATGTGGTGGAACTAACGTTTTTTGTTCATCAGGAATACCAAAACTTTGAATACATGTCTCATCAATTGAATGTCAAACTGACTTTGTTCATTGCCAAATATTAATTTTAAAATCTGGCATATCCATCAGTGAGCTTATCATGCTCATTATTTTTGACAGCATGTTACATAATTCATGATTCTCAGCAAAAATGTAAAGTCTTGTGACATTTCCTTGTTTACTGGTTGTGGGTTATATATTAAAATCTTCCTAATGAGAACATCCTAAGATCAAAACTTGTGAAATATGTAAAGAACTATGTGCTTGATGGCAGAGTAAATATATCACAAAATCTAATTTACAAAGCTTTTCAAGCCTTTCCCAAACAGAAAACAGCATTAATTCTCCAGATGTTAATGTAGTTCAGGAGTCAAACCTGTGACATATAGCTTCATAGGACAGGTGTTCTACATGTGAACTAATTGATTCTATGTGTCAATTTCTTCATACATCAAAATATTCATACAACTCAGGATGCATGTACATGAAGACACTACAAAGCAGCTGCATATAAACATTTTTAAAAATTACCTGAACTTCAGATTTAATTCCAACAAATTCAAATGGAACTTCCTGTTTAATATTATTTGGATTAGTCTCAGAATCAGATGTGTTTGTTTCCTCCTTGATTAGAAGACTCTCGTCCATGTTCTACTTAAGAGAAAAAAAAATGAGGCCCAGACAGATTAGCAAAATGGTGACAAACCATATTACTTAAAACTCAGTGGACTTGAATATACTGAATGTGTGATCCACATCATGTATGGTATAGAAGTCAAAAGGTGGCACAGATAATTTAAAATGGTATAAAATTTGAAAATAAAATATGCAAACTTTGCCTTCATTCGTTGTTGTTCTGCTTGTTTCAGTTACCTCATAAGCAGGAGAAATACAGTGCACTTCAAACCAATGTTCAATATTCTTTGCTTTAACGTTCTTATAACCTTCAGTATCCTTCAAAATGGCAACTAATTCAACTGCAGACGGTGTTTCCTTGCCAAAACCTAAACCCATTTTCTTTATTAGCCTGCAATTAATTGTTTACAATATATGCATATTGTAATTATATTTAACACACATGTCCTTGCTTTCATATGCGGCATCAAATAGTGTACACGTGTTCTGGAGGAGTATCCGAAAAGATCCAAGTATAGCGGCACATTCTAAAAGATAAAGTTTGAAAGGATGAAGTAAAATAGTACGGAAGACTGGAGTCCACAGTGTCAACAACAGAAAAGTCCACACACATGAGAGCACGTATAAAAGCACGACAATTTATGTGAAAAGTGGTCAATCTGCTTGTGAGTGACTACAGGTTTGAATGCATTACTTAATTACTTGCTTACTCATGGAGCTGAGCCCTTCTGGAGGAGCTGCCAATTCTGCAGTTACTCAAGAATCTCCCAGCATTTTATGGAACCACAAGGTTCATTAGTGTGTTCACAAGAACCCTCCACCGGTCCCTATCCTGAGCCAGATCAATCCAATCAATACCATCCCATCATATCTCTCTAAGATCCATTTTAAAATTGTCCAATGACCTATGCCTTGGTCTTCCCAGTTCTCTTTCCTTCTGGCTATCCCACCAATATCCTATACCTATTCCTCGTCTCCCCCATTCGTGCTACATGCCCTGCCCACCTCATCCTCCTTGACCTGATCAGCAATAACACTAATTAAAAGAATCTGAACCACAGCAAGAAACTTCTGATGAATTTAACCTACATTAAATATCAAAGATAAGAAATTTACAGTCTTATAGGACTTTCTTTTGGGGGCAGGGCGTTACAACATATGTAGTTGATATACAGTCCTCACAATACACAACTGACAGAGAATCATTTTGACTACAAAATGAAAAAAAAAAAAACCTGAAATGTCAATATTTCAAAGGACATTAAAAAACTGTATTGCAAAAAAATACTCATCAGCTAAATGGTCAGGGCACAACAGCCATGAATTTCCAGCCAGGTTTGAATGTCATATGACAAATGCATATTTATAATAAAATATTTAAAGTTACAGGTAAACATGTGATACTTACAATATTATCTCAGTCATGTTTTACACAACAAATCGTTGAACACTACTTCAGTTCTGAGTTACATCCTGTTTATAATATAACCTTTTTATCACTTTAGAGTAGTGTATCCCAGATTTTTTTGCCATGGAACCTTTGGGTCTCAAACAATTCTGCCAGAACCCTGAATAAAAAAAACACTAATAAGTGAAATATAAAATAGGCAAAGATGGTATTTCTAAAGTATCTAATGGTGGAAAAGTAACCAGTGTTCAAATTTACAACATATTTTTGTTGGTACATGTGTTACACTACAACTCATGCAAAACCATTCTCATTCTTAAAATTTTGCTTTTTTCTGGATTGAAACTAGCTTCAGTTACAAACTTACTGTTTATAAGCGAAACTAGTTCCAACCCTGTAAGCAGTTAGGGTAGCTGCATGAAATCCAACAGTAATATGTAATAATTAAGAATGCAATAAAAGAAGTACAATTGTGCATTAGCCTTCAATCACTGTATTATCATGTTAATAAATAATAACAGCAAAGGGAGCTGTATCGTAGTAGAGGCATATATTTTTAACTTATGAAATGCTCCTGATACTCCATGGCCTGTAGTCTGCAAGCAAACTACACCGACCTAGCGACCACCACTTGTCGGCGAAGTTAGTGTCAACTTTAGCACATAGAGGGTGTCACATGGACAGTGCAACAGATCCCCATGGCTGTTAATCTCGGTTTTCTAGACCGAAACCGCTATTTCCTTGAAATAGCTCCTCAATTATCCCCACAAGGCTAAGTGGACCCTGCTCCTAACCCACTACTTCTCAGAAAATCTGGTAGTGCTGGGAGTCGAACCTGGGACCTCTGGATCTGTAGCAAGGAACTCTGGCCACTAGACCACAGAGGCGGTCTACTGTTTCTGATCAGAAATTTTAAAATATTACAACTTGAAATCAATGAATCAAAACATAATTACATTGTTAGCAGCAGCATTACACATGGGATATTTGGTGGCTGTGATGCTGTATCCTTTCTACCATACATGCATACTGTATGAATTTCTGTCTGACCTATTCAACTGCAACACTAACATCACAGAGCAAATACTTCTGGTGTGCTTGAAGTATCTGTCTTACATACCATTCAGAGTTAATTTTAACTGCATAAAACAAAAGTTCCATAATTCTCCTTGCCATGAACACTACTGTCTGTCACACTGTATATTCAAGTGTCCATTTAACTGAAACAAGGCCTAAATTCAGGAAAAAAGTCATCTCGGATCAAGCTTGGCATCATGAAATGACTGAAGGTATCAGTTACTGACATTACTGGAACACATGGCTGTAAAGTGATTGTAACTGTGGTTTTGTAAAGCTGTAGATTCAATAATTTTGTTGCAGTTCTTACTAGGTATCCTTTGCATTGTATATCAGTAAGCATACACTGAAGCATCTGCTTTATATGATTATTAAATGAAATATAAGGTCATTAACAAATGTCGGAGTAAATGCAGAATAAAGTTTCTTGAGGTTTGTCTTACTTACTTACTCATGGAGCACAGCCCTTCTGGAGGAGCTGCCAATTCTGCAGCTAGTCAAGAATTTCCCAGCATTTTATGGAACCCGAAGGTTCATCACCATGTTCACAAGAGCCCTCCACTGGTCCCTATCCTGAGCCAGATCTATCCAATCCATACCATCCCATCCTCTCTCTCTAATATCCATTCTAATATTGTCCACCCACCTACGCCTTGGTCTTCCCTGTGGTCTCTTTCCTTCTGGCTTTCCCACCAATATCCTATATGCATTCCTCGTCTCACCCATTCGTGCTACACGACCTGCCCACCTCATCCTCCTTGACTTGATCATTCTAATTATACTTGCAGAAGAGTACAAGTTATGAAGCTCCTCATTATGCCGTTTTCTCCAACTTCCTGTGATTTCATCTCTCTTCGGTCCAAATATTCTCCTCAACACCCTGTTCTCAAACAACCTTAGTCTACAAACATTATTTAGAATTATGTCAATAAAGTATGCAGTGGTCATGTAAAATCATAGGAAACCAAAACATGTACACTGAGTATCAGAACAAGGAGTTGCATGATATTTTGGTTTGGTTTGAACATTTGCCACATAAGCCTATCAACAATCCTGCACATGAAATGGGCATACCAAACAAGAACAAGAGAAATGCAACAAAACAGCTTAGACTTGCAAAAGCACTGCTGTTCATATTTCTCAGTCACACAATCTAATACTTTCTGTAAGCATGCCACAGATCAGGCTGGAAGTCTCCAACTTATCACTGTGGTGCCCGCAAGATTTGTGGTAGGTGAAATGCCACTTGGGCAGGTTTCCTCTGCCAATTCTCATTCCACCAAATGTGCCACTCCTCTAATATATCATCTGAAGCTGGTATAATAAGCCATTAATGCATGAGTACCAAAGGACTCAATATCAGCTAACTCTAACAATATACAAAAAATCTGTAATTGATATCTTTGATTGTTCAGGATGGTGAACTCAATCCTCAGTTGATATCCTTCAGATGAGGCTTGGTTATATTAGAATGAATGCATGTATACATAAACAATGAAGGACCTCTGGAGCATAGGAAATTTACATCTAGTGTGCAAAGTTTCTCCCTAAAAATTTAAAGGTATTCAGTGCATCAGGAGTGCAAAGATGGGGGACCCACACTTTATGTTGATACGTTTAATTCTGTGGGATGTGTATGGTAGATACTGCAAGTGGGTCAGTAACCTTCACTACATGGATGTTGCAGCTCCAATATCACTGCAGATGAGCGAGCAAAAAATCCAATGAGTCACACAATGAGCAAACAGAAGAAATGCAATGCCCTGGCAGAATCACCAATATCATACCTGTGATACAAGTTTTCCTATTACTTCCTTTACAATCCTTTTAGGCTACATTATGGATAAATAATCTTTATGTTCAATAATAATCCAATTATTAGGTAATAATAACAGGGTACTTTAACCTTTTAACTTACACAGGAAAATCGGTTGGTGCAAGGATCAAACATAGAATATTTTTTACTTTAATTAAAAATTCAACTTCCAAGAATGAGTATGTGATATCACACAGTTTCTAATATTCATGCTGAGGTACAGAACAATCTTAAAAGGAAGACAAAACAGAAGGAATGGAAGATGTGGGTACAAAAAATATAACAGATTTTTTATATATTATTATAGTTCATAATCTAAGCAAGACAAACAGATTGAACAGAATTAACAGTACAGTGAATAAAACGATGAGAGTTGAACCAATTATAAATCTCTTCTGGTGATTCATAATTGCATGCAAGCCTGGTATCTTCTGGAAGTACTTCAGAAAGTGTCAGTTGCATTTGTTATTACTGGAACTATTTTAGATTTCATATTCCAAATTCATTCCTCTCTGTTAGATGATGTCAATATTTGAAGTCATTCCCTGTTTTCTTTGCTATCCAAATCTTATATGCCAATACTGCAATATCAGTTGCTGTGTGATGTGCCATTTGTTTATTCAGCCATGCTGCTTTCATTTTTCTACCTGTAATTTGGGCTGATTTCATAATAGAGTGGTTTCATCAATTTCTGCAACAGATATGGTTTATGTTTGTACAGTTTCTGCAAATGACATCATTTGGGGGTTTAGCAAAAGCTATTGTTTCTTCATATTATTTGCTGCTCTTTCCTTTAATGTTCACCTTTCATAATTTGTATTAATCACGTAATCCTTTGCTGCTACTATCAAACCCTACGCTCTTCAAGGCCTACTAATTCTGTTCATATAAACCCTGTTTCTAGCTTATATATGATCATTTCTCATGCTTTAATATTTCTGCTTATCTGCTGATACTACTTCTCCTTGATGGTACTGAACATTCAAATCTTCTTTCAGCTCAATTTTCAGTCACTGACATCCAGTATACTCTTATGATGGTGCTTGATAAATGATTTTTTCTTAAATTTGTCATGAAATGACTGTATACATTTACTAAAACATTACACTACTTTAAAAATGGCGTGTCAGATGAAATTTTATATGATGATCTGCAGGTAGTCCCATTTTACTTTGTGTTGCTTCAATACTAGCTATAATGTTGTGCTTGCACTAATGTATCTAGGTACCTCTCCTTATCTAGCGACAAGGTTGAGAATGGTGGAGCTAAAATTCCACTCCTCCACACATCTTCATGCCATGGTGCTTAGTTAATTAAGCACGGGCACAACTGTACTTTTACCATTACTTCTCCTTAGTGACTTCTTAGCATTTACGGCCTGACCGCCTTTCCTAATATATACAGAAACACAAAAGTAAAGTTGTCCCTGCGCTTAAATAATTACGCACCAAGCCATGAAGATGTATGTGGGAGTGGATGTACAGATCCACATTTTCTTGTCTTTGGCACTACTTGGAGGGGAATGGTCACCTTCATGCCCCACCCACTTCACGCCCAAAGAAAGAGGCCCCAGTACCCGCTGGATTGGAGGCTGGGTAGGCTTCAAAGCCGGTTTGGAAGACGGAAAGAAGAAAAATTCTTGACCCTACTGAGACTCGAATTCTGACCCCTCCATCACCCAGCCTGTAGCCAGTCGCTATACTGACTCCGCTAAAATGACTTTTATATAATGTCGCGGTATCGAATCCTGGTGAAGTGGTTTTTTAAATTTACCTAATCCTTCAAACTGCACTATGGCCCTGGGGTCAACTCGGCATCTTAACAGAAATGAGTACCAGGAATATTCCTGCGGGTAAAGGGCGGCCGGTGCATAAGGCTGATAACAATACCACCATCTATGACCAGATTGTCTAGAAAATGTGGGAACCTCAACATCTCACAACCCTATGGGCCTCCACGGCCTGTTACAGGGATATCTTTACTTTTACTTACTTTATACTATTATTAATAGCAGTTACTATTAATCGAGAAGCCGGGATAGCGTACTTAGTATTAAAGACTGGCTACAGGCTGGATGACAGAGGGGTTGGAGTTCGGGTCCCGGTAGGGTCAAGAATTTTCTCTTCTCCAAATCGTCCTGAACGGCTCTGGGTTCACCCAACCTCCTATTCTATGGGTACCGAGGGCTCTTTCCCCGGGAATAAAGCGGCCGGGGCGTGAAGCTTACCACTCACCTCCGGCTAGTGCAGAGGTCAAGAAAATGTGAATCTATACATCCACCACCCTTACGTCTTCGTGGCGTAGTGCTTAATTAGTTGAGCACAAGGACAACTTTACCGTTACTATTAATCGAACCAGGACCCGACTACGAGCCCCATTACCAAGATTTGATTCCCTGTCATCTGACCTTACCTGTCAGACCGTGTCAGACTACGTCCGAATACAACTCTTTCAACTCTTTCCAGTCACATCATGCTTAGATATATTTCGAAGCTGATGTCAGATACCGTCAGACCGGTCAGATGCGTACAACTAGACTTGTTGCCTCTACCACTCTAACAAGCCGCAAAAAATAAGCTAACATGATACTTGATAACAGATCTCCACGATCTCCACCATCTGTGTTGTCCTCCGCTACTTGAAAATACATACAGCCTGTTCACTTCGCGAAGAAAAGTGAAAATTAAACTCTTCGTTAGAATCGTTGCAGGGCCGTTGATTTAATACACAGTCGTAATTCTTTGCAACGCGGAAGTTCGTGTTTTAATGAATACATTTTTACAACATGAATGGTTTCACATGCTATAACGCTGACTCGCTTCTTGATGCTTCTTGACTTCCGCTTTTGTAGTACGGGTCGTACGTGTATTCGAATATATCTTTACGATCTTTACAGAATTTCGAAATCTGAACAGGCATATTAGGATGATAATTATATCACTAAGTTCAAATGTTGTATGATATATTCTTTGAAATAGCCAGCTTGTGTGTTGATCTTTTTTTTATTGTAAATCAGTGGTAAAGTGACAGATGGATGACGCGGTGTCACAAATGTAGGCGGTTTTTCGAACTTAGGAACTGTCATTACTGGGTGGGTTAGAGTAGATTAACCTAGTCTTATTAGGATTTAGTTAACGGTTACATGCTTTTGGAATTCTGTCTTTAATTTTGTATCTCAGATTGAAGTGAGCTGTATCATGTTCACTGATGTATTTAGAGGAATGTCTAGCGTGGTTATGTCTGCTAAGAGTTAACATAACATAACATAACATAGCTACATGGTTTCACAGATCCTTTGTCCGGAAACCGGACTGGATATTGAACTCGTCACAGCCAAACTGACATTGCAATGTGCAACCTGGTCTAGACAATAAAATATTCAACAATTATAACATTGATAGGTACAACAGTATAAAAATCAGTCATCTTACAATTCTTTGCTAGAACATAGTCTTAGAAAACAGACTGTAACAGTGCATAAAATTACCTACTTGCCATATATTCACCTACCGAGTAAAATGCTTTTGAAGCCAGAAAATCCTTTAGTCTTTGTTTAAAAATATTAATATTGTCTTTCAAGATATATATGTTTTGTGGCAGGTTGTTAAATATTCTAATAGATGTAAAATGCACACCCTTCTGAATGGAAGATAATCTCACAGAAGAAACATGTAGCCTATTGTGCCATCTGGTACTTATTTGATGTATGTTATCGTTTGCTTGGTACATATTATAATTTTTAATTACAAACAATATCATAGTGTATATATATATAAGCAGGGGACTGTAAGTATACCCAATTTCTTAAAGCCTTCCCTACATGAATCTCTAGGACCCAGCCTTAACAAAACTCTTATTGCTCTTTTTTGGGCCACAAATATGCTTTTCATTGATGAAGATGAGCCCCAGAAAATAATTCCGTAATTGAGTTGAGCCTGAACATGGGAAAAATAGACGATACGTAAAACTTGTCCATTCACAATGGGTTGCAATTTTCTAAGCATGTAAATTGCAATGCATAATTTTTTTATTAAACTAATCGAATATTGTTTCCAATTGAGATGAGAGTCAAGGCACATACCCAGGAACAGAAAAGAAGTTAGTTCAAGTTAGGTTGTGCTGTGGTCTGTTAGATTCCAGGAGTTTGGTTAAATTGTGTTCACTTAAATGCAAGCATTTCCTTCTTCATCCAAAAATCTTAATTCTGGTTGTATTATGTTGATGTGGTATTGTCAAATTAGGCCAGGTCATTGTCTAAAACATCTTTGACAGTATGTCACATATTGAATAAACAGCCTCATATAAGAGAAGCACGATATGTTCAACAAGATCCCCAGTATGATGATCTTGGTATCTTGTATGCTGAACATAGCATCTAATGATGGCCTAATAATTTGCAATATTATGTGATCATGATGCACCTTCAGAATTCTGGGTTCCAGGTTGGCTAGAGTTATATTCACTGAGGTAGAGTGTGTTGGGTATAAAGAGATTGGTCACTTTTGTTTTTGTCTATGTTCTGTTAAAGTTCATTAAGTCTTTTTATATTATCCTGTAGATCAAAATACATTTATTTTATAAGTCTAAGTTTTGATGACTTCATTAAATTCCATATACATATGTTGAACTTTGACAAATTGGGCTACCTGGGATAGCGATTGGCTACGAGCAGGACAACAGAGAGGTTGGTGTTCGAGTCCCAGTAGGATCAAGAATTTTCTCTTCTCAATGTCATCCAGATTGGCTCTGAGGCCCACCCACCTACCTACTGAATGGGTACCGAGGGCCTCTTTCCCTGGGGGTAAAGCAGCAGGGCATGAATATGATCACTCACCTCCATCTAGTGCCGAGGTCAAGAAAATGTGGATCTATACATCCACTCCCCCCAATATGCCTCCATAGCGTAATGCTTAATTAGTTAAGCACTCGAACAACTTTACCTTTTTACCTTTGTTAGGTTAGGAGCTGGGATAGCACAGGTGGTATGGTGACTGGCTACGGGCTGGTTGACCAACACGTTGGAGTTCAAGCCCTGGTAGGGTCAAGAATTTTCTCCACGTCATCCAGGCCACCTTTGTGGCCCAGCCAGCCTCCTGTCCAATAGATACTGAGGACACTTTCTCGAGGGGTAAAGCGACAGGGGTGTGAAGCTGAGCTAGAGCTGAGGTCAGGAAATCATGGATCTATACATCCACTCCCCCCCATGTCTTCATGGCATAGTGCATAATTAGTTAAGCACAAGGACAACTTTACCTTACCTTACCTTTGTTAGGTTAGGTTGGTTTGGTTTTATTCCTTGGAACTACTGGGTGTTTGGACTTCACCATTGTCCATTATTCTGAAGATCAGAGTGTTTCAGAAACGATCTGTCAGGTGAAAGAGTGACAGACACTATGTTGGGTTTGTTAGAAAGAGCTAGCCTCAATCACTGGACCAATGGCACCCTCCCCTCCACCTGATAATAGATCGTTTCTGGCCCAGTGATTGAAGTTAGCTGTTTGTAATAGACCTAATAGAGTAGGTATCTCCCAACCCTTCACCTGAGGACAGAAACAGATCCAGTTTATGAAAAGTTATGTTCTTTAGAATACCAGTGGACAGTCCAAAAACCCAGTAATTCCAAGTGTTATACACCATTGTCAGAACCCTGCAGAATCTGCTTGGTTTTGTTCCATTCAATGAAAAAGTCCTTGAACAAAAATAAGGTGTAATTACAAATCACAGTGTATGGCAAAATGTTCCTTGTTTTGCTAGATAAGTAGTCAATATTTGTCACATTGTTGCTACGTCATGCAGAGCATCTCGTAACGAGAAGTTACAATAACAGCTCCAATGGAGAAAGGTATGTCTGTTGATTTGTTCAAAAGATCATATATACAAGTGCAGTGAAATTCTTCATATGCCTGTCAGAAAGAACTTACCATCTGATAACAGCTTTATAGGATGGCTTGAGAATCTTAAAAACCAGGAGTGTTCTTGATCAGAAAATAAGTGCTTTGCCATGCACAAGTGAACAGAACATTGAGCAAATTAGAGAATCCTTTCAGCATAGTTCCATCAGTTCAACACAAACTGCTGCTAATGAAAAGAAACTTCCTTGCACAGTTGTACACTGATTTCTCCACTCAGGTCTGTAGCAGTTCCTCTAGAAGGCACAGATATTACAGGCTATGGAACATAATGATAAATCACGCCACCTGGCATTTGCAGAGCAAATACTTCCCCAATTGGACAATGTTGACAGATACCTGGGTTAAGTTTTGTTATGGGATTTTGAGTCCAAGAACCAACATCATGCTACTGCACACATCTAGGGACAGCTCTAAAGTCAGTGTGTGGTGTGGGTTAATATTTAATTGTATTATCATCCCCCGTTTCTTTTATGAACTGACAGTAACAAAGGAAACCTATATGGATCTTCTTCAGCTGTTCACAGTGCCTTGACCTATGCTGATTTTCCAACATGATGGTACCCCATGACACTGGGTTAAGGCTATGCACATTATCTGAATGCAGAATTCACCACTTGATGTATCAGCAGAGGTGGCCGAGTGGCTTGGCCTTCCTGATTCCGAGACCTGACTGTGAAAGAAAGTTTAGCAATGAAATACAGAGTATTCCAAACTTCAGGAGTGCATGCTATAGACCATTTGGAGCAAAAAGTGCCCAATAAACTGTAGATCGATTTAACACTGTTAATGAGTTAAGCACTAGTGGAGAGAGTGACAACTGCTGCAACTTGTCTAAGTTAATACTTGTGCAATGACTGTGGCTGTGTTCTGTTGCATTGCAGTCATACTCAAAATGCCTAATATCTGCAAATGAATATGCCAACTTGCAAATTCCGTATTGTTTCTGCAATGATAGTGGTAGAGCTACTGGTTTCAAATGCTGGCAACAATTTCCACATTGCAAAATATTACAGACTACACACAGAACTCTGAGGAAGACCAGTTCCTCTCCATGAGCAAATGGAGAATGTGAACAACAGTTGTATGCAGGAGGTGTCCTGGCAGCAGTGCAGTGAAGCAGAATTTCCAGGACGACTGGTGTAGCACAGACACGGCTATGAAGAATTTTGCACGATGATGGTTTCTATCCGTATCACCTGCACAGAATACAACACCTCATAATGTCAGATCATGCCACCGATGTACGATTCTGTGAATGGCTGCAACCACACCTACAAGCGGCCTCCGTAGTCTAGGGGTAACGTTCCCACCTCATGACTCAAGGTACGCGGGTTCAAACCCGGCAGGGGTCATGGAATTTTTAAGGGTGGAAAAATTCAGGGAACAAGTCCTCCGGGAGGGACTTTAAGCCGTGGGTCCCGTGTCGTAGCTTTACGGCACATAAAAGAACCTCATGTCTCAAGGAGACCTCTGAGCCAAATTGAAGGACATTTCCTGCCCAACAATAGTCTCTAACGCCTCTGGTCGATGGGGGAAGCATCTAGATACCGCTGAGCCAGTAGAGGCCGAACTCACTGGCTGAGTCGGGACTGATGGTGCGCACCAGTACCGGTAGGGTATAGAGACTGGTAGAATATCACAGGAGGACATACAATAGATCAAACTGGTCGCGGTGCATGGGGAAACCCACCCCCTCCAACAACAACAACAACAACAACAACAACAACAACAATAATAATAATAATAATAATAATAAACCACGCCTACACATTCTGCATGACATTCTGTTCACAGATGAGGCCTATTTATGTGGCACAGTATTACCAGTCCAAGGAATTCGCACACTTGGACACAAGAAAATCCATATGAGATAGCAAAATGTCATTTTCAACACCTATTTGTTGTGAATGTGCGGCGTGTTGTATTAAGCAATAATCTGATTGGACCACGTGTTACTGGGGGGATGTTCAGTAGCTCCATATTACAGGAATTTTCTGGAAAATGAATTACTGCTGAATTTAGAGGATGTGCTTCTTGCAATATGAAGTTGATAGTGGCTACAACATGATGGAGCACCTCCCCATTTTGGCAAAGTGGTAATGGAATATTTTAATGAAGAGTATGAAGGAAGATGGATAGGAAGAGGTGGACCAGTGGCTTGGCCCACTCGGTCTACCATCTTAAACCCATTAG